ACCAGAGGTGTACTATGCCTCACGAGGGATAATCTCGATAAATGACACTTGTACGGAAGCCGGAAACCGAGTGGCTTTCGATGCTACTTTAGCACTCGTCGATAGTTCTTGGGTTGAGGAAGCCATCGTCGACCAACAATGGCCTGCTTGGTCACCCGCTAGACTGGAACAGCTGGCTTCCATGCTGTCAATGCTCAGCTACTGGTTTGGCGTCTAATAGCAGATGTCTGTCTCTATTGTTCATGGCAATACAGTGTTGATTGAGATCATCGTGGGAATGGCATGATGTCAAAATCCTTTGAGTGTGTGTCCGGAGGACTGTGCCCCGGCATTGGGGTAAAGTGGGCGGACGGCCGGAAACTCGTCTGCGCCAATGTGACTTATTGAGTTATCGTGCACTGAAGTTCAGTTCAAGGAACTGCAAGATCACACGGTCTCCGTAGTTCCACACGGTCCTTGGTGCTTCTTGGGATAGCTGTGGTTGCTCGGGTCGACCGGTGAGGTGATTGATATCTCATGTTGCCAGAAGCTGGCCTCCGCTCGCGAGATACATGTCCCACGGGGAATCCCGCATTCCTTGATTGGAACTCTTACTCCAGACTGTGCTTGGGTCGATTAAATCAGGATTTTGAGCCCTGGAGGATGCTGTTGCACTGGCATCCCATTCCGGTTGGAAGATCGCATGATGAGTGAGGTGATCTAGCTGACCCTTACAGACTCAGTAGTTGTCATGTTCTTTTGCCTTGCTTTTGCCGATTCCATTCATCGTATGATGACGAGCCCTGTGGAAAAGAGAGTGAATGCATAAGATCTCTAAAACTAGGCTCGTTCCGAAGCAGAAATTGTCCGGAGGAGAAATGTCATACGATACGGACGTCTTAGCTTGGTCACGCGTGAGCAAGCGTTCTCGAGATGTGAATGGACGTGCGTCTTCCATCAACCCGTAGCGTGCCGATGATAATTGCTGTTGCGTAATTTGAAGACTGGAACAATATGAGGTAGGGGCGATATGCCTTGACTGTCTGAGTGTACAGTTTTCCAATATGTGATGTCAAGATTAGGGTGCCATCAGAATGCAACGCGGGAGATGGTGGCGGTGATCCATAAGTTGTCATTGTTACTGATGCCCATATCCTGTGCATTAAGCTTTTAACGATGATAAGGCATGAAAGCTTTGACGAGGAAGCATGAGTGCACATCCCCCCTTCATATGCAGTATGAAGCTGATGCCCGGGCACACACTGGAAGATCCAATAGGGACAATCACCTCCACTGGACTATTGGCTGTGTATGAGTCTGTAATAGCATGTAAGTTTGTAGAATATGCATTGATGAAGAGTATTCGAGGAGATGGAGAGAGAAGATAACGCCCGTCTGTGAGTAAGCCCAAAGCTGGTCACGATTGAAGCTACCCATATCTCCTCTCAACTGTATGGTACAGTTTTGGTGAGATATACTGGTTTAATGAGTCGTTATCGACGAGTCTCTCCTTAAGCGTAGAGATATACGACCTGTTGTTCTGGATCACCATGGTTGTTTGAGTTCAGCACACATGCAGGGAGAAGGCCCGTCCGAATACGTAATGCACATACGGCCAACGATAATCCCCCGGCGAAGATATGACAAGCTCATGTCTTGTTCAATCGAAAGATTCTGGTTGTGCCGTGGGCGTTTCGTCAAGATCATAGTTGACTCTTTCTCCGTGCCGTTACAGATTCCGGGCTCCATAGCTCATATTGTTTGTTTTATGACTTTGGGAGACTGCGGAGCCTGCCCCTTAGATTGAGATCAGATATAGATCTTGTCTGCAATATGCTTCTTTCAAGCTAGGGATCTTCAATTTGCATGATTAACAGATGAAGAGGACAGAAACCATAGAAGCCAAGTGTAAAATGGTATTGCATGGTATATTGGTCAATGTGATAGCTCCTGAACGGTTCATGATTACCTGCAGATCCCACAAAGCCGCATCTGCAACACAACCAGCCGCGTGTATGTCTATAACAAGTGACGGAACATCTCAAGACCCTGAAAACAAACCTAAACTCCAAGCCCAATTGTGTAGACATACTCCAACCCACGCATAATCCAAAATAAACATGCATTCTTCCTCGAATGTCTTATTACAAGAGGCCCAACCACATCGCCAATCTGTACATCGCAATGAGAAAAGCGACTGCAAAGATGAAGTTGACAAAGTATCGGAGGGCGACATTCTTCATCTGGTTCCGGTTTCGTCGTCGAGATCGGGACACAAAGTCCGAATTGTCATTGACATTAGGAAACGGGCATTCTTTAGGGATAGGGTCGCCCAGAAACTCGCAGAGAGGACCCCAGCCGTCGGTGACCTTGTACTCGAGCAGGCGTTCCTTGGGCACCAGGCTCCGAACATGCTCGTAGTGCTTCCGGAAGACGTCCTTTCCGCGGTTGGGAAAGTCGCCCTCGAAGAAGGCCTCAAAGAATTTGCTCAGCATGGGATAGTACATGCTGGCTGCCCAGTCAAAGTTGGACAGCCAGCGCAGCTCCGGGTCGGTCGCACGCCAGTACACCGTCTTCATGGTGGATGCATGCCATGAGTCCACGTCGCGGTTTGTGAGGATGACCTTGGCCTCGGGATAGGCCTTGATGAGGTCCTCGGCAAAGGCAACGGCGGGCCAGTCGCACACGGCTTGACAGGTGCCAAGGAGCTGGTCCCAGTCTTCGCGAGTGAAGGGCTTGCCTTTCCCGTCGTATTTGGCGCAGAGGGCGTCCATCCACATGAGTGCGTCGGGAGGGTTCTCGATGGAGCAGTTCATCATGTGGTATGTGTCGACGTAGCCAAGCTGCTTCATGGCCGCTCGCATAGCTGGGTCGAGTCAGTATCGTGTATGACGCTTTGGCAGTTATGACTTGGCAAAGAGGAGTCGGGCATCCCGAGTTGTTGTCTAGTCAGATGGATTAAACGTACAGGCAGTGCCGGTGCGTCCCAGGCCCAAGATGAGGACCTTCATGGGCACGACACGGCCGAGCTTTCGGCGGTTGATGTCGGTATCGCTGGTGAAGATGTCGGTCCGAGGACGGGGGGTATACTTTGCAGAGTATGCCATCTTGTCTGTATTGTTGTGCTTTTGATGAAGAGACTTTGGTGAAAAGAAGGGAGTGGGTATCAACGAAGACGCTTGCTTGAGAAGCCAAAGAGTGACGGTTGAAGAATGAATGTGTAATGAATGGACGACGAGGCAGCTGCCAGATCTAAGGGATGTAGCAAGCTTTATGCCTCGATACTGAAGGGCCTATGGATGGATGGAGATCAACGTGAACAAGGGTTCATGTCAAATGAGGAAGACCGCTGGCCATCCCGGATATATAGGGGCTGCTATTTGCACATCTAAATCTTAGGGGACCTGATCTTGTACCTTCAATTCGTCTTGAAGTGAATTCACCCTACTAATAATAGCACCCAGTATTGAGTCAGTGATAACATTCTTATTGGCCTTCTCAAGTCCTACTGTTTTCCGGACGAGGCCGGCTCTAATGCCCACATTGTGGGGATGATGCTACAAAGTAGCGAACGATTGATGAGATCTGGATCCCAATTCGCAACCTCTTCTCAGAAGCAACAGCTCTGGACATGTACTCGCACAGCCTGCCTTTGCATGAAAGAACAATATCATATGGACATATCAAAGCTGAATAAGTCCTTCGCCGTCGGTCTCATGATGATAAGTTCACCGCGGCAGTTCTCAAATCACAGAAGTGTAATCGCAGGAATTTTCCCGCGTATCAGGAAGTATGTCCGCTCCAACTGGCACATTCCCTCCTGAGTAGCGATTCATGCTGATCATGAAGGCAAGGATGGATCATCAGGGGAGCGTTGGAAGAATACAGGAATCCAAATCTTTCCTCTAATTCGGCGATGCCTATCTACTGTATGGAGATGATCCATACGTGTAGTCGAGAAACATCGGGCCGTCGGCCACCGAGTTCCGCACTGTAAGTTGTCTCCACGAAGAGATCGGCATTTCCAGCAACAGCTTACGCGGCAGACTGGATATTCGAAGCCCGTCTTTTGTTTCATAAAATAGGAGTCATATTAGAAGGACCTGCAGTTATTTACGTGTAGTTTTTTGAGTTTATTTTCTACTCAACTGAGGCCTGAGCTCAATAGTGGGAGCACGGGTAACGGCTCATAGCGTGTGCTTGCTTGCGTCAGTGTTTACGCGGAAAGACGATTGCAAAACTTATCGTTTCGCAATTGTGTCTTCACAACAAAAGGAATCAGTTAGACGAGGCGTAAGGAGGTTTCCTGGGCCAATGCTTAGCGCTTCCATTGCCAATGACATTGGTCATGACGATATCGAATTCGTTTCCCCATTCTCATGTTATCCACAAGTGGTTCCCCTGATCATCATTACTCGAACTGTATAGTGCTTCGGCGTGGGGCTTCGGATCGTCGCCTCGCAGCTGATGAAGAGATAATTTTTTTTGACTCGAATTATGGGCTGTTGGGCACCGATATTCCGACAGAACAAACAAGTAAAATACTGCAAACACTCCCCTCTGCTGAAGGGCGGAAAATATGCCAAGAACTCTCGACGACTGGCAAATGGAATCGGACCACTTATGTGTAATCGGGTTGCGCGTCGCTATAGCCGCTCACCACCATACATATCCGCCCCCTTGGAACTGAACTCCTGATGATCGGCGGTCAGCGATTAGAAGAGGAGGCAATAATAAATCAAGATAACGTGTAATAGTGAAATAAAGTTGAAAGGGCGTATAGGCGAGCGGAAATCGGAGCCATTTGGACCCGAAGCGAAACGTCATGTCTTCCCCAGGCGTCATGCATCGTCTCAACCATGGCCATCATTCTTCGTTCCTCGTCTTCTTTTCACCTTGTTGTTCATCCATTTATCTGTTTACTTTCTTTCTCCAGTTTTCTTGTTTAGCAAAACAGTCCTTGCTTCGCAAAACCCTCCGACGTTCATCTTCATTATCTGGACTGGCTCAGTTTCTAGGTCATGGCGGGTTCGCACGCCAGGTCCTCCAGCAATGACTTCACCTCCAGCTTTCTTCTAGATCCACTTCGACCACGAAGAACTCTTGAACTGCCAGATGGAACATGGGTTTCAAGGGATACCTTTGAAACTCTGAACGAGGTCGACAGCCCCTCCAGCCATGACTTTGGACCCTCACCATTGGAGAAGACACCGGGAAACAGCCCATCAGGCCCGGTGACGTGGATGTCGCTTCCCCGGAAAGACCAGCTCTTCATACTCTTCCTCTCGCGATTTGTCGATTTCCTTCAGGTGGCTTCGCTTCAAGCCTACGTCTTCTATCAGCTGAAAGCGTTCGACGACTCTCTCTCAGATGCCCAGATCTCGCAGCAGGCGGGCGTGTTGCAAGGATGCTTCACGGGAGCCCAAGTGATGACGGCCATTCTCTGGGGTAAGGCCGCTGATGCAAGCTGGTGTGGGCGGAAACGGGTGTTGCTGATTGGACTCGCCGGAACGGCTGTGTCATGCCTGGGATATGGCTTTGCGACAACGTTCTTCTGGGCGGCGTTCTGGAGGGCGTTTGGCGGTGCCATCAATGGGACTGTAGGAATCATGTGAGTTTCGCTAGAGGATGTCAAAGAAAGTCAAGAGGATTCAAAGACGGCTGACGAAGATGGTATTGCAAGTCGCACCATGATTGCTGAAATCACCAAAGAGAAGAAGTACCAATCCCGAGCATTTCTGCTTCTCCCCATGAGTTTCAACGTTGCGGGAATCTTAGGTCCGAGTGAGTGAAACTGAAGCCCTGAGAGCTATATATAATTTTGATGCCATAAACTGACCCACTGACACAATGACTGCAGTCATGGGAGGTATGCTGGCGGACTCACCCCAGACGCTTCCTGGTCTCTTTGGAGAAAAGGCTGTCTTTGGCTTTCAGTGGGTGCGAGACTATCCGTACGCATTGCCGAGCCTCATCAATGCTGCTGGTTTGTTTATTGTGACCTTGATCATCTTTCTCTTCCTGGAGGAGGTCAGTTATACCCATTCCCGTCTCGTTTGTGACAAGAGTAACCTGGCTGACGCCTCACTGTAGACATCGAGAGCGCGCCGACATAAGCCGGATATTGGCCTCCAACTTGGATCTCGCATCAAAGCCGCCATATTCGGCAATCATCAATCGGATGACTACGCTCGCGTTCCCCCTTGGGGGGCCCATGCCACAGAAGATTACGAAGACAGCGGTATCCTCGCAGAAAAGCCAGCAGTCCGAATGCAGCAGCTCCCCTTCCGCAGACTCTGGACGCGAAACGTCTTGTTTACGCTGCTCACGGGCGCCTTTTACGACTTCCATCTTGGTGCCTTTGGCAACATGTGGTCGCTGTTCTTGTCCACTCCTCGGTATATTATTTCCACGCCGGAACGCTCAGAGAAGCTACGCCGATATCTGCCTCTGCTGTTTACGGGTGGATTGGGTATGCCTGCTTCGACCGTTGGCGTAGCGACATCCTTCCTAGGCTTCGTTGGCATGTTCCTGCAAGTCACACTGTATCCTCCCATTCAAGCCCGTCTCGGTACGATGAGGTCCTTTCGATGGTTTCTGTTCCTCTTTCCAGTTGCGTATTTCGTCGCCCCCTATCTCTCCATCCTGCCGTCTTGGTCACCCCCTCCTGAACCGGCATCGGGAGGCTTCATCTGGGCGGGAATTATCGGTGTCGTGTTTCTTCAGGTCATGGCTCGCACATTTACTCTCCCGGCCAGCATCATCTTGCTCAACAACTGCAGCCCGCATCCTAGCGTGTTGGGCACAATTCACGGCTTGGGACAGAGCGTGTCTGCACTGTTCCGGACGGTTGGGCCCGTGATTGGAGGCTGGTGGTACGGCTACGGGCTGGACATTGGGATGGTGGCTTGGGGATGGTGGGGAGTTGCTGCTGTGTCTCTTTTGACGTGTGGCACGGCCTTGGGGATGCATGATGGGAGTGGGCATGAGATTTTGCTGGAAGGGGAAGAGTTGGAATAGGAGGCTTGGGCAGTGTTGTGAGAGGTGGTGGCTAATATGAGACTGCATATGGCATCCTGCGTGGCGGAGTTTAGCACAGGCAAAGCAACTGATAAACTAGACAAGTTCTTTTCCTTTTGACATCGGGATGGTCTGATGAGGCTGTTGCAGCATTCCTTTCCAGCCGCAAGCCCCTGGCTGCCTAACATCTGACGTGGGCCCGGTCACGATCCAGGCACCCGGCGCAAGGATCTGGGGCTGGGCAAACGGCATTTACCGCCAACAATTGGGTTGGAAGAGCACCGCTGAGCTGTTTGATCGAGTCTGCCTAGCATTTAAGCTTGGCGGGATCTAGATTCCCTACGGAGCAATATTGAATCATCCGTCCACTAGTCAGAATGCATGACTGGCCTATCTGCTGTCATTGAACGCCAGCTGAGCGAGGCTGTGCACGATGGTCGGAATGGCGTCCAATACTAGGAGACAGTATTCTTTTATTAAAGGAAGCTGAAGTTCACATTCTAGAAACAGGCTCATCACCCACTCCTGCTTTTTTGTCTACTGACTAGTATACTATTCTTACAATGGCGTTACCCCTACCACAAGATGCCCTCGAAGCGTTGGCCAAAGAGACCATGCACGATCGCATTGTCGGCTGTCTCTTTGGCTCAGCTTTGGGCGACGCAATCGGCCTATACACCGAGTTTCTCTCTGGTGAAATGGCACGTCTAGCCTATCTATCCCTCAAGTTCATCCTCAGTCCGCCGTCTGAAGCGACCCCCTTCCGGCGAGACGCGCATCGTGATCCAAATGTTCCCGGAGAATGGACAGACGACACCGACCACGCCATGTGCATCCTGCTATCATATCTGCATACAGACGGAAAGTGGATGTCGCCTCACGACTTTGCGTATCGTCTGCATATCTGGGTGAGGATGGGGCTTCGGGCACTGGACACGCTGCCTCTAGGCTTGGGGCGAACGGTCGGTGCCATTGTGAGAAGCAAGACGTATCTCGAGGATCCAGAGGGAACTGCGAGGAGACACTGGCGGAATGCAAAATGCAAGCTCGCGCCTAATGGAAGCATCATGAGGACACATCCGCTGGGACTGATGTGTATTCACAAGACGATGGAGGAGACGTTCCAGGTCGCCGCCGATTACTCTGTCGTCACGCATGTTGACCCGAGGTGCATCATTTCGTGTGTCATTGGGACAGCGCTTGTTAGGGGACTCGTGCGGCATGAGATATACGAGGAGGAGCATATTGATCATGTAGTTGAGCAGGCCATTGCCTGGTACTCGGGTTACAGGTCGCGACAAATCGAACGGGATCCCAGCTGCAAAGACGAACCTGAGCTGGACTTGGGCGAGCTCAACAGACACGTCAAAGTCAAAAATCTCGCCGACCTCGAACTCGACGACATGTACAAGATCGGATACACATACAAGACCTTCGGCTCAGGCATTTTTCTGCTTCGCCTCGCTATGAGAGAAGTCGCGTCCGCTGAGAGTCGCCTTTCCACGCAACAGTCCGTCTTCGAACGACTCATTACTGATCTTACCATGCAAGGTGGTGATGCTGATACGAATGCATGCTTTGCGGGCGCTCTGCTTGGTTCATATTTGGGCTACAAAACATTGCCGTCACACTGGAGAGATGGATTGAAACACGGCGAATGGCTGATGAAGAAGGCAGAAGGGCTGAGTATCCTGCTCGGAATTGGTCAGGGGGCTTATAGTGGCTCACGAGACAAAGATACGGCGCCTGATGGAGGGAGAGGATGGTTGACAGAGAGCCAGATGGAGGAGAAGGTAATGTTACTCCAGGCCGACATGGTTAAGAGGAGTCAAGAAAGGGACCGGATGGAGGAAGCTGAGAAGAGACGGGCGAGGACGAAGAGAGGATCATGGCTGGGTGGGATAGGTGGGAAATGGTGACATGCGGAGGACGATGATAAGTTAAGACATGGAAAAATGATAGCAAAGAGAATAGAGCATCCTAGCGGATCACTTCGGTTTAATATGATTACCTTACAGACCAATGTATTTTGATGAGCGTCCCCGCTCAATGTCGGAGCAAGCTATGTCAACGCCCATTTCCCTAAACGAACCGGAACCATATCTGAAAACCGCACTCGACTGAATGCCTGAGAGGCCCTTGTCGAGCGAAGAGACTGACCGCCAAATGTCCACATCAAACCGAGAGGACTGGCAACTTACAACAGCGACAACCCTGAGAAAATAGGTGTCGGGAAAACAGACAACACAGTAAAAAGCTGAGAAGAATAACAAAACCTCCATGACCCTCATTCCAGGAAAAAGATAACACACGACCATGCCATATGTTGAAAGAAAGTCTACTCGCGTGACGAAAACAAGACTCTTGCGATATCTTGGGCATCGCGTTCAAAGACCACGACCCTGGATTCGCTCAGCGGCTATGCCATACGACGACATGGTGTCGCCGACCTCGCACGGATCGTCCCCAAACTCCACCTTCTCAACTCCGTCCTGGCGGTTCTTCTCCAGCGACATCTTGCCCATCTGGGCCTGGCACCGGTAGCTTCCGAAGCGAAACTCGACGACGGCACGGTTGCCAGCCCGGATGAGCGGGATAATCTCGTCCAGCTGGAAGATGAAGAGGCCCTTGAAGTACTTGAAGAGCTCCTCTGGGTTGACGAAGTCGGCGTTTCCAGTGATGATGAGGCACCGCGATACCTTGGTGCCCTGCACCGCATGGCTGCCATACTTTATGCGGTTGTGGGACACCTTGACGCGGTAATCGGAGACGAAGAGACCGCGGGTCCAGGAGATGGCCAGCAGCTGCTGGGCGGCCTCGGGGGTGAAGAAGACGACCTTGGCGGCGGCTGTCTGGTGGACCGCAAAGTCGGGGTAGTTGATATAGGTACACCAGATGCGGCCGACGTTGCGGATGGCCCCCAGCAGCTCGTGGACGGTGACCGTAGGCGGGAGGTTGGTGAGCCAGAGGGCGCAATTCTCCTCGGGGCCTAGATGCTCGGCGCTGGCGTTGGCGTCGGCGTGCATTCCGCGGTAGCGGGTGGAGAAGCGGGTGGAGGAGGAGCCATCGGGGGAGGATGGGGAGGTGAAGGCGGTGGCGGGCGTCTGCTGCATAACGGCCTGCATGGGCAAGAAGCCTTGCGGAGGCTGGTGCTGGTGGCGAGACTGACGTGGGCCGCCAGAGTGGAAGTTCCAGGCCGGAGAAGGAAGAGGAGTGTGAAGGGACATGGAACGATGATGATGATAACGAGCTGCAATAGGGATAACGGGGTTAGGATGCCGTTGATGACCGACAGGGGGACCGACAGGCTGAGTCTGAGCAGCAGCTTGGCGGAGAGCATTCACCCGGGCAATCTTCTGTGCATAGAGATCACCATGTGCATGGAGATAGGCGTCGGCAGCATCTGGGGCAGCAGGATGAGCTGCCGGAGGAGAAAGGCGGATAACCTCAATTCCGAGAGGCTGAACGTTGTCACCGTTATCGCCACGGGGGATGGGCTCGTGAAAGGGACGGTGGCCGTTGGTGCCGTTGAACGAGGCGTTGCTGGAATAAGGCACATCTTGCTGCTGGACAAGCTGTTAGCGGGAACTGCTTGATGAGGATGTCCATAGAGTTCTTGACGCACCTGGATGCTCATGTTGCTGAACTGAGCGTGAAGCTGGCCAACGTCGGCTGCGGTCATCTGTGTCTGAGTGCCGGCTTGGTGGACGAAACTTTGCTCAGCAGCCTTCTGCTGACCATCCACGAACGCGGGAAGCTTGCTCTTCGCGGCCTGGTAAGGCAAACGCGAGATGGGGTTCTCGAAGCCGTGAGGCTCGCTGCCTTGGTTCATGGAAGTATCCGCAGTCGGCCAACCGAAGTGAATGGCAGTACCATCACCAGCAGCGGCGTTGCTGTTCTCTCTGGAGTGTGAGCCAGGCCCCCAGATCTCGTGATGACGAGTGCCGATGGCGTAGTGGCCGACATAGCGAGGGACGTCAGAGTCGGGAGTCTGCATGGCTTTGCCTTTGCCTTTGCCGCTCGAGGCGCTGACGGGAGATTCGCTCATCCTGGCGGATGGATAGGGGTTGAGGGGTAGATGTGTGAAGTTGCTGAGGGCTGCGGTGCTGGCTCTAGCAGCAAAGGCAGAAGCAGCAATGACCTCGGGGCAGTCAACTAGGCTATCGTCGGGAGTGTCAGCCGTGGTAGCAGAGTTGAGACTCTCGGGAGAGCTGAGCAGATGGTAGGAGGCGAGGCCAGGGTTCCTCTCGTGGAAACTCGGAGTTCCCATGGTAGCTGAGGGCGATAGCGGTGTTCGTACGTGATTATGTCCTGAGTAAGTAAGTTGGATGGAAGGCAGTAGAGTGGCCTTGTCGTGCTGTATAGGAGGCAGAAACGCTTGATGGCTGCGAGAAAAGCACGCGGATGCTGCGTTGTAGGATAGAGAGAATGAGGTTGTCCAAACGTCAGGGAAAGCTGTAGAAAGTCCTGGTAGAAGCGTGTGCGATCTCCCGGAGACGAGGACTGGAGGCATTCATGAGTCAGTCGACAAACGGATCTGCGGGTGAGAATCCAGAGCACACAACCGCGTAGGGAAGTGAAAGGAAGCGAAGATGAGTGACCGGCCTCCGGGACGATCCAGGGAGGCAGGGAGGATGAGGGGAGATGCGTACAAGGTGTGCAGCTACTGATGCAAATTGCGAATGAAGACGCCAAAAGCAATGTTTGGTGAAGGAAGGAGAATCAGGGAAAAGGTTTGGGTCGAGTATGATGGATAAATAGACGAGCGGGCGTTTGAGCAATTCACGTTGCATTCACTTGAGGCCCAGATTGGTGGACTGCTGGGAGACGTTTGAATAGGCGGAGAGCTGGTGAATGGATCCGTTGGCCTGAAGTCGGAGGACCACAACAAGAAAAAGAAACCAGTCACCATTCCAAACTCCCGGACATAGGGAGTGAATATGTACTTGACGAGCCAAATACGAAGGATAGAGGAACAAGAAAAGAGATGACAAAGGAGGAGAAAAGGGAGGAGGGGGGCTACGGCTGTTGAAGAAGACATATGCAGCATTCTGCAGAAAAGCGTCCTGTTGAGTATGCCTTTGCGTCTTCTAAAGTGGCTCTTTATGCATGTTGCCTGGCTCGCTTTTATTCTCCTGTACCTGTGCGGCTGTATGGAGTCGTTCGCTTGCTTAGGTCGTAAATCTGGCAGTAACATGCCCATGGCTTTGGTTCCATATGAGAAACGTTCCGCGTACCGTAGAAGGAGAGAACAAGCATCCCAATGGACCAGTTGCGGAGTTATTGTAGCTCCTATTCGACCGCCTTCCAGATGGACGGTCTTTTATTCGGCCGCCAGGGGCCACAGAAGCTGGCCGCTGACGGATTTAGCCAGTAGATGCCTGTGTAACCGTGTGTGCAGAAAAGAATGAAGCCGGGCTACTTGTATTGCATTGTCTCGCGTTGTCGATCCCCGATGGGGACAGAATGGGAGCACGAAAACCGCCGGAAGATGAGCAGCTATTCCGACGTTTCTATTTCACCCTTCCCTCTTCCTTTGGAAAGTTGCAGTACACTCTCCGATATATGAATTTGCGCAATCGAAAGGCACGTATGGACAGAGTGGGCTTTTGGGGGCTGTCCGGAACCCCATCCGGTTGGGTTTCAAGTCTCCTTGCAGATTACATGTAGGAAGGTCTCACAACATGGGGATCTTTGTGTGATGCCCGCAAGTAAGCAGTCAAAGCTCTCGGCTGATGGCTGGGAGTCAACTGGAATAGATGGGAGGGAAGAGTAGAGAAAGGACGGGAAGAAAAGAAGCCGCTGCGGCAGGGTTCCATAAATCGATGTAAGGGGGAGGCAAGAGGAAAACCGAGAAACTTCAGGATTGGTACGAAAAACGAGCTGTGCAGGAATACGGTGGATGCTTCTCGTCGTCTTCTTTTTCTCTCCTGCAATTTATCCTTCTTCTCTCAGCAAGGCTTCGGAAACAAGATGCGTGTTCGACAACTTTCTTGGCCATGGTCTTGAATAGACCGTGGCCTCTCTGATGCTCCCATTGGAAGCTGGAGGAGCTGACAGGGGACAAAATACGCCTTCCAATCGGGCGGCAACGAGATCTATCTGACTATTGTCTGATCTGACTTGAATAAAACAGCGGTCATCTAAGCATAAAATGATCGTCTTTGCGTGCATCCGGCTTTGTTCGCGAACTGCCAGTCTCTGATGTTTCCGCTCCCCTCGCGCTGGCGATGCCAAGCAAACGAGCGCGTGCCACCCCTGGCGTGTTTCGCAGCCGCTCTGCTTCGGTGTTTGTGATATGTGATGGGCTATGAGGTGAGAACATGTCGGCACATGTAAGAATCGCATCAACAAGGTTATGTCATTGGATGTCTAGTCGAATATTTCTCCTCCCTCTTTAAGGCGGCATCACGCAGAATGGAAGTAAAGTGGTATCAACAGAAAAGACCATGATCGAATGAGCTCCGGATGACTGATGCTTCTTGTTTCATTCCTTTGGCAAATTTGCAGAGACAAACCTGGCTCAAAATAGATCAAAGGAAGAGGAAATCGAAAGAAAAGAAAACACCAGGGATAAGAAGCGTCCCGCGCGGAAGATCCTCACGACCCGAACGACCCCTGCAGCTGGGGCCTGAATCCGCCTGTCCAGGGATGCGCTCAGCCGTCGGTACGAGCTTCCGCGGTCCCAATCTTTCTGCTCCCTTTTCTTTGAGCAGCTGTAACAGTACAGGATATCGTGGAAACAGAAGAAGTGCGGTGGCTGGGCTCTGTTTCAAAGATCCCCAGTCTGTAGTCGTCACAAATAGACAACAGGACGGACAGGACAATTTTGGCTTGCATGTCTTGGGAGCTGCTCGTACGACGGTACTATTCTTAGGTGCCGTCGTGTTCATGTTTGCTTTTACCACGTTGGCACATCTCCACTGCTCATGATGCAGTGTTCTGCGAGACTTGATATTGTTCCTGGAATTGGAAAGATGCGGACTGACCACGAGCTGAGAAGGCGCAGCAGACGAAGAGACGACGTAAAATTTGGAAAGGTCGACAGCTTCACTCGAATATCACCTGTACGACGTAGTCAACACCATGGCGTGAAAATGTAGACAAGGTGCAGTTCCAGATTCGGCATGTATCTTCTGGAATCCTCCTCCCGGCTGCCCCCATCACGGAGAATAAATCCGAGTCGCTGCAAGATTGCAGGATAGATGTATCCGTTGCGAGATGCCAAGCTGGGGCATTGTCACCGTCGTTATGGTTCCCCTGTCCAGATCTATACATGCATAAAGTATCTACAGAGTACTCTTGGTGCTTCGCGATGAGCTCATACTGAAACATTGTGCTTTCGTCTTCAGTTTCCCTCCCTTTGTCATAAGCAAGCATCTTCAGCCATTAGCCTAGCTTCTGCAGTTCATACCCATATGTAGAAAGCGCATGCATCCCATCGGCGGTAGGGGTATCGGGATACTACGCTCCCGTGCCAAATCTGGCTACTACCCAATCCATCTTCCATCTCAATTCCCCAGAGTCCCTCAAAGGGCTGTCATATCTCGGACCCCAATCGCGGCATGATGACGGCGGACTGAACCCTTGCCTCTTCAGGGTCTCATATATCACATCTCCAGCCTCTGGGGAACCGCCCTCGAAACACGCGGCTCAACCGCAGCTGCGCTTTCCGGCGCCTACATGAAACACAACCTCGTCGACAGCAACCCCGCCGTATCTGATCTGGTCAGGCATGACCCAGTTTCTGCTGCTGGATCTAAATTTTATGGATCGATACCTCGTCGTCGGGCAAATGCGCTGGAATATCGCTCGGTATGCGGCGCGGTGCGTCTCTGTAGGTCGGAAGGGAAGAGTGCCACGGACCAAATTTGGCCGCCGCGGGTGGCAGTTTCATAGGCTTGGCCGGCGGCGATGAGACTGTGCTCCTGGTGAGTCCAGGCTCTGGTCTAAGAGACCAGTATCACCGTCGACTGCGATGATGAGAAACGAGTTCGGGGCGTCTTTCCATGCGCCGTACTCTCCACATAACTTGTTGCAAGCCTCTCCTTTGACAGCCTCTTCGAGGGTAGGAATAACTGTCTGGAGGACCGTTTCGGTAGCAATTTGCACAACCGTAGAGGCATCTGGACCAGCTGCGAGAACAGCCACAGTAACTTGATTATCAGGCACGAGGTCAATTAGAGACTAATAGACCCCAGCGCTGCCAGAATTTGTATGAAGATTGACATGGCGGCTGGTGGTGATGCCGCTTCGGGTTCGCACGATTCCCAAGGCGCGCGGATCAGGCTGCAAAGTATTTTGACGATTGTGCTGTCAGTGTTGGCCAGTAAGCCACTTCATGCGACTCTCTCACCTTTGAGGAACAAGGCAGCTGGTCATCGTTTATGTTCCAATAAGAGGCTGGGCAGTCCGAGCTGTGTCCAAAAGGCATGGAAAAGGCGGTGTCGTCGGTCACCCTTGACGTGCTACTTGCGGAGACATTGTGAGCCAGATGTGTGGTAGAAGCCGAAGATTGGGGAAGAGTCGAGCTGCGAAACGGCAGCCAAGGGGAAGGATGTTGTACTGCTGTTGAAGCTGCCGGAAGCTAGTTGTATCAGTGAGAATGGCTGTGTTGAGGGAGATTATGATGTTTAAATCAGCGTTTTGGATGATCTTGTTAGTTGATAGACGGACAAAGAGTCAAAGGATGGTCCTGGCAACACCCGGTCCGTTTCTGCAAACGAAAGGCAGCCCAGTGTCGCCATCGCGATACGAAGATGTGTAAGATCTACACCGTGGTGGTGTTTGCAGCTAATGAGTGGTACAACGAGACAAAATGCTTTCGACATTGGCATGATAAAGTAGAACAATTCATCCCGAGGTTTTATAGCAACTGTACGAGTGATGGATTGGGTTCTTTGACGGCGATTCAACGGACATTGTTTTCAGCATGGATTGTCCGCTGCAGAATTTCCATTCGGTACGCCTCCTTACGGAACATGTTTGTTGAGATGACGAGATTCAATTGGTAGCGTTTGCATGCATGGCACTGTGGTCCAACTTGATTTGTGCTGTGGGTGATTGGCTCTTAAGTCTTTGATTACCTGTTCCTTGTGTGACGGCGATTGAACTGCAACTTATTGATAGCTCTCATGCTTTGTGATCTAAGCAATCGCAACGCATGGTAAGGAAGTTCAAGACTTGCAATCCACTGATTTTGGAATTTTTCAGAATAAGGAGAAACACTGTTCACTACATGAGAATATTCCTGCGGAAACCGGCCGGCGTAGAATCCCTAGGGTATGCGCAGTCAACATTTCGACACGAGCCCCTAGAAGTATCTCACACAATACTCCGTGAAGCTATCTATATAGACAAGATCAGATCTTCTGCCTCAATCACACACTAACTGAGCACTTATAGACCTACTGCAACGAGCAAGATGCCTCATCAAGACGGCATTTGGCATGCGGGACTATATCACATCTTACATCAGATGCTAAGAGGGGCGCGCAACTTTAAAGCAAACACAAAGATCTATCCGTTTCCATCGAGCGAAATAGCAACCCCTGGATAACTGATCGGAAAACTATTTATGTGATGGGATTTCCTATCCGCGATTCGAGGATATTATAAGGAAAGAAAGCGATCAATTAGGACGTGGATGCCCGCACCAGTACGTGGCAACGTCGCTATCCGAGGGCCGCCGCCATCGTCCGGCAACGGATTCCGCGGGCACGGCTTGGAGACACTTGAAACAGCGACGGTAATATCGACTCTTATCAATCTGATAGCACAATTCTATCCGCGAGTAATCGTACGAGACGGTAAGACCTCATCCTCCTCATCTTACAGCCTATACCTCTCTAGCCGTCTTACAGCATCACATTAGGCGGTAAGATTGGCTGGTTTAAACGGATGCCGCGGGTTCCACGAATGATAGACGCTGCATGCGTGTCGCGGGGGAATTGGCGTCAGCTCTGAGCCGCTCCTCCAATGGATGGTTTGCTGGCAGTGAACGAGTGGCTGAACAAGTGCTGATGACGAAGAGAAACGTGGTCTGTCTTTCGAAATCCTTTGAAACTATGCTCGTATTCCCTGTCAGACCTCATGGGTTGATTTGCAATTCATATTCAGATCGCTTGTCAGGATGCCGCGGACTTGGTTGCAGCATTGCAACCCTCCTGCTTTGTCTTCATCAATACGATTGCTTCATCAGAGAAAATGGGATATATAAAAACTCTCAAGACGAGGTTGAGAGGCCACGATGGAGGTGTTGTGGCAGCGAAGAACGATAAGGGCGAGCTAGTCAAATCGTCGTCAATGGCCCATAGCGAACGCAAAATGAAGGCCGCCAAGGATACAAATCTCGTCGAGATTCCAAAAGTCAAAGGTGACTATGGCCAGACAAGCTATTCGCTGATGATGCAAATGAAGGAAGACTTACTGACGTGATTCGACACTGAGGCTATCCTGTCGTGGGAATTCTGCCACACATCGACCTCTCATCGCCGCTCTTCTCATTGATAGAGCTTCTGCAGCCTTATGGGCCCATTGTCCAATTCTCGATTGGCGGCGAGCTCAACATCTTCGCGCACAGCGTCGAGCTGTTGAACGAGCTCTGCGACGAGAAGAGATTCCACAAAGAGATCAAGCAAGAGCTGGAGAAGCTCCGCCATGTCGTCCACGATGGGCTGTTCACAGCGAAGCACGGCGAGCCCAATTGGGCGATTGCCCGTGGGATTCTGGCTCCGATCTTTGGGACGATCAAGATTCGTGAGATGTTCCCCGGAATGAAGGACGTCGCGGAGCAGCTGTGTCTCAAATGGTTCGCTTCCTTCTCGCAGACATTACTTGTGCTTCGTTGGTTGTGCTGACAGTGAGAAACAGGGCTCGCTTTGGCCCAGAATATGTTATCGACGTCACGTCCGACTTCACTCGGCTCACCCTCGATACACTTGCTCTGTGCACCATGGGTTACCGATTTAACAGCTTCCACAACGGCACAGTCATGCACCCTTTCGTCCTTAGCATGATACGGGCATTGAAAGAGTCCACCATGCAAGCGGCAATGCCAGGCGTTATCAACTCCCTTAGGAAGAGATCCTGGCACCGATTCGAGAAAGATACGGCTTACATGAGAGAGCTATGTCGAGAGATCATTCAAAGAAGAAAGGCCGAGACGGAAATGAACACCAACGATCTTTTAGGTGCGTTGCTGCAGGGCCGCGATCCCAAGACTGGAGAGGGCTTGTCTGAGGATTCCATCATCGACAACATGATTACCTTTTTGATCGCTGGTCACGAAACTACGTCGGGACTCTTATCGTTTGCCTTTTATTACATGCTGGCGTATCCCGAAACGATGAAAAAGGCTCGTCAGGAGGTCGACGAAGTCAGTCAGGGCACCCCAATCACAGTGGAGCATCTTTCCAGGCTGCCGTATCTCAACGCGATCCTCAGGGAGACGCTGCGTCTTCAGCCTACAGCCCCAGGCTTCTTCCTCGTTGCAGACGAGGACCAAATCATTGGCGGAAAGTATTTTATCCCGGCGAAAGTTCCCATCGGCATTCTGCTTCACTTAGTTCACCAAGACAAGGCCGTCTACGGCGATGACGCTGCTGAGTTCAAGCCGGAGAGAATGTTGGACGAAAATTTCAACAAGCTGCCACCCAACTGCTGGAAACCATTCGGCAACGGTATGAGGGGTTGCATAGGCAGAGCTTTTGCGACCCAGGAGGCACTGTTGATTACATCTATGCTCTTGCAGAACTTCACCTTTGAGATGGCGGATCCGACTTACAAGCTCAAGGTCAAGGAGACGCTGACCATCAAGCCCGACGACAACTTCCGTATGAAGGCAAAGCTCAGGCGTGGAGGCACTGCTACAGACTTTCAACGTGAGCTGTACTCGGTCGGCTCGACACAGGACGCCAAGACGAGCCTTGCCCCATCAACTAGTAACTTGTCACAGGCCGGCGATGGCAACAAGAAGCCGCTCACCATCCTCTTCGGATCAAACAGTGGCACATGTGAGGCTCTGGCATACAGGCTGGCATCTGATGCGACTCTCCATGGATACTACGCTCGCACGATTGCGCCTCTGAACGCGGCTTGCAACAACCTGCCAAAAGCTGAACCCGTCATCATTCTTGCAGCTTCCTATGATGGATTGCCATCGGACAATGCCGAAGAGTTCTTTGACTGGTTGAACAAGGTCGAAAAGGACTCCTTGAACGGAGTTTCATATGCGGTATTTGGCTGTGGACATCGTGACTGGGTTGCAACTTTTCAGCGAATACCCATCCTCATCGACGACCTCCTCCAGAGGGCCGGTGCCGAGAGATTTGCAGCAAGAGGCCTTGCAGACTCGGCGGTGATGGACCTCTTTGTCGAACTCGAGAAATGGACCGCAGAGTCCATTTGGCCAGCTATTGCGCAAACCGAGGGAGGAGGCGAAAGGGACGATGATGGCGAAGGCCGACTGATCACCTCGCTGCTCAAGGTTGACTTTTCTCAGCCGCGCCAGCTGAAGCAGTATTCTCACCTGGTAGAAGCGAGCGTGACGGATTCGCGGACTTTAACAACGGCTTCTGCGATCGGGAAAAAGGTGCACATCGAGATCCAGCTCCCCTCAAACCAGTCCTATCGTCCTGGCGACCATCTCCTTGTGCTCCCTGTGAATCCGATGAAAACCGTTAAGAGGGTTTTGTCACGCTTTCACCTGACGTGGGACACGATTGTGCGAGCGTCCGGCAATGATTCTGTGCGCATACCGGCTGATACGTCAATGACGGCACTTGAGTTGCTGAGCTCGTATTTCGAACTGTCTCAGCCGGCTACTCCGAGGGTAAGTTGCATCTCTTTGCGTCTTTGGAGATTGAGACAATCCACGGTTGCTAAAATTATGTACAGGACATTCGAGTCCTTGCGGCTGCGGCTGAGAATGAAGCAACAAAGCAGACTTTGATGGACTTGGCGACTTCGTCCTACGTCGAAAACATCCAGGAAAAGAGAACCTCTCTGCTGGATTTGTTGGAGAGGTTTCCCGAGATACCCATGGCCCTCGGAACTTACTTGACGCTTTTGCCATCCCTACGCCTTCGTACGTACTCGATCTCATCCTCGCCGTCCTGGAACCCGGGCCACGCTACATTGACCCTTTCAGTGTTGGAAGAGCCGGGGACAACAGACGGCGGCGAACACTTTCTAGGCGTGGCTTCCAATCATCTCGCTGGTCTGACGCGGGGGGACTTGCTTCATGTGGCCACACGCCCAGTTAAAGGCATTTTCCGGATGCCTGCCGACTTGTCCAAAGTACCGATTATCATGATTGCAGCAGGATCCGGTCTTGCGCCGTTCAGGGGTTTCATCCAAGAACGGGCTATTCAGCAGCGGAATGGAGTCAAGCTTGCACCCGCCGCCCTGTTCTTCGGATGCAGATCGTCGCATGATGATTTGTACCGCAGCGAGCTCGACGAATTTGAGTCGTCGGGGGTGATTCGCGTGTTCCGTGCCTACAGTAGAGAAGACGTTGGTGCCAACCCCAACGCCAGGAAGGGATACGTCCAGGACAGCATGACGGCGGAAAAGAATGCGTTTATACAGCTTTGGAATGCCGGGGCAAAGGTCTATGTGTGCGGAAGCGTGAGAATGGCTTCGCAGGTCAAGGATCTGGTGACGAAGCTGGTGTATGCAGCTGAGACGACGGGGGCCTCGAAGCAATTCACTCCTCAGGAGTGGTTCAAGCGCTTTGAGAAGACGCGATATGCCGCTGAGATCTTTACCTAGGCAAGGTTTCGGCAGTGTCGGTCATTCTTTTTGTATTTCACCAGTTTGTACTGTGCATCACTTAGCGATCAGATGTAGTAACAGAATGATACCATGTGTGAGGCTCCTTGGATTGCTGCGGCTGAGCTGTGAAACTGTTCTCGTAGATTACTGCAGCCTTCAAGTTGGCAGCCTCGTCAACAATGAGATATGGCTACCTTTGATCAATGCCTAACAGGCCAGCAAGTGACTCGAATGATTGAATCAGCCAACAACGGTAGAAGAAGACTTCTTGCACATATCGAAGCCCGTCGTTGCTCAAAAGGAGTGTGAAATGAGGCAATCTGTTCAAGCTGGCTCAGTGGTGAGAAAAGAGGCCCCGACGTCATTTAGCCATCACGTGACGCCGTCACCAAAGTGAGCGCGTCTCCCTTTATGGCCCCGTAACCTCTAAAAAACACGCGTTCGCATGAAATTCACTGTCAAGGGCAAAACTCACATGCTGCAACGACGGCCGCATGCTTGCACATGCATAGACCGAGTCTTTGTCATCCGACGCCTCTGACCATCACAGCTTAAGCCTCAGCCTCAGTCTCGGCAGCCTTGATGACAGCTGCGGCTCGAGCCTGCAAATCATGTCCCGGGGCGACGAGAGCTTCCCCCGCTACACTTACATGATGGACTTCAACCCCGACGAGGACACGCCGCTGAGGGACTACTGGCAGACCGCCGACGATCTGGACAACGAGGATGCGGCCACCATTGCCAGCTTGGCCACGCAGGCGCTGCAGTCCAAGACCTACGGGTACGGCGACGGCCAGGTGAGTGAGTCGCTGGTGGCGAACTACATGTACAGCGAGAGTCGCTCGTCGCCGCAGTCGCAGCACTCGACCACCATGCAGGCGGAGCCGGCAGAGTCGTTCCGGGGGCTCATGGAGGATCATGACCGCGGCGCTCAGCTGGCCGAGGAGAACGCCGCCATTTCAGAGTACGACTTTCACCATGAGACCAGGGGCCACGCATCTGAGGAGGTGGCTGGAATGGAGGAGCCGAGTGCGGTGTCGAGGGAGCAGCACGGGCATGAGGAGGAGCACTATGCGCATGATCCCTATCGGCCTTTGCTGAGCGCGGCAGCAGCAGATGAGAACTTATCGCACACATACCAGGTTGAGATGAGTGCAGCGATGACGGCCAGCCGCGTGGTGAATGGGGTGTTGCGCCGCTCATATGCATCAACGCCAAACGAGATGGATGTGGAGCCGCAGTCGCTCCAGTCACAGTTACCACGGCCAACATCGCCCCAGTCCGAGTCTTCTCCTGTTAGCGTAGAGACGCCCGAAGAAGTGGAACCAGAGCAGGAGGTGACGATTGCCGATGACGAGCACCAAGTCGATGGCGAGCCTGAAACTGCACCCATCATGGAACACGAGAAGGGCAATGAAGAAGGAGACGAAGACGTGCTAGAACATGGAAACGAAGGCCCAAGGGAAGAAACGGAAGAGAGAAGGGATGGTGGTGAGCCAGAGGAACAAGGGAGAGTGGAGGAAATCGATCAAGCAGAAGAAGTGAGAGACAAGGAAGTCGAAGCAGTTGAAGAATCGGGAGTGGAGGAAGACGATGCGCAAAGGACGGGAGACCAAGGACAAGAAGGAACGGAGGAGGCACAAAGAGACGAAACATGGCAGGCCGAGAGAGAAGAAGAAGCTTGGTCGGAAGCCGGAGTGCAGCAGCAGCTCATCATGGAATCCAACGAGCAGCGACCGACGATAGACGACAGCGAGGACCTGCCACCACCCCGACAAGCACCGAGAAAACGCGGCCGTCCGCGGAAGAGTGATGCGGCACTAGCACCACCGGATATTGCGCCAGAACTACTTCAAGCCGCCGAGGTCTCTGTGCATGAAGAGGCCAGCTTTGTTGGCGAGGCGATGGAAACGACCGCGACTGACGGGGCTGATTTCAGCCGAGCGGAAGAGGTGCCCACTGACAGGAAGCGCGGCAGGCCGCGTAAGAGTGAGGGTTCGAAGTCTGCGCCAACACCAAGGGCAAGGTCAGCATCAACGAGAAGGGGACCGGGAAGACCACGGAAAACAAGCGTCGACACGGCTCCCAAGGCAATCCAAACGGCGACAGTCTCTACCGGAAAACGAGGACGGCCACGCAAGAGCAGCATGGTGGCCTCGGTCCAGACCTCAACGGCGACGCCACCAACTTCGGGCAAACGAGGGCGGCCCCGTAAAAGCGAGACAACGGAGACAAGCGTACAAGCCTCTACTACAGAAGCTGAGGTGCCCAAACGTGGGGAGGTGGGAGCTGGAGTGTCGGTTCCGACCAAACGAGGACGACCCCGGAAAAGTGAGGCGATGCTCACTGACGAAATCCAATCGCCCACAGTCCAATCAGCAGCATCTGCTGCGCGAGCACCGAGCAGAAGAGGGCGGCCGCGAAAAAGCGATACGATCGATATCGCTCACGTCTCTACTAACCAACCTCAGCAATCTGCGACTGAGGCAGCTGCAGTTGAATCACCACTGCCGACAGCAACTTCAGGAAAACGAGGGCGACCACGGAAAAGTGAGACGATGCCGGTAGACGAAGCTCGGATACCTCTGGTCGAATCGGCAACATCTACAGCCCGGTCTTCAAGCAGACGAGGACGTCCTAGAAAAAGAGACGTCTCGACCCACGAAGCTCACCTGCCTGAACTTGGAAAGACTACAGCTGGGACCGCAACAATTACAGCTCGATCGTCCAGCAGACGAGGACGGCCCAGGAAAAGCGACACATCAGGCGACGCACAAGCCTCTGCCGGTGACTCTCAGCCACCTGCTGTTGAGACAGCTGCAGTCGGCGCCGCAACACCTGCGGCTCGATCTTCTAGCAGAAGAGGACGGCCCAGGAAAAGCGATCCGTTGGCTTTTGCACAAGCCTCCACCAATGAGTTCCAACTATCTGCGGATGAATCAACAGTCCAAGCCACAACGCCTGTAGCTCGATCCTTGAGCAGACGAGGACGACCGAGGAAGCGGAAGACGTTGGACACCGCAACGCAAGACTCTACCGACAAATCCCGGCCGTCTGCAGATGCAACAGTTACTGTAACCACTACATCTGTAGTTCGGTCTTTGAGCAGACGAGGACGACCTAGGAAACGCGATATGTCGGATGTCACACAAGTTCCTACCGGCGAGACCCAGCAACTGGTGGATGAAACAGCAACTGAAGCCATGATACCCGCAGCTCGATCATCTAGCAGACGAGGACGTCCCCGTAAAAGCGATATCCCGAATGAAATAACACAAACCTCTGCCAATGAGTCTCAGTTACCTAGGGTTGAAAGAGCAGCATCTTCAGTCCGATCCTCCAGCAGACGGGGGCGACCCCGAAAGAGCAGCTTTGTAGGCGCAAACCCACAGGCATTTGCTGCAGACCTTCAGGTGTCCTCGACTGAAGCTTCAACGACCACAAGTTCTGCCCTGGCCAAAAGAGGGCGGCCACGAAGCGCAAGTGTCGCATCGTCGACGGCTACGCCCGGTAGGCGCGGACGACCTCCGAAGAACACTGTTCCATTATCGCCGGCGGAAATCGAGGCTTTGACTGGTGACAACCCGACAACTACGGCTGTCTCGACCTTTTCGATACCCTTGGGCCAGCCAATTCGAGCTTTCCTAGACGCTGACGAAACCGAAGAAGAGGAAGAAGCTGCCCCTCCATCTCCGCTCTTTGTCAAGAAACGTGGAAGAGGCAGACCGCCCAAGAGTCCAGCATTGTTGCCTGCAAATGTACCGAGTTCCGCTCCGGAAGCGAACCAGGCTAGGGACATTTGGGAATTCGATCCGCAGTCTCCGATCTCCAAGAATGTCTCGCGAAAATTGACTGCGCTCGGGAAAGCCCATCGACCAACTCAGGAGGCCACAGAGGGAACGCCCGTGAGGAAACGGGGCAGGCGGGAGTCTGTGGTCGTGGACCAGCCCCCAGTAGACGCTCCTGTTACTTCCCCAGCAAAGAAACGTGGCAGGCCGCCGAAGGAGACTGCAGTTGCTCGCTTGGCAAATAATGACGGACCATCTGTTGAAGTGGAGGATTCTGAAGAAGAAGGGCCCATGACCAAGAAATTTCGCACAGACGAGGACACCACAATGGAAGACGCAGTTCACGAGGACGAACCTCAGAGGCAGTCTCTGGAAGTTGGAGTATCCAGAGCGTCGGAGCGGACAGATACAACATCACCGAGTCACACTACTCATCAGCAGCCCGCTCCAATCTCGAACGAGCCACGCAGTTTTGGTTCTACGGGACAGTCGAGTGCTTCGTCTAACCTGTCAAAGCCATCCTCTCGCCCTGATGAACACCCGCGCGTTACAAGAGAGAGTCCCACGATTATCGAGAAGCTCGACAAGAGCACACAGACGAAAGCTGTCGAAAAGCCACCCGCCGAACCGCCAAGGTCGATTTTCGAATTGTTAGCTGGAGCAAGGAGGACGAATAAGGTGCAAAAGACGTACGGTAAACGCTTTAAAAGATTATGAGCCGGGGTGTTTTGACTTGTTGAGATTTTATCAGATAGGTTTGGCTGGCATGGTCGCGCGTGTAAACGTGCAGAAACATCAATGAGGGTATATGCTATAGCTGCGGCGCAAAAGGGGTTTTCTTTTCAGTCATAAGGCAAGGTGGAGTGGCCAACTCCAGTTCAGAGGTCAATGAGTACCCGTCATGAGATCTTTCTATATACTAGGTAGATGCGAGGGAGAACAAGGAAAATCATCATTAACTCTCATCAAAATTGCTGCTGATTCTTCTCACATGCTTTGTCTAGGCTTATGGTCACCAGCCCTAAGATACTCTCGGGGCTTCTAAGTGCTTGATCCACCGGCTTACAATCGCGACGCTCCATCACTTGCGACAGATGATCTCACCGTGAACGACTGAAAACCATGCATCCTCCTCCTTCCCCCATCTCGTCCACGCCTCAGCCGCCTTGTCCAGCCTCTCCTCGGTCCCCGTGCCGTTCTCTAGCGCTGTCTTCGCAAATGACGAGGCCACCGTCCGCTCCGCCCACAGGCCGCTCCACCAGGCGACCTCCTCAGCCGTGCTGTAGCACCAGGTGCTCGATCCGCTGGTGACGGAAGCCGGCGCGAAGCCGGCCTTCTTGGCCCAGGCGTGGATCATGCGGCCGGCGTGGGGCTCACCGCCGTTGGACCGCGCGTTGGCCGAGTAGAGGGCCAGCCAGTCGTCCATGCCGTCGACCTGAGGGTACCACACGAAGCCGCCAAAGTCGGACTCCCTGGCGGCGACGATGCCGCCCGTCTTGGCCACGCGGCGCATCTCGCGCAGGATGTTGACGGGGTCCTTGACGTGCTGCAGCACCTGGTGGCAGACGACCACGTCAAACGTCTCGTCGGCGAACTGCAGCGCGTTGGCGTCGCCCTCAACGAAATCAACGTTGGTGACGCCCTTTTCCTGGGCCAGCTGGCGGGCCTGGACGAGCACCGCGCTGGCGTTCTCGAGCCCCGTAACGTGGCCCTGCGGTACGTGCTTCGCGGCCAGGTCCACAGTGATTGTTCCTGGGCCGCAGCCGATGTCGAGTATCTTCATGGAGGGAGTGAGATGGGGCAGCAGGTAGGCGGCCGAGTTGGCGGCGGTGCGCCATGTGTGGGAGCGGAGAACGGAGGCGTGGTGGCCGTGGGTGTAAGTGGCGCCCTCGGTCTTTGACATGGTGGCGATGTTTGCTGTGATGGTGTTTCTGTATGCTGGTGTTTGAAAGAGGGGGTGAGATGTGAGGAGGTGGCGAGAGCGAGGATTCGAGAGTATGAGATGGTTTGAAGGATGATAAGGAAGAGTGAAGAATGATAGCTTGAGAGTAGATTGGCGGATAGCGCTGACTAGACGTCAAAGATATACTTTTTGGTTTGGAGTGAGTTTGGAGATTGGGCTTTGATCTTACTTGCCAGTAACTTTGGAGAGCTCCGAGCTGAGGAGAGGCCGATATCGGAGACGCAGCAGGTTTCCGAGTTGCACATGCTGCAGCATCTTTCCTTTTTCTGTTGATTTTCGTAAAAGTTCAGTTACGGAAACATGTCAATGGAGCCCTTGGGTATTTTGTGACTGATCGAGATTTGCTGCTGAAAGCAGGACAGCTGAAGGTGCTGATGCGCCGGTGAGTTGAGAGGTTGAAGGGAAGAGCCGAGTGTAATGGCTGGATTGAAGATAAAGGACGAAGAGAAAAGCTCAGAGGTACCGACAAACAGAAAAAATAAATAAAGAAAAAACGGATGCCATTCAAGACGAACGGAGAAAAAGACTTAGTAGTAGAAAGATGCAGAGAAACGGAGATACCTCCAAGGTGCAAGCCGGCATTAGTTGCCCTTCAAGACGTTCCAGCCAACATCACCACCATCACTAACATCACCAAGTACATTTGCCGAGAACTGGAGAACGTCATACAACTTTCCGTACTAATCCTTGTTAATGACACCCTCCTCGGTAGCATGCAGAGTCGTCACCCTCTTGATGCCACTCTCCAACCTCTCCAGGGTCATTGCATAGCCCTTGTGGTCACATCAGCTCTTGACCATGCGCGCACCGCGTTCTTGATCTCTCGTCCGTTGAGCTGCTACAGCGAGAGTTGGCCGATCTCGGCATCTTCTAGAGGCGCCAACGTCTTTGCATCCGTCTCTGTCTCTGCTTCGGTGCCCACAGTTGGAACTACATCTCGTCCTCGTGGTGATACATCGAGCCCATCTTGCTCCAGCAGTCGCTGCAAGAACGTGCGCCGAACGATGTCCCTAGCCTCCCTATTCAATGAGTGGAAGAGGAAAGTGCAAGCTGACCCTGCTAAGAAAAGCAGCTTCACTGATATGATAGAGATGCGTTGCGAGAAAGATGATGCCAGGGAAGTACTCGAGCTCGCGCAGAAAGATGCTAACCGGCTCGTTCCGGTGGATGTCTTTGGAATTACGCGCGACCCTGAAGACGCTCAGCTTTGCCCAACAGGGTAACGACGTTCCATGTCGTCGCCATCTTGAACACTCGCTTGATGTTCGCGCCGAGGGGCGCCGCGTTGATGCCGAGATCTTCGGCCTGCATGTAGATAGCGGGCGGTGGGTGCGATCGGCGACGGCCTCTGCGGCGAGGGTCTTGCCGTTTCCCGGAGCGCCCGAGAGAAGGATGATGAGGCCTTGGCCTTTGCCGATGATGACGTCTCCCATGGGGACGGGACGGCCGTTGGTGGTTAAGACGGCGGTGGATGACGAGGAGGATGCTTGTGAGATCGTTTGGTGGGTGTTGTGATCCTGGGAAAGGGAGAGGACGAGGTGTTTTTGCTGGTCATCATAGGTGAGAGAGGGCCGTGCCGTTCCAGGCCATGGGCTTGACGTCCTTGATATATAGAATCCCACTGGTTGATCTTTTAGCTGTCAGCGTTGCTGGCCTCATGACGATGAATTGCCTTATACATAAGAGAAGCCAAAAGTGCCATATCTGATTACTGAAGGCATATCCAGCCAACATTCGAGAAACAAAACACAGGCCATCTTCTCGCAACTCCATATGCTGCTTGTTCTGCAAAAGGTCTCCCTCTCCCAGAGCCGCACGGCAATCCGCTTACCAGCAGACGACTCTTCTAACGCATCCTCGTCAGAGTCAGGCTTGAGTCAGAACCAGAGTCAGACATACTGAACCCCATGTCATCAGTGTCGTCGTCTTATTAATTTATTGCTTTCCCTTGGCCAAGTAGGACATGTGATGGCCGACAGCATGGGGAAAAGAAGGACCTTGCACATTACGCTTCCATAGCAATTCTTACCAGTATCATGGAAAGCAATCCCATCGAGCAAACGTCAACGAAGACTGTGTAAATTGAGAACTTTGCGGCCGCGAACTGTCAGACGTTGCTTGACGTCCTCGGGGCTCGAGTGGAATTCGAGCAGATGATGGCACAATTTGACTATTGGCCTGTTGCCTTCAAATCCGGGAATTGTCAGTATTAGCTCTTGCCAGACAAACTTCTGGGGGTTTCAGAACCTTTGTCTTGACTTAGCTAAGTTCTTGTTGACATAGATAGCGCTTTCATCTTTGACTACCTACCTAGGCAGGAACTCTGGGCTGATACCAAAGCTGTACATCATCAAGCCTAGCGGGAGCAATGTCCAAGATATCCCAAAGTCGGCCAAACGGCCTGCCTGGATGTTGCGTCGCTTTGGTGACCATTTCACAAACTGTTCTCGTCGTTGACGGGCTTCGATAGTCGATTGTCGGAGCTTGCTTGCAACCTCCTGGCAACCTGAAGTGGCGTAAAGAGGTTAGTTTCAAGCATCTAGAACCATATTCTGCCGGCATGAGCAAGGCGGCGCCAGGAAAGTTTTGGCCGTTAAAAAGGGACGCAAAATACGAGTTACAAGAGGAACATGTCTTCACACAGCGTTGCCCTCAAGGAGATGACAAAATTGGAGTCAAAGTCGTGTGTTATTACAATAAGGATGAAGAAGGAGCTGAGTGACGTTCGAAGCCAACATCTACTGACCAACGCCTCCTTCACTGCCACGTTCTGAAACATGTCACGGCTAGAAATTCTCCCTCTTCGTTGTCCCTCTTCGTTGACAGCTAATGTAGTAGCCTGAGTCTTGTACTCAGCACGTGGTGAGCTTGGGATATCACCTAGCAATGGATGACTGCCGGCTCCCCTTCGTGTTCTATTCTGCTTTAGCACGTACGTGTTTTCATTGACAGCTGGCAGCCTCAGGCTTCTCGTCACTCACACGTGATGAGGTTCATATATGAAGAAGCAGACTTTTGCTAGCTGCTCATCTTTTCTTCTTGCTTTCCTGCATCTTCGTGAGACGGTATCTATTCTCAAGCAGAGCTGTGCCAAAGCCAGCTCAGCTCGTCGCTTGCATTCCTACAGCCGTGCATTACCTCTGAGGTCACCTCCCCCCCACCATCCTAGACATCACCAAGATGCAAGGCGACCCAGACTTGTCGAAAGATCAAGGCGAGGTGAACCTCAAGACGAAAACAGAAGAGGAGCACGTGAAACTCCGAACGATAATCTTCGAAGCAATCAAGCTGGGAGACACCCAGCTTTTGGCCGTCGCCAACGATTTCCTAAATTTCTTCAACAAATTCATGCAGTTAGAGATGTTGTTCTTTCAGAACGAGAACGGAGTGCTGAGAGTTGCTGAACGTGTCCAAAAAATAAATATCACTATCAGGCGAGAGGAGCCCGAGATCACCCAGCATAACGAGTGGTTGCAAAGAGTCGCCAACGACATGGAGGAAGTGGAGGACATATGGGAAGCCATTCAAAACGACAAAAATACTATTCGGCACCTAAGACGTGATGTTCTCCTTTTCTGTGAGAGTTTTACAGACGAAGCATTGGAGACGATAAACGAGATGAAAAACACCTTCAAGGAGTGACGCTGCGCAGGACCACCGAACGGACGACGCGACCACACGCAATGCTCAACCAAGCGACGACATATTGGGGTGTATGGAGGAATAAACCGAGGGAGCAATGGAGGGAGCAATGGAGCAATTTTCGAAACGGCTACTTGGGTCTTCCAATTTGGCGTATAATTAGAGATTCATGCGGGAAATGGTTAGAAAAGGTGCTATGGAGACATTGCAACGATGTCGGTGCGAATTGATGGGAGGCTTGGAGGATCTGGGGTATACGAGAACAGTTATCGACAGAGCATCACCAAAGTTGCTGATTGATAGTATCACTGGGTCTGTCAATTGGTAACCCCAATACTCCAGCTCCTTGTTAAATACCGTCTTCTGTGATCTTCCGTAATGCGCTTGGAACAGTGTAGTGTTGAGTCGCGTTGAGGCTGCACGACAATATAGCATATAGCCCTGTCATCACATTGGACATCGCAGGCCAAGCCGGCCCTGGAGGGCCCAAGTGATTTGTGCCTCGTTCTCATCAATCTTTAGGCGAGAATCTTCTGTGGCTCGCCAAAGGCGCAATTCCACGACGAGTCCTTGTTCAGCGTAACGCCTTTCTTTCTCTTCTGCCTAAGTTTTGATATGGATGAGATTTGACTACCGTCAGTCACCCGTACCCATTCTCGTTCGCGCTCGTCTTCAATATCTCAGCGCGACTGGCCTTCTCTTCACATAACGCAACCATCAAAGTAAGGGTAATCGAACAGAAGCCTGAGAGAGTGTGCACCCTCATCTGTAAGCAATCGAAGGTGAATGCAGGCTTCACCTTCACCAGTAATCTGAACCTCGTGTGACTTGGCAGTGTCACCCACTGTAACCGCATCCACATGCCATATTGGTATAAACATTGGCTTCATTCATCGTTTGCACCTTTTAGCTCACAATCCAATGTAGAAGGCATGTCAGCCAATGTTTGCTACTGGAGGTTATATGTCTATTGGGCCTGAAGAACTAATAACTTGCTATATTGCTCCCTGCTTCTTTTCCTCTAGTTCTTGTAAGAGCTCGACAAAGTCCTTATCGCCTGCTGCTGCCAGTGCCTGGAAATGTTGCATGTTATCTTGGATCCATTGGTCTTCCTCTCCCGTCTATCCAACATACAAGTAGTTTGTCAGTGACATTACGGACGTTCCCTACACATGGTCGACTTACTTTCGGGCGGCCAATCCCGGCTTCTAGCGCCGTCGTCAAGGCGCCCATCACCCAAACTGTGCGCAGTCCCTCTTCGCCTTGACGCCCTACAATCCTCTCCCAGTGGGTTACGATTTGTTTGCAGTGGTCCAAGTACACTTCATTCGTGCGATTACTGCCGGCTCGTGTACGGATTATGACGCGGTTATAGCTTTGTCGAACGCCCCCGCGAAAAACGACCTGGTTGCTCACATCTGTGTAGCGAACATTTATAAAGAAGCGTGGAGTGTTGAACCGCTGTGAGTGCTCAGTCGTAAATGCAATGGCGAGCTGCTCTTGTTGTTCAAGAGTCAGAGGAGTCACATACTCAACGTCGTAGAGAGGCATTTGGAAGCAGATCAATCCTGATGTACAAAATATTCACCTTTGTATATTGTATGAGATTGATGTGCATCGGTCGTGTTAATACGTTGATATACCTTGACGTGGCCGAGGTTGAACAAGCTTGTCCACTTGCCTCGGTTCAGATGTCGGCCGTGTCCACTAATTGTTACGCAACTCCTCCGTTCAAGATCTGTTGAACAGATCATTATTATTCAGCGGGCTTTGCTACTTCGCAGCTAATAGTACAGATTCAACGACCTAATGACTTTGTATAGAAGCAACATCTAACTCAGAAGGAGACCCCTGTTTTCTGACACAGTATGTAATCTTGGCTTCATAATCCATCCGGAGTCCAAACGAGTACTACGACTACCTACCTTATCTCAAGTATTACGCTTTCTTGCCAGATTCACGGTGTTGCTAGCGAAACTGGTGAGCCTTCGTTTCGTCTTTCCCACGCTAGCAGGCCTCGATATCGGCGGGGGTTGAAGCTGCATGCATGTGTCTCATATATCCAATCAGAGATGCTGTCAGCACGCCCTACAATTGACGACGCTTAGTAACGTCACGGCGAAGCAGTCATACCCCAAGTACTCCATTCGACCATGGGACTGCCTGAGTCCTGATATAATCACGATACGACCTCACGGCGCCCTAACATCGATTCACGACCACGGAAGTTGCCGAGACTCAGATTCCTTAGCCTAATAACTCGAAATTCTCTCTAAACTACAAGTGGCACACTTGGCTGCGATGGACGATGATGAGTTTATAGATTTCTCCGATTGCATTGACAACGCAGCCGTCCCAAACGAGTCATGCGAGTCTTGCATCCAGCAGCACAACCGCTGTCAAGTGACACCAGAGAGTAGACCTTTGGGAGTCTGCACGTCTTGCATGGAAGCGGGAAGAGTCTGTTCCTTAACAACTACGAGGGGGGGCGCTATTGAGGCTCAAACAGGGGCATTCTCCAACGATCATCAGAACATGCTGCAGCAGCTTGCAGGGCACACATACAGCACATCAGAGTCCAGCTTCACGATAAACGAATCGCAGGGCGAAGATGCCACGGATCCTGTGGAAAGACAACCCAAAGCAGGCGCCAGATTCTCACGAGAGGCACTCCGGATTCTTAGAAACTGGCTAACATCCAACCATCGCCGTCCGTATCTCAGCAGCGAAGACAAGGAGGACCTGTCGCGTCAGACAGGCTTGAACAAGACACAGATCAGCAACTGGGTGGCAAATGCTCGTCGCAGAGGGAAAGTCCGGGCTCCTCGCTCCATCTCGTCGAGTCCGGGTCGACTCCCTATCGGTATCGACATTCCACCGAGAGTTGCTCCCCTCACACGAGAGATGAGTCCGATGGAGCGATGGCGGAATTCTCCGCCTGATCAGGAGCCGGCCTCAATAGCTGCCATTGCTACGGCGGTATCGTGTTCCAAACTCTCGGCTGGGGCCAATGACAGGAATAGGAGCATCGATGATGGTTTGGCGGGCTCTCTCGATCGTCTTTCATCCGCCGGCAGCTCGAGAACATCGCATTCCAGTAAAGGCTCGCTTAGCACAGTCGACTCTCACAAGTCTCGCGAGTCTCTGGTATCTCTATCCTCACTGAAGAGTCGCGGAAGACGTCGCCGACGCCGACAGGCCTCCAAGGCCGTCAATATTTCGTCCATGCTTCCCACTATACATATGTACCAGTGCACCTTCTGCACTGAGACGTTCAAGACGAAGCACGACTGGCAGAGACACGAGAAGTCATTGCATTTGTCTCTTGAGCGATGGGTTTGCTCACCCGATGGGCCAATACAGTTATGCGCCGAATGGAATTGCCTGGCATGCGTCTACTGCGGATTGAAGAATCCAACTCCGGAGCACGCCGATCAGCACAATGACTTTGTGTGTGCTGAAAAGTCAGTGCAAGAGAAGACTTTCTACCGAAAAGATCATCTACGCCAGCATTTGAACATTGTTCACGATGCAAAGTTCCAGAAATGGCCCATGAATGATTGGAAAGTAGCGACACCACCTGTGCGATCTAGGTGTGGGTTCTGTGGCACCTTACTGGATTCCTGGGATGCCCGCGTCGGACACCTTGCTGAACATTTCAAGAAAGGCAAGTCCATGGCGGACTGGAGGGGCGACTGGGGCTTCCAGAACGAGATACTGAGGATTGTTGAGAATGGAATGCCGCCTTGTGAGTCCTTGGTTCTTCGAGAGAGAATGACGGCGAAGTATTAACCTTCCACAGATCTCATCCACCACGAGCGGAATACTCTTGATCCCTATGAAGCTTCTAGAGGTGAAGTCAGATGCGGCAAAGATTTAGAAGACTATGTCAAGCTTTGGCTCATTGACTATGTCAATGACAGAAATATGTCTGGCATGGCGGTTACAGATGGTCAACTGCTTCTTGAGGCTCAAAGGATTGTCCAGAAGGTTGATATAGAAGACACCTCGCCTACAGGTCCTGCTGTATCATGGTTCCGCGATCTCATCATGCTTCAGGGAACGTCTCCTGATGCGGCAAACGTTAGACACCCTACGACTTCGAAGACTGCGGCATGGACAGCTCAGATTGAGAAACTGCACGCTTCCAAGTGCGCAAATGCTGACTTGGGAGTTATCGGATGCGAAAAGGAGAAGATGCTCCTGCAGTATGTCAAGTCCAGACAGACTTGCGGCCAAATACCCACAGATGCCGAGCTACAATTCCAAGCATGCAGGATCTTGGAGGATGTCGAACCCAAGTCCAACTTTAAATGCAAAGAGGCCGTGCAATGGTTCAAGTTCTTGATCAACTATTCAACCCACTGGCTCTTTAATTTCAAGCGCCGTGCAGGACTGTCATCAAGTCCTGGCCTAAGTGGTTTTCTAGCTTCTCGCGAGGATATTTTACCAGCAGCATCTGTTCCAGGAAGCCTGACTGCAGCTGGTCAATTCGAAGCCACAAAAGCTGACGCAACTATTTCTCTTCAAGCCTTACACTGGAGTCTCTCAGATGAGGCTGTCAGTCACACATCACCAATGGATGCCAAGGGCTCTCAGCCCTCATCGTCGATAGAAACGCCACCGTCCACCAATTCCCAGAGTCAGCCGTTACGCTATTTCCTCAGCGATGCAAACTGTTACGGGAGGCTGGAAAAGGAACTCACTCGATTCGTCACCAGCTGTCTCAGCCCAAACAACCCACTTCAACACGTAGGTTTCCGCTCTTCAATGCTTCTAGTCCTCTTCATCATCCAGTGTCACGACTTTTTCTGACTAGTCTTCAGGTCCCCACCGATGAAGAGCTCCAATATCAGGCTCGCTGGATAATCTACGATGATGACGATCCATGGAACCAGACCGCTGCCGACAATGCCGAGTGGCTGGCTCGATTCAAACGCGACGCTGGTCTTGTCACCTCTGACGGAGTCAACGGCCTGGTAGCAACTGGCGCTCCTCGGCCTTGGAGGATAAAGGACGGCGGAACAGGCTTCGTACCACCGTTCGTCAAGCCTAAGGCAGATGCTACGATACAAGTTGCGGAAGACTTACCCGTATACATTGACTATCGGCTGTACACTGTGGGCAAAGATACAGCAGAACGCTACATTCGCGGGCTCTGTGACGGAGAGTATCAGCCTCCTCCCTTGGTGTTCTGTTCGCGCGAGCTGGAACAGGGCCTAAATGTCTACATCGAAGAATGCATCAAGGAGCTCTATGTGCCTTCAGATGATGACTTGCGCTCCAAGGCGCGAGAAATACTGGGCATGGAGAGCACTGCGGCCGATGACCCAAAACTGCTTGAGGCGTTCAAAGCAATGCATGCTCTTTGGCAGACGCAAGCCAACGACTTGACTGCGTTCATACCAGACGGGCATGCCAGTAGCAACAATGTCGGATTCTCGGATGGTATGAATGACTGGGGATTGGATGCGGAGCAGATGAATGCTTTCGACGTACTACCGAATTCAACTTAAATGAGATATTACCGTTATCAATCCCAGAATCACGCTATAAAGATACATGCCAGATATGTTACAAGAGCTGGTAATATGAGAAAGGACCTTGTTTCTTGTAGAGCATATAATGCTATCAAGGCGTGAAATCGAGCACATCTCCAGCTTTAGGGCGAGCCAGGTAATCCTTAGGTATTTTGTCGGGAGGCGGTGCCTGGCTGGAGCTTAGCAACTGGAGAACCGGCAGTGGAGCAGTTACTCACCTGTATGCGTTCTGCCCAACGGCGTATATCGTCGTAGTTTTTGCAGACGTGCTTTGTGCTGAAATCTGGGAATGCCGTCGGCTCCTTGGGATCTATCCATACCTGTCCCAGTACACCTGTATCTACATTGCACATTAAGACTTGACGGAGTGTATCGAGGCAATGTGCTTCAAGTTGTGTTGTTAGATGATTAGTAAGGCATTTGTGACAGGAATCTGGGTACTCATTGGGATGTACTTACTGATGTGTAGCCGGAGGATAAACTCTTCGTTAACGAAGGCGTGCTCCCCTAGCTCTTTGTAGTGATCGTAGTTGAAGTAGAGGGCTTTGCGCATCAAATTCTGTCAAGGAGTCAGCAGATTCATCCAGGTCTGTCATATTGAAGTCGGGAGAGACGTAATCATACCAAGCAATGTAGATGATGCATTCCCTCGACATTCACAATGAAGCCTCCGCCATACTTTTCCGCTCGCTGGACGAAGGATGGGTCCAGGCCACTTGCTGTACCATCCTCATATGAGATGACACCAGATCGATCTCCAAATTGTCAGATGTAGTTGGTTCGCGAAGTATTCAAGATACTCACAGGCAGACCCAAGGGCCTCCCATGCTTCGTCAACCTCCGCGGACCCGACTTTTCGATATACATCTTCCTCTAAGAAAGAGCCGTTGAACTCCTTATAATTGTATTTGATGGGAACATCTCTAAGAAGAGGGGCTTGATGATGGCTCATGTTAATACGGCTCGATACAGAGTGCTCAGGCTACTTACACCATCGAGTTGTATGTTTTGCGCATAGACTATCAACGTCTGCTTGCCGGTCAAGGACACGAGTCCCAGCCCAAAATGAAAGGACACAGGTTGTCAACAGAATCAGGAGAAAGCTGCAAGGCTTAACGAAGAGTCTTAGGAAGTGAGGTTTCTTTTCCAATTCTTCTTTGCTTGCATGATGAGGCAAGCTTCCTTCATCATCGGACTCGTCTGAAACACTGGGAAGTAGCCGGCGTAGATGATGTTCCCTGGCCATTGTGTCACAATTTTCTCGATCCAAGACGATGAGATGATGTCAAGGAGTAAGCAGGTTTTCTGATGACGGCGAAGGTGGTAGTTCTCCCTTTGTTACGTTAAGCTCGTGAGATCGGAAAAAACTTATTGCTGTTCATCGAGATATGACGTCGACTCTATCACAAGCTCTTATTCTACTAGCGGTCAGCCACTTCACTTGGCTCGAGCGTTCGGCTCTCAACTCCATCCATTCGTGTGACCAGGTCGCGATCGTGGGCCCGAAAGCTTCTTTTTGTGCTTCATCAGCGAAGTTGAACAAAGAAGAAATTCCGTGATGGACCATTCTAAAGCGATCATAGTATGGAGTAGTTCTCTCGGGCGATTGAAGGCGCTCTAGCGTGGCGCCATCACGACTATCACTTTCTTAGAGTTCGCTCACATTACAATAGAGGGCTGCAGTAGCTGAACACCATGACGGAAATCATCGTCACACCTAGTCGGAACAAGACGTAGCCGGAAGACAATAAAACAGCTGGATGGGTGTGACACTGATTGCGTGTGAGCTCTCTTTACTTTATCATTGTTCTATTTGTGCAGGATTAACTTCAGTTGAGGCTGTCTCTTCTATGGAAGGCATGGTATGACGGAACTGTGGCATTTCTGGTAGAGCTAGACGATGCTGGCCTGTTATGACAAAGAATCCAAGGCTATCGTCAAGTTGCTATTCAAGGTTTCGTATTCCTTCTCAAGGCGAGCTGAAATCACGTCACATATGACAGATTGTGGCTTCGGGAGCGCAACGAAAGACTTCTCCAGGATCAATAATGATATACTCCGAAATTGATCGATGGCTGAGAATATGTAATGGTCCATGTACGAATCGAACTTGGAGAGGTTGTTTCGCATTTAAAGGTGAACCGCTCCCGCCCCTCATGCCGAACTTGTTTCAGACCAGCACAAACCTGACTCAACGGCGTCAGGGCCTGTCTCATCGACTATCTCTATTTACAAGAATAAGTCCTAAGTCACAGCGTCGGCATCATGAAGTTCATCTGGGCCACTCTCCTTGTGGCAGCCTCATCAGCCTTTGCCAGTCCCGTCGCCGAAGCGAATGCCGGCGGCGCTCCGAAGCCTGATCCCGGCAAGCCGGGCTATGGAGACTACGGGAAATATGGCGAATACGGCCGGTACGCGGACTACGGGAAGTACAATCCGCCAAAGGGAGGATACGGGGACTACAAGAAGTACCCGGAGCCGAAGGGGGGCTATGGCGATTATGGAAAGTATCCCCGAGAGTAGTGAGATGGCAAACGTGGGGCCATATCACCAGATAACCCGATCGACAAGGGGAGGCTGTCGTAAAAAGAAGAGCAATTCGGGGTATCATGCTCGACTGAGATGCTACCGTTCTTTCCAAAGGGTCATGCTTGCAATATTAGAGCAAAGCAGTTCAACGATCACACTCACTTCACCCAAAATGCAAAACTTTGTCCAACCAATGTTGGCAAAATCTAAACAGCAGAGCCGTGGACTTTAGTACCTTTGGACACTCTTTTACCTTAGGTAGCTAAAAACAGATGAGAATTCCGCAAAGAACAAAAAGGCCTTTGATGTTGGCAGATCAGTCTTCGTCTTTTTGATATGGCACTATCGTTAACATTAACACTTGACACAGACTGACTTTATTCAAGCTGCATGCATCGTATGAGAGGCTTGATTCCCCACGATTACCCACGATCACATGTTGCATCGCATCGGCTGCCTCTTTCACCGAGGCATGGAGGCGCTAGTAGAGAGCCAGACCAACGAATCTGAGCAGGGACCCATGAGCGTACTTGAATGCATGTAGAGAACAGATAGTACTCTCACAAGAGATTACTGATAACCACTTGCCATAAAGCATGTGGATGGCAACTTGCTGATCTTCTCAATGTCTGGTTCTATACTGGGTGGCGTCGTCGTGGCAAACGTTCCAGCGGCATGTACAAACGTCGATCCAAGTGCAAAGGAGGCGCTGATGGAGGTGGTACCTGGACAGATGACTTGGAACAAAGGGGGGCGAGGCTTTCAAATGGCCTGTCCATTGTTACCAGCTCGCCACTTTGTTGTATCAAACCTTAATTTGCCGCGCAATTATGTGTACTGCCTTATCACTCCCATCTTCTTAATCCTTTCAATCCTTGGACAGCATACTCAATCTACGAATAAGGAATACCCACCAATATCGCGTCTATTTGCGCTTCCGTGAGATTGATACCCAAGCTGGTGATATTGCCCTAAGGAGCTCCAATGCCGGAACGCGATACGAGTAGTAGCCCAGATGTTGCCGGTAATCACGGCCAAGACTGCATGAAAAGTTCCCCATGCAAACTACTCTTCACAGCTTGGCCTTGGCGTACCTGGGTAGCGATGCGGTGCGATGTCTTGGTGCGGCCGCCAAAGGGCTGCTTGGAATGTGGTTGGGCCGATGGTGGCGGTCCGCAAACATCTCTCTTCTCTCCCCATCCCCTCACATCGACTTGTCCCGTTTGTAACACCTCATCCGTGCGAAAGGTTTATACGCATGTGGTTATGGGATCTTTTACGTAACAAGCAACGCTCACCTTCTCCTTCATTTTATTCCTCTCCTTTGCGTGTAGTAGTAACATTACAGGCCGGACAAATTCCCAATATGCTCCGTAACTCAGCCGTGGGGAAGAAGCCGTGCTTGTGGCGCTTCCGGCGTCGGCATCCACAGTAGCAAGGAGAGCGGCCTCATCACTCGTTCGTATTGTTTGCGTTTACAAAGGTTCCCGGCTTAGAAGACCCAGGTAGTCAGCCAAGAGATCCAAAGGTTCCCTTGCCAGTAACGCTGGATAAGGGCATCATGCATGGGGAGCCGGCCCGCCTTCCTAAATTAAGCTTAGTTGACGCATCCTTATTTGCTTTAAGGATCCCAGCCAAGCAAAAGGTAAACCGGCACCTTGTTTTCCACACTGTGTGAGGGGAGGGTGCGCGGCGTTGCGTTGCCCGTCGCTCGGCGAGAGGGAGTCGAGAGGTGAGAAGATGTACAAGGCACGATGTACGGAATTTGTCCTGTCCTTGTGCTTCATCCTCGAGAAAAAGTACATATGAAGTATTCCAGAAAGGAAATGAATCAACATGTCTAGATATTCGGTATTTTATGTTGATGGGTGCATTTCACACCCTGGTGTTAGCAGCGACCCGGCTGTCGGGATTCTCCAAAAATGTGCGGGCTACACCACTTTTTCCATTTAAACACGGCTGTCACGCCTTGGGGATGCGTCTGAAAAGGTCCGAAGAGACGCGATGAAACCACACAATTCGGGGCTTACTGTAGCCTGGAGGAAGTGTCTCCGCGATGTCAGGGCTCTCGCAATTCTTTCATGTTTCTGGCAGTCATTCTGAAGCTTCTTTACCGGTCGCAGTTGATGCCCGTTGTCTCACCTGCCGTCGACAATACCAGTGCAACACCGAGTTCCGCTTGATACGTGAAAATTTTACGCGTACATACATACTTCCACGAAAGATTCTTGTAACAGTTGCCTTATCTTGACCAACAGTTCCATGAGAAGCGCCGCCTGGTCTGTGAGCAATAAGCGGCCGGCGGTACATGTACCGGCATTTCCATGAATCGTTCCTCCAATCCCCTGCTCCGCCGCAGCGGTCTCCCCGGTCAAGACAGTGCCCAAGACCCCTCGACACACTACTAGACAAGGATTCATTAACCAACATGCAGCCCCGGCGACTTCCCATATGGGCCAACTCCAGTTGAGACGACGTCGTTTCGAAGTTGTTTGCCGCCACTCGATTTGCGCTTAATGACTTAATGACAGATGTTCCCTTGGAACTTCCCTGGCGCCACGTTGTTAGATCTCATGATGGACGTTGTTGCCCGCCCCTCTTCATTATTGAGGAACTTCTGTACACCGAAGGCCATGTGAGGGTCCCCCAGCCCCAGCTGCAGTATACCAGGCAAGTAATCAGCACCGATTGCTCGCAATCAAAATCTCTTGGCGGCTTCTAGATACGCCCGCTAGCAACGAAAAGGCAGGATGCTCTTTATTGGTTGCTCACTGTCGTGGGCAACAGGGCATGTCCGCTTTCGTCCCGACATCCTGTGGCGACAAGGGCTAGGAAAAAGTTCCTTATCCGCCTGGCGATGTGCCAACAAGTGTGGCATTAGACAAAGGTGCCTGCCAAAAGCGGCGATAATTGGATCGTTCTATCGGTCGCCCCCATGCAGGTTAAACCAGTCATACGGCCAGCTGGAGGTTCTGCTCTGGGGTTCGTGATGGAGGGTGCTTGGGTCCCTCGGACGTTGCGAGGCTGGTGCTCTCTTGTGTGACATTGACATTTAAATACCATCCTGTTGGCCGCTTGCACTCTCATCGAGCTGAGGTCCTTGTCAGCTATTGCTCTGCAAGCGTTTCACTGCCGCCGGCGAAGAATAGCTCGGTCAGTGCCAACACAACACCATGGCTGCGCCTACTACAGAGCCCGAGTATGTGGGCGACGGCGGTGTCAAGGAGAAGCGAGTCTCTGTCGAAGTCAACTTCAAGCCCGATGAGGAGGAAGAGGAAGATGAGGCCATCACCGATCTTTTCGTCAGCTTCCCTCCCATCAAGGGCATCGAGGCAGAGCCCAACCCCCTGACCGTCCGCGCGGTACTGACAGGTATTGTCCTGGGATCTTTGGTCAACGCGTCGAACGTGTACCTGGGTAAGAAATCACTCTTTCCAATTACAGAATTATCTTTTCTTCAATGCGAAAAGTAGAGTGTCAATTCGTGATACAGCAGTCCATCTAACCATCCGGCTTGATAGGTCTCAAGACGGGTTTCACCTTTCCCGCCACCATGTTCGGTGCCATTTTCGGTTATGGTATGTTTTCCAGGATCTATAAGTTGATAGCATATGGGCTGACGCAATTGATTTATAGGGTTTATCCTGTTTCTGACCAAAGTCTTCCCCGGCATCCCCGGTATTGGCACCCGCTTCGGCCCCCAAGAGAACTCGATCGTTCAAGCTTCTGCAACCGGTGCCGGCGGCATGGCTGGTCTTTTCGTTGCCGGTTTACCTGCCATGTACCGCCTCAGCTTGCTTTCAGATAACCCCAAGGACGACTTCGGCCGCATCCTCACCATCACCGTCGTGTGTGCCTTTTTCGGCCTCTTCGCCGCCGTACCACTTCGGAAGTTCTTCATCATCAACGTTGCTCGTGAATTGAACCTGGTCTTCCCGAGCCCTACCGCTACAGCTGTAACTATGTATGTCCTGTCTTCCCCTGATTGTGATGCTCATGCTAACCCGGCAATAGTCGATCGATGCACGCTTTGGGTTCAGGGGCTGGTGATGCCATACGCAAGGTCAAGGCCCTGGGCTTCGCCTTCTTCGGTGCCTTTACACATATTGTTGTTTCCCAATATGCCGATGGAATCCTTCATAACTGGCACATCTTTACCTGGTTCTACATCTGGAGTGGCTACAAGAACTGGGCTCTGAACATCGAGAACTGGGGTTGGTACATCCAACTGACACCCGCCTTCTTCGGCTCCGGTATTCTGGTCGGTCTCAATGCCGCCGTTTCTTGGTGGCTCGGCACTGTTGTTGCCTGGGGCCTGATTGGACCTCTTCTTGTCCACTATGGCGAATGTGTGGGCATACCTTATGGAGAGGGCAAGTGGGAAGGCCTGACAAACTTCAACAGCATGAGCGGCATTGGCACCGAGGGATGGGTGCCTTCTCCCAGATACTGGATGCTGTGGCCTGGTGTCATGGTGCTCATCGTTTACAGTTTGGTCGAGTTTCTGATCCACATCCGTGTCATTTACGACGGCTTCAAGTACGCTCTGCGTAACATGGCCGGCTCTGTCAATAGCGCCCTGCAGAAGCGCGGCAAGAACAACACTTTCCTGGAGAAGCAGGCCGCCAAAGCCAACGACGAGTCATCTCTCCTTGAGGATTTCGCTCCTCCGGAGGACCAGGTCCCCATCTGGATTTGGGTGACCGGAACTATCGTGTTCGTCATCGTTGCCTGCATCGTCTGCGAGCTGCAGTTCCACATGAACGCTGGCCTGGCTATTCTCGCTTGCATCCTGGGTCTTGTCTTCGCCTTCCTCAGTATCTACGGAGGTGCCGTCACTGATACCACCCCCCTGACCGCGTCATCCAAGGCTTCCCAGCTGGTCTACGGTGGTATTACCAAGGGTCACTACTCGATCACGGACGCCCAGCGAATCAACCTAATTGCCGGTAACATTGCTTCCGGCACTGCTGACGTCGCCACCAACTTGGTCAGCGATTTCCGCGTTGGTTTCCTTCTCCGAACCCCTCCTAAGCTGCAGTTCTACGCTCAAGCTGCCGGCGCCCTCGTCTCCGTGTTCCTCGCTCCCGGTATCTTCGTCCTATTCATGTCCGCTTATCCCTGCATACGCGACCAGACCATCGAGTCGTGCCCCTTCTCCGCCCCTTCAGTCGTTGCCTGGCAGGCTGTTGCTGAGGCCGTGACCCTCCCCAAGCTCCCTATCCCCCTGTCCTCGGGTATCTTCGCCATCGTCTGCGGTGTCTTCTGCGCTTTCCAGGCCCTGTTCAAGAACTTCTACCTGGTGGGATCCCGCGAGAAGTACCGTGAATACCTCCCGAACTGGATGTCGATTGGTGTTGCCTGGGTTCTGGGAGTCGACAGCGGATACGCCAAGTATGTCTTCCGTCAATGTGAATCCTCTTTTGGAATTTTTGCTAACTTGTCTGCAGTGCCATTCTCTTCGGCAGTATCACCGCCTGGTGGTGGAAGAAGTACTTCCCCAAGGGCTTCGAAGCGTACGCATTCTCAGTTGCCGCCGGCCTCGTTGCTGGTGAGGGTTTGGCCGGTGTCGTAAATGCTGCTTTGACCTTGGGAGGCGTTGACGGAACCAAGAAGGGCAGCTTGATTGCTCTGCCCGGCGAAGACTGGTAAACACCACCAGCAAACTATATATATATGTATAGCATGAAGTAGATACCCAATTAATGACAAAGCACAGAGTGCTTGCTTTACATCTTGATCCCTGATTGTCTTTTTCCCCCGTCATGATCTTGGCAATAGCCGTCTTGTGTTCTGCCGATACAATCAGGTTGAAAGAATTGCTCGGGCAAGCCGTCAGAGACGTTGATATCGCTCAACGCTTTTGCAAGGGAAGGCAAGCGTCCAAGACGTACGCATCGATGGGCGCTGTGACACCAATGGCGTCACGCTTCGTCTCACCAGTCAGTAGACTATGCTACTCGTAGCTTTGAAGCCGCCTCGGAGGCTTATTGCTGTTAGGATCACATGCTGGCCAGTGGACAACTTCAACGCCCAATCTTGGGGTGGCCGTGATAGCTAGTTGGTCAAGACCGCCAATGCCCATGGCTGCGATAGCCCAAGCAGATGAGAGGCCATACATGCAGGCCATTCTAAACAATTACCTCAGCACACGAGCAGAGCATCATCGGTACAGGCAATGACATCAATAATTGTGCTCTCTCCCCTATAGAGATGCCTCCAAGATGCCACAAAGGCAGGCTGGTTGTGTCATATACCTGAACTTGAATTAAGCTGTCGATAAGCAGTATAAGTACCGGGTTCTGCGCGCTGCGGATACCGTCATGCCAACGTCCAATTTATGGCATCAGCCATACGACACGGCTGATGGGAACCTACATCCGTAATAGACTGAGCATCCATGGCAAAGTTTGGTATCCCATCACATGTTGGTTTTCAGCACCTCTCTCGGGCGAGAAAACAGATTAATGACGTCGACCGTGGGAGAAGCTTACTGCTTGAACAGCAACCGCTCCTTGTTCGGCTGTCGGCTCATGCTTCAGAATGGACCCATTAGAGAAACCATTCCCGTGCTGAAGAAACTCTTCTGAAGCTCAATGTCTGCAGTCTTGCAAAAAGTGCAGGATCCTCCTGCGACGTTGTAGCGTAGTCATGATGCTGTGCCATTTCGAGTTAGTGGGAATGGCATCCTATTGCCTAATTAGGAAGCGGTTTGGTCATCGCAGAGGAATCGCTGAACATGAGCTGGAATTAGCATATTGACAAATGCAGTGATTATAAAGCTTCAGACATAGACTGAAGGCTGTCGGATGATATAATCTTCCACATAAATACTCGAGTAACATCCTTTGAATAGGAGCAGGATGGCTGTCGTTCCTCCCTCTCCTCTAGTTGAAGCCGATACCCTCGATCAAACAAGTACACGACAATGGCCGCCGCTCAGAATGCTCTGGCTCAGAGCTTCAAAGCCTTGCACATTCCGGGTACTCCCCTCATCCTTGCAAACGTCTATGACGCAGTGTCTGCACGAGCTGTAGCGTCTCTTGGCAACGCAAAAGCCATTGCCACGGCATCTTATTCGATTGCGGAAGCTGCAGGTCTCAAGGACGCCACGCTGACACGAGCTGTCAATGTGGCTGCGGTCAGAAACATCGCTTCGGCGATCAAAGAGTTTGGAAAACCTCTGTCTGTGGACTTCCAGGATGGATATGGAGATGATCTAGAGGAGGGCATAACGGAACTGCTTCAAATCGGTGTTGTCGGCATCAACCTCGAGGACTACGACGGAGGTGCGAAGAAGTTGTACAGCACCTCTGAGGCAGCAGATCGGATTCAAAGAACACTGCGCACGGCAAAAGCATTCGGAGTGCCTGATTTCGTTGTAAATGCGCGGATCGATACTCTTGTCCAAGGTGGAAGTCTCGACGAAGCTATTGAGAGAGGTCATGCGTATCTTGCTGCTGGCGCAACGACTGTGTTTGTTTGGGGCGCCAGCCGCGGTGTTTCTCGCGACGAAGTGGTCAGGCTTGTGAAAGAGTTTGATGGAAGACTGAATGTGTTGTTGAACCTCTCTGGTGGTTTGACCACGAGGGAATTGGGCAAAATTGGAGTTGCACGAATCAGTGTTGGGCCTGTTTTGCAGATTGGAGCCATGGCCAAGCTCCAGAAAGACGCGGAAGCTATTCTCTCAATTTAAATACTTGAACAGGCAATTTGGAAGATGAATTGGACTCCCAATATATATGTCATTCTGTATCATCGAAAACCCTTTCTGTCGCCCTCGGCCGCATTCGTAGCCAGCAAGGTAACTTAAGTGATGATTATGAAGTGTAACTCTTAGATGGGCATCTGGGTCCTGTGCCGATAAAGGGAACGCAGGGTTATGTTCTACTAGCCGGGATAGATATGCTGAAGCACTCGAAATCTCGAGTTCGGCACCGGGCTTGCTTCTGTCTCCTAGCGTTTGGCCGTTCCCCACGGGGTACTGCATTATGCTACTACCCAGTTTGCCGTGGTTGCGGTAAATGTTTCGCCTCGTTGGCGGTGTCATAGGTACACGGTGATGAGACGGAAAGCATAGCATAAAATCAGGTACGGTGACCGAGTAAGTGAAAGTCTTAGGCAACTGTCTAGGTACTATGAGTGGGGGAAAATCTAATCAAACTTCAACAATTTGAGGGACTCGCTGAGCGGAACGAAATCACTCTGCGGAATCCCCAGCTTCTTGGCGGTAAGAACTTCGTCTTCGTGATAAATCCAGTTGTTCCCCTTGTAATCCCCCATGAAGCGAGCCATCTCAGCCAAATCCGTCCACCGAGGCCACAATGCCTGGGAGATGGTTTCATGGCTTGTCTTCACGTAAACCGCCTCTTTCCCATGCGCCCTGGCCCACCGTTTCAGAAGATCCTCAAACCCGACATTTTCGATATAAGCGAGAACGATAATCCCATTCTTCACCTTTTCCGGCTGTTCAAGGATCCTCTCGAGGAAAGGAACAAGATTATTTCTGACGTCTCCAATGCATGGAAGAGAGGCATCGGCTGGGTAGTCACCAATGACAACGTATTTATTGGCCAGCTCCACCCAGATCGGCGTAAAGACGGGATACTTGAAGTTGGTCTCGTACCACCCAATCATCAGGAAGGTTGTCTTAGCCAGCAAGGCCGCATCAGCGCGGATATACTCGCTGACTTGGTTCTTTCCATCGAAGTTAGGACATGAAAACTTTCCGCCGGTGGCGTTGTGGATTCCGGGAAGAGTGCTCCAGATGAAGTGTTCGAGCGCAGTAGTTGCCTGAGCAGCACGGGCAATGTTGAGGCCATAGTTGGCCTCAATTTCCTGTCCTTTTCTGCCTCCGTGCTCGACGTATCCAGGGACAAAATCGGTAACACCGAAGATGAGATGAGAACCTTCAAAGGCAGATTTCAATGATGCTTCATCGGTGAGATCACCGCGTACCATCTCGATACCATTTTCCTTGAGGGCATTGGAGGCATCGCTGTCCGGATTCCGAGTTACACCGCGAATGTGATATTCGGCTTTTTGCAGCAGCACAGAAATAAAGGCGCTTCCTTGGTTGCCCGTGGCACCAATAACTGTGGCAATCTTCTTGGACATTTCGAAGTAAGGGGGGATGTAGTTGCTACGCTAAGTTAAGAGTTTAGGCAAGGATGCGAATAGCGATCGATGTGTTGCTGCTAATGAGGTTGTAGGAATGCATGATAGAGACGAGTGCAGTTCATGCTCTTATTAAGTCCTTCAAGTCGCTCGAACTGCATATGCTTAGATGGCATTTCACATCTTGAGGCATTGGATTTGTAAGTTTTCAAGAACATGGCAACTTTGATATCGTATGGCATGATTTTGTGAAGCTCTTTGGGTAAAAACAGTTGCGAGTTCAAATCTGAGACGAGCTTGAGTTCTCAAAACAGCAGACCATTAGTCGCAACCGAAAGGGCAATACCTTGGGTACAGAAATTACTCAAAAGAGATATCGTCAGGGGACAAGACGATGCTGACCTAACAGCGGGCCGAGCCTAGAGGCTTGAAAGTACCGGCTTACATCGGCAGTGGTCGAGTTGGAGGCCAACACGCGGTGCTCAGTCTGCCAGAAGCATGCGCAGCTTTCTCCTGTATTTCCAAGTTGAGTATTCTTAGACAGTCTTGCGGTTTCAGCTCAAAGGGTCGCTGTGTCGTATCCTAGGCATCCACTTGGCAAGTTTATTAATACTTGAGGCATTTCCCAAGTATGGCCCACCGAATCATCCACATCACCTCAAACTTCTTGAATCATGCCCATCCTTTTGGTGAAGTATCCTAATGTTGCTTGGTAATCGTCCAAGTTGTAGCCAAAGGAAAGAGTTGGAAGGCTGAAAGATGGGGCATGGCATCGTCGAAGCGTCCCGAAGAAGCGGCTTGAAGAAGCCGTCGTAAACGAGTGGCTGATACAGGCCCACACTGCTATTGCTATGGTTCGAAGGAAGTGGCAGATCACAAGAGAAGCGAACGACGTGTCAACTCCGCTCACACATCCCAAATCCTCACCCTACACACCAATTCTCCGTCCATCGACAAGCAGTTCTGTTCCCTTCCGGCCCATTCTCGCCCTCACAACCAAGGCCTTGCCCGCGTCTTCCCCCGGATCTTGCTCGATCAAGAGCTGGTTGTGCGTGATCATCAAGATCCAGCCGGCCATCCTTTGCGATATTAGACCACACCACCGTACCACAGCAGCTTGGCCCGCCTCGTCCAGACTGTCAAACACCTCGTCAACGAGAAGATAATGTGAGCGATGAGCGCTCCTTGCCCATGACAGTTGCAGCAGTGCGAAGAAGAGCGCCAGGTCGACGCGTTTCCTCTCGCCGCCGGATCGCTTACCGTAAGAGAGCGATGAGTTGACGGAAAGTGTTCGATCGAGGACGGACCCCGAGGAGGAAGATGAATTCATTATGTTGTCGACAGTGTCAGAGTCAAACAGCGATCGCAACATCCCTGTTGCCATAGCGCGCGCATGACGGGTATCGTCGTACAGGATCATGAGGACTTGCGCAAGCAAAGCATTGAGCTCCGACAGCGACTTTACGAGGACGTGCTCGCGGAAATTGGCCGTTGCGTTCGCGGTGGATCTCTTTGACGACGAGGGTCGACGAGTACGCTTGGTCAGGTTTGAAGACCAAAAGGCAAAGAGTTCTCTGTGGGTGGCGAGCTGTTGAAGTTTGCTGTCCAGGGCGGCGTGTTCTGAGAGTATCGTATCTAAAGAGGCCTGCTCTTTTCCCATCAAGTCCAGATAAGTAGCGGCATCTCTTTGCTTGAAAGCAACCTCCTGCTGCAGAATATCACATCTCTTTTGAGCCTGGATCACTTGGTCAAGCTGGTGGTTAATTGTCCCGGCGTGTCGGTCTTCCAGGGCAAATACTGTGTCCAGAAGTCCATCTACCTCGTGCTTCAGCTTTTGCAGCCGCGCTGTGCTGCTCTGGATGTCTTCGCATAGGCAGCGGATAGTTGCCTCTTGATGTTGGTCTTGGGCGCTGGATATATGATAACTATCCTTTCGAACTCCGGATACGTATAAGAGGGCCCTGAGGGTTATCCACTGGAACCAAAGTAGTAAGGTCTTCGAGGCGTGTAACATTTTGCCCAATCCCAAAGGAGCCGCAGCCATGTCCTCGGCCCTTTGACTCATTTGCCGGTGTAGCTGATCAAGCCATGTCATCGGCCGAGGGCGCTTTTGTCGTCGTGTCAGGACATACCGTACCTGGGCGTAGGTTTTCTCCAGCCGTCGCAATTTCTCTTGCTCAATTTGTGTATGCTTCTTTAACGTCGAAATCTCGTCGTCGATATGCTCGCCACTTATGGCTGATTCTTGTCTATCAGCTCCTGGTTCAAGGAGTTTGAGTTCTTGAACCGCCACCGCCAGAGATGCGGCAAGCTTTGCCGCCTTCTCTTCGAGTTGCTTTCGCGTCTGATCCAGATATTTCAGTCGTTGTTGCGCCGATTCTTTTTTCCCAAGCAACCCTTCCATCTTACGCTCCAGTTTGTTCGCCTCGTTGTCGACGTCTTTGAGTAACACCCTTGACACCTGTGCGCAATGATCCAACATTGACAGTCCGAGCGACGTCTCGATCAAGTCTCTCCTCTGCACGGGCGTCGAACTGAGAAAGCTCGCCGCACTCTCGTGACTCAGCACCACCGTCCTGATATACGTTTCGAAGTCAATGCCGAGTAGCTCATCGATGGCTGCTTGAGTCGAGCGAGCGTCCGGAAGCTCTAGTTGAGGCTGCGGCTCCCCATCCATGGAAACGATGACGCGGTTGCCGTGGCTCTTATGCTTGCGATATCGCGCAATGGCGTATCCGTTGGTGAACTCGAGCACAACAGAGCAATTATTCCCGACAACGTCGTTGACCACGTCATTGACCGCCAGGCCACTGCGGATGCACCGACCAAATTGGCACCAAACCATGGCCTCGACAAGCGTGCTCTTGCCCGAGCCATTGTCACCCACTAACAAGGTTAATGCTCGTGGAAAGTCCTGCTGGAAGTTAATGGTAATGGTGCCTTGGACGCCGAGAAAATTGGTGATTGTAAGCCGACGCGGCTCGGCGGTGAAGACGTGGCTCGTGAACTCAGCCAAATCCGTGGCGGTTCGGGTACCGAAAGCCTGAGATGATTCGTCGAGGAAGTCTCGATAGTTCAGAGCTTCGGGTTCATCGTTCTGGTCTGCTATCCCCCGGGAGACTTGGATCATTCGCTGACCAACCCTCACCAGCTCGTCTCGTCGCATGCGAAGAAACTCGTCCAACTGCAATGACTCGACAAACTCACGAGCTTCGGCAGCGATATCAAGATTTGGAGTGGGAGGCTCAGTGACGAGACCAGAGCTTGAATCGCCTCTAATTGTATTTGAGTCCGTGTCATCTTTACTGAGCACTTCCGGGACCTGTACAGCGGCATCGCTTGCCGGTGCCGATGCCCCGAGGCGACTGGATAGCAGGCGCTCAGTTCCAAGGGCAAAGCCTGCGGGGGACCATTGTCTCACGCTCCGGGCGCCGAACGAGAGAAGCCTGTCACGAGCTGTGGCGTACCGGCGAAGCGTTAATTCTCCGAGGAGCATGACATGCTTATCCACGACGGCAGCTTCGTCGATGCAGCCATCAAGAACCTGCTCAAGGTCGGCCGTTGTGTAGCCAACTGCATGAGGATTGATGAGCAGCTCGTGCTCAAGCGTCTCTGGGTTCAGCAGAACGACACCTCGTCGCTCGTCATCGAGATCGGCCCAGTTCAGCTGCAAGGGTGAGCCCAGATATGTGACGCTGCCTTGAAGATCGGTTTTGCTGCGTCCAAAATGCTTCTGAAAAATGGTCTGGTGGCTGTGGAAGTGCCCCGTGAAGGTTCGTGCCAGAGACGCAAACCGATCCGGACCTGTCAAGCCGCGATAGGTAACGGAACTCGTAGCCCTGAGCTTGCCGCCGTCAGGACGGAAAATGTGGCGCTGTGTGATGGCCTTGTTGATTGCAAGATGGGCAAAGCAGACCGTCTCTCTCGCCTCGCCGGGATCAAGTGCATCCACGGCCTCTGTGAGCTCGCCCTGCTCTTCGCGAAATGGCAGCAGCAAGACTCGACGGCCGTCCCATTCATGAGTGGCAATGCGGCTGTGCAGCGAGACAAATGGCGACAAGCGCCCGATATTCAGGGCATCGAGAGCTGTGGTCTGGTACTCGCGGCGATATGCTAGGTCATGATTTCCAAGCAAGACGTGAACTCGCGGCACGACATTGCTGAGGAGGTCGATGAAGCGGAAGCACGTTGACAGAACATGCGTTGGCTGCATCGTGCGGCTCGTCAGCAGGTCGCCACATACAATCGCCCGCCCGACCCGGTTCCGCTCCGCTTCGGAAACGATCCATTGCGCCGTCTTCCACACCCGATCCAGGTCTCGATGCTTGAAGTGGATGTCGCTGAAGAGTAGCCATTGCCCTGTTTTCGTTGACGGCCTGAGCATGGTTCATGATGATGCGGAGGTAAAGATGCCCTGGCGACGCCACGGGTGTTTGATTGGTGAATTTTTTCCACAGTAGCACCTCAGATAGCACTGCCCGAATACATGTAGTCAGATACATATAATTGCGACGTGCGCAATACATAACAATATTCTCAGTCGTCCGAGCTTTCTTTGTTAATTGATAGTCTTCGCCTCTCCGAGGCTTGTTATGATGGAATATGATCGCTCAGATATAGTTGCATGCCAGCACCAAAGCCTGATCTTTCACATCTAGCGCACTCTCTTAGACGCGCCTTATGTTATCGAAGCTATGGTAGAACTTCAATGTTTATGAGCGTCACCGGGAGAGTAACGATTGTCTACAGAGTATTTTTGCAGTTGATAACGATGAAGTTTTTAGAGACGTGTCGTCAGTCCCGGACCATGGGCTGTTAGGTAGGAACGGATGGCTTTACGAAATTGCTATTGCTATGTCGGATCAACTGGGTCACGAATCATCTATATACGATGATCAATCTTGCTCGATGAAGCACTGGCATCTCAGGCCGAGGCTAACGGGATTACAAGCACTTCGGTATCACTCAGCTCAATAAGTGTCAACTCTATGTGAGGAATTCGTTCAAAATGACTAATTATTGCGACTTCAAAGCAACCTCTCAACGCTCTACACGACTGCAAGCTCTGACAACAAACGGTATAGTCTGTGGTATATCTGCTTTGGCCAAACACTAACACCTTCCGGGGACTACTTCCCAAGCGTTGGAGCCCGTGTGCAACTTTGCAGAAACAACAGCACACCAGAAGTTTCACCGACTGTTCCATGATGGCCGAAATGATGCCGCACTGTCAAGCGCCATCATGCTCTCTCTTTCATTTGCGGCCTACCAGTATTGCTTTCACGGATGAATGTGCTACCTTTAAGAACACCACTATCAGACACATCAATGAGAAGATCGCATCTTCGCTTGACCGAAGGGCCGTTTGTCAGATGATAGGAGCCATATCGCTACTGGCGAGAGTTGACGTTGGTGCTGCAACTCCGAAGAAGGCATTCTACCTCTGACTTTGCTACGCAGTTGCGGCTTGGAAGCAAATCACGAGTGGGAATGCATCTGGCCGGTGTTGTGCACCTGTTGAGCTTTGCGACTCTAAGATGACACACCTGCATGACAAGATCAAGCGGCAGGTATTCGAGCTACTGATTCCCTGGGAGGACCTCTGTCCTAAGCTGAATAGTGCAATCTTCTGGCAGGACTTGAATGCGGCTTGGATCCTAGGGTCTGAGCGCAGATTCAGCTATGAAACATGCCTCGCGATAGACAAGAATAATGAGATCGTAATTACAGACATCTGGGCTGGCCATTTTATTCCGTCACACATATCGTCGAAATTGTTGGATCTCTTTCGGCGTGTTCAAAGCAATATCCCGTGGGAATCTTATATGGATATGCTGCTTGGGTGCACAATAGTTGGAGGGACATTCGCACACCTTGGCGTGGCCGGGTCCGATTATATGATGTTGCTGCACTAGGTTAGAGATGGTGCGCTTACTTTGGACTGGAAGGAAACAGAAGAATTCCTGGGCAACTTTGTCTGGGGGGGGGGGGGAATAAAGCTTTCTTTACGGCGGGAAAGGCATTGACGCATTGGTCGTTGAGACTGCGAAGAGATATACTGCTACAGCTGTGTTCGACAACGGGAGACTGGTGGCATACTCTGTAGCGACTAAACCGCACATTACAACTGATTCGAGCGATAAAAGCATGGCAGGCACTTAAGCGCTTGTAAGGGATCGATATGCTTCACCGAATATTCCAAATGGGACATCCCTGATTACCATAATGCTGCGTTGTGCTATGGCACGATTGGTTCAACCGTGGGTACTCCAACCCAACGTATCCGGGTCTTATGCTGCCGGGATGTCCTCCCCTTCTCGGTCTGGCGCATGACACCAGTCCATCAGCTACTTTAGCTAAGCCAGACTGTTCCCGCAGACTAACTAGAAGCGGAATTTTGATGCCAAAGCGAAGTTCTAATACTGGCATATGTACGAAACGTGAGTGATTGGCCAGAGAAATCTAGGAAGAGCGTCTGAAACAACACGCGGCATGGTGCTCCAGCCCGTTGTACAAGCCGGACAATTACCAAAGAGCTTAGCTGCTTACAATACAAATAATCTTCAGGGATGATCAAAGCAACTGCCGATTAGCTATGAGAGGAGCACCAACGAGTCCTCGGCTATACTTGTGGCCGGATGAGAGCTGTTGAGAGAATCGCAGCTATGTAAGCGGACTAATGATCATCGAGCGTCTTCGAACTGTCGAAGACTTATCAATTCACAATTACGAAGCAGTAGCAAAGGGCACAATTGCAATGCCAGAATGAATATTCAATATTGTCCCAGGTACAAAGTCCTTATATCGAGAAATGAGCCCCTGTGCCTTGCCTGCTCAATATCTGGAAAGCTTGTACGAAGTACGATCGCTGAACTAGACCACAGCCCCTCAGTTACCCATTCCAACATATGTGGTCTCATTCAAGGACTCTTTGTCTTTGCTGCTTTATGCCTGAGCATAGCGTCAATCTTACTTCATCTTACTCCGTACCGCTGGCACATTATATCCGATAGTTCGCTACAAGCTTTCGCTAGCCTGGGGTTACTCCTACCAGTTATACCATTTTCACGCTCCATCATTGCAAACGTCGTTTTCAGGCAACCAGAGATAGGGCAGTAAATTACCCACCAACCGGTTCCCTGGAACATTGGACACAATATATTATCGGGCTTGCATTCCTGTCGGCTTATTCCCCAACAATCTTAAGTCCTCTTCGGCATTCCCAACTCTACAAAGAGCAGAGATCAGGTTGTATCAGGCTTTTTCCTTCCAACCAAAGCTCCGACCACCCATCCATACCACGAAAGCAACTAGCTATACAGGTTGCTTGCAGCTCTACTTTCGGCTGCCGACATAATCGGGCGAATATGAGCGCCCTCTCAGTACCAGAGCTCAACCGCCGAGTTGTCACTCGGTATTTCCAGGAGTTCTGGACCAATGGCAACGCCGACATCGTCGACGAGCTCTGCGCAGATAACATAACCGTCTTTTACCCCATGCATGGGCGATCCGTGGGCAAAGCTGCTGCCAAAGAAGTCCTAGCCAAGTTCAAGCTGGTTCGTATTTGGACCAACAGCTCTCCTCCCTTTCGACTTCTGAGTACCATCTGACATAATAACTAACGAGCGCGATGGCGCAAATCTTGTGTAGGCATTTCCGGATATCTCGTTCCGACTGCTATCTCCTTTCCCCTTGATTGCCGAGCAAGATTATGTGGTTGCGCGATGGTTTGGAGGGGGGAAGCATACCGGACCGGCGTTCTACGATTTGCCCATTGGAAGCTTGCCGGTGCCCAATACCGGCAAGGAGATGCGATTTTCGGGGACGACGATCTATAAGCTGGAAAATGGCAAGATTGTGGAAGAGACGGGAGAGGAGTCCGGTTTGGTGGCGATGCAGCAGCTGGGCTTCCTCAAGCTGAATGATGGCTTTGCTCCATGAGCTATAGATGTGTACGAAGTATTACAATATACAAAGGATTGTAGTCTATCACATCAGAGGATGTATGAGATTGAGTACTTGCCTGGAAATAGACCTCGTTTCAATCCTTGATGAAGAGTATATATCATTAAGTCCACATATTCATGTCCTCCCATTATATTAGCCCTGCTAATAGCTCATTTATCTTATCGTGTCCGATTCTCTGTAACAACTCCGCAAATCTCGCCACGAAGAAGGCGCTGTGGTCTATCCGCCTGGCCCTTGAAGCCGCAACATAGTACACCCACGTCAAGGAATTCTCTCCCAACGCATACGGAGGGATTTTGCGAACTGTAACCTGAAGCCGATCCAACAATGCGTCGCTGTCGTCTGAAGATGATTCGGACTCCGAGCCGCTGCTCTCAAGGGGGCTGCTGGCAGTTGGTAGACTGTATATGTGGCATGCTTGTGCCACAGCACTTTCTATGGCAGAGAATACCTCGTAGAGATCTTTTTGCCGAAGAGACAACCCTTGCTTGCCATCCGTAACTTGGCCTCCCTTGGTCAAAAGCTTGTTGAATTGATAGAGAGGACAAACGACTGCTTTCAAACTACTCTCATCAACGCCAGGTTAGCAAATGTCTTCTCTGGGTAAGGTAGAGGATACTAACAACTGCACTTGATCCAGTAAAAAGCGGCGAGTTGCCTTTTCTGCCGCATTATCGCTAAAGGGGCACTCTTTTCGCACCCAGAATTCGGCGAGCTTCAGGAGGGCGGGACATTCCCTGTGACCGCATATCATGTCATCAATCATAAGCCCCAAGATGGTGGCCAGGGGTGCTGAGGAATCAGTCTCTGGTGTTGCCGCAATCTGCCTCAGCTCGGAAATCGCGGCTGACCGATAGTTGAGTCTGTCGACCATGAATTTCGCACCCTGTGTGATTTGAATGTGACTTGCTGATGCTGCTAACAAGGAACTTCGAACCATTTGATGTTCAAAGGCGAGTGGGAGAATGTGTTTAGCATAGCCTTGGTTGGTCGACTCCGTCACGTCCAGCGTGGGAATGACATTTTCGTAAACTGAGCAGCAGCTCGTTAGCGAGCATTAAGTCGAGAACATTAGGTGTTGGCTTACAATTTCTGAGAAGAAACTCCTCTGAAGCATCTTCAATGTTGATATGCGGTATCATATCCAAACTTGGATACATCAATGCTTGTTGTGAGTATGCCTGCCACTGGTACTCGTGGCTCATAAAGAAGGCCGGGTCGGCAGTAGTCAAATCAAGATCAGAGCTCGATACTGACCAGAGGAAGATTCCAGGACCAAACTGCGAGATGTGGTGAATGTTGAGGACTTGCTTGCCTCTTGAGTTGACCAGGGCGACAGCGCATTTCTTCCAGTTGGTGGCTACCTGGTTCAGGCGATCGCCCTCTGCTCGAAGACGTAAGACTTCTTGCTCAAGCGCATCCATGTAATCCTTTGTCCTCTGCCGGTGGCTCCTACAACATTGTCAGATAGGATACTTCAAACACGAGTCAAGTCAAACAACAATGCCACTTGCCTCTGAGCCCGCAGAATCTGCTGCTTCCTCTTCTTCGGAGGCTGGCCATTGTCGGCCGCCCCGGTATTAGCCACAATTCCATTGTCAGGAACCAGTGGCGGTAAGAACGAAAAGGTTCCCAGAATATTTCTCTGGCGACTCTTGATAGAGTTATATGAACTGGTAGTTGTGCTCTCCATCTTGATCGGGGGAGTTTCTGATCTGAAACTGCCACCGCTCGGTGACCCCTCGTAGATGAACATCGGAAAATCGGCTTATTGTCTACAGTTTCTGCGGCTGATCATGTGACTTTGAAGCCGTTGTCAGCTTTATCGATGCAAATCCAATTCTCTCTTCTCCGGCAGTTGTTGGATTGGTATGGCCTGGTTATCGAGTACGGAGTTAGGCAGAGAGGAGTGTGCGGAGAATTTCCAGCTCTTGATTTGATTCGTGGCGTGCGAATCTTGTTTCCAAATACTCCGAGCCGGGGGATAGACGTATGGAGATATAGGTGAGGTTGTGTAGATGTTCTAAAAGGAGTTTACTTTCACTGAAACCAACTTGGGGTCCAAGGCGACAACAAGCTCAGCTTTTACCTGAAGGATTTGAGGCACCTTGTCAGTCCGCATCTCCCCACATGACAAATGCATGTATTGCCTAAACGAGAGTGACGCCAACCATTTCGCTAGCAGATCCGTATGGTGGAAGAAGGCTTAACATATTAATCAGCCCATATTGGTGCGTAGCGACGGAGGACCCTGTTGCTGGATTTGAAATCGGGGCGCTTAGTGGCTTGGGGTATGGAGGCATGGCACGGGCTGCTTCACGGGCTGCCAGAAGAATTGGTTCCCAAGGATGGTCTTACAAAATATTCTTGTTCTTTGTACGAAGCACGTCGTACCTAGCTAGCAGTAGTTCACTCCAACTGTTACAGCTTCTACTTCGTATTCGGTTTCCCTTCACCCTTCACCACACCGACTCAAGTCCATTCACGCCTGTTGGCTTATCTGCCTGAGTCGTCAGCCGGATTCCATGGCGAAGGCCCTCCTGCGGGTTATGGTGATCAAAGTCGGAGATGGCAGTGTGCGCTGTCACGCGATTATCCCACAGCGCAACCGTTCCCTCCTCCCACTTGACGCGAACCTGGAAGTCTTGGCCAAGGGCGATGTGCTATGTATTTTAATTGAGTCGTTAGTAACATCAACTGCATGCGACGGTAAATGTATCTTGAATCCAATGCTTACGTTGAACAGCAGTTGTAGGAGAGCGTCCGATTCCTCGTGCTGGAGGCCAATGATGCGCTTCGTAAAACCCTTGTTCACAAACAGGGCCTTTTCTCCCGTCACCTTTGAATGTACGTCTTAGCCTGGAGAACTTCCTCTTTACACTTTCCACAACTTCTACTTACTGGGTGAACCCTCACGATAGGGTGCTCTGACTTCACTGGCTCGCGACGGACATGCCTTCCATCACGGCGGGCGTTTTCTGCCTGGTTGAATCCGCTGTGCTCAGCACGCAAACCCTCAAGGAGAGTCTTGATGGGTTGCGACAGGCGGGAGTATGCTGCCGTCTGCGATGCCCACGCCGTGTCTCCACCGGTCGGCGGGACGGAGAGGAGGGTGAGAATCGTGATGCCAGGGGGCTGATGCTCGTATGAGACGTCAGAATGATATCCCGTGGTTGTGAGTCTTTCTCTTCGCTGCCGAGCCCGATATTCGTTGTCGGGGCCAAGGTAGATGTTGTGGTACTCGAGATGGCCCTTGACGTGAGCTCCAACGGGCTGCGAATATCTATCAGTATTTTCGACATCGCCACGTCTAGAAGGATCACCACTGACATGAATATGCAGAGGCCCAAAGTATCTCGCGAATTCCTTCTGCTTCTCTGGTCCGATATCCTTGAAGTCCTGCCCACGAAAAATGACAACGCCCCTCTCTGCGATCAACAGCGCCAGCTCATTCTTTTGCGTGTCATTCAGTTGGGAAAGCTGGAGACCACGAATCTCCGTTCCAATCACCGGAGTGAGCTTGGAAACCTTGAGATCTGGGTTGCTGTCGGATAGAAGAGCAGACTTGGACTTGTCCGCTGCAAGACCCCGGTCCGTGAACTCGAACGGCTGGATCGGGCCAAAGCGAGTCTCCTCGTCGTAGACAGGAAGATAATCATGGTATTTGTACTGCCGACAAGGCAATTAGAAAGTCTACTGAAGTGGAAGAACAACATTTGGGAGCCAACCTTCTGGTGGATCGTATCATCATATGCCAGGGTGAGCTTCCCGATGGCGGTATCGGACTTCGATACTGTCTGTGTTGCTGACATGTTGTTATACTGACTCCAGAAGTGTATAGGTTGACTTGATTGATGTCGGCGAATCTCAACGCTTCAATTGTAGAGCCGCCTGATCGAATGAGGGGGCTCCTTCGTTATATATGTCTACATATATTCTATAGTGGCGCCTTCTGCTCTTCTGGTGTTCGGGACGTCGGCACCATTCGCCAAGCTTTCGCCCGAAGGCGGCATGTCAAGTCTTAATCGTGATCGATCGCCAATATGATGAACTGCGGGGGTTCGTCCATTGCGGAAGGTCTCTGCCAGCTACAATCATATCCTGTGTGTGAAGATCACGCCTTATCCATCCACAAATGGCAATCGTGGGGGTGGTGAGACCTCATTTCGCATTCCGATAACATTTAAATGTGTTTCGTTTGAAGAACTTATTGGCAAGCACAGGATGCACTCGGCCTTATCAGATACTAGATGCCTCCGATATCATGGATCATTGGTGTTGTTGCAGGAATATGAATATCGGCTAAAGCTGATTCGTGAGTCGTGATTTAGGCCAAGATGACGACAGCGGATGCTTCACAGAGAGTTGCAGTAGAACCAACTGCACAGAGGCTTACTAATGAATGGTACAATAAATGAACAGTATTGCATGCGAAGGATTGGCTCGTACTCACTATAGACTGATTGCTACCTGAAGACGGCGAAATGATAAAGAGTTCATCGCAGCTCTTTATATGAGGTCTTTGTCTCTTGCCATTCTGTTCCGCAAAATATAATGAAGCTGGTAAAGAGACGGTCAGCGAGATATAGAACTGAGAAGAAATAGACAAACCCTAGTTATTCGCGAGACTTTGATTCTAAAAACCGGTTTATCCTGTAGCCAGATTGATAAGGAGGTGTCGCCGCGACAAGAGTTTTGAGACGAAACTGTTTATCTCAACTATATATCGAATCAGTTCTGCCTTGCCTTGAATATAGACGATTTGATAAAACCTCTCTTATATCTGCTCTTAAGTCTCGCAAGAGTTTATTAGGCCATGGTGTCCTCCGGGGACATTGACTGCATGTACCGTCGATGGTTGGCCTTATGGGTGAAACTCAAGTCGTATCGTCGCAAGATATGTATAGTTTAGTTCATATAAGGTACTTTAACTCATAGCACGTTCACCTCCAGTCAGAATGATACCTATATAGAACAACAGCCATGCTAGGGAAACGAGATGGGCATAAGATGGAGATACAGTCTATTTAGACATAACAAATATGCAGCTTTATCTTTAAGTTTAGTAAAGAGTAGCGATGAAGCAAAAGATTAGACTTCTTCAAGTAACAGAATTTCGAATACTAAATAGATACTATTGCTCACGATGAGGGTCTTTAGCCAAGGAGGACGGACCCAATCTTTTAGGTTGCCTCATCTAGAAGCATAGCTCATTTCTATTAATAGTGATATCATCTATCCTCAGAGATATTTTGCTATCACATCGGAATTAGACAGAGCTTACTTGTACAGGCCAAAAGACAAGGAGTGCCTCGCTACTTGAACTCAACATACATTATGCAAACTTGATACCAGTGTCTCTGTTAAGAGGCCTATTAATCAACATGCTCTGTCAAGAGACCTGTTCAATCATCAAAATTCATCAGTAATTCATCAATTGAAGTTGGCCCTTTCATCATAATCACTACGCAGCTGTAGAAACCTGGGCTGCTCGAAAACGATAAGTGCAGATCCTTGCAGGTGATGAAGGAACAGCCATCCCCAAGCCACGCAGCACAGCATGACCGATATACCTACTACATATTTATATTCAAGTTTTATATCGAACTGAGTTGCTCCCGAATCTTGTAAGACGGTGCCTGGCCCTCGATCAGGGGTCTAGAAAGTATAGTTATGTGGAGAAGCTCCTCAGAATTTAGACAGAACTGGCCTTTGCATATATGGCAACTGCTTCTTTAGCCTTTCCAATTACTTTCAAAGCAATTCAATACCATCTTCATTGCCCAATCATCGTATGTTTGTGCCAGTTTTGCCCAAATCAGTTCGCTCGCTAGATGCTAGGCCGAGGCTATGTCTAGGGCCGAGTATACAGCGGATGCTTCCGGCCAATCCGAATAATCTTCATGATCGGAAGGCTATCCGCCTGATTCGCCACGGCAAAGAGTAGAATCCAGCACATCCCTCACAGATATATCTTTTCAATGCTTATTCACATACTGCTAAGCAGTCCCGAGGTTCGGCAGTTCAGCCCGAGCAACAACACAGCCAAACAGCTGAGAGAGCCAAGCCCGGCAGATGTGGGAACACGGAACCGGCAGGTGGGGTGTATGGAGCACGAAACCTGATCGGGGAACTATGACGTTGCTGTCTGCTTGGTGGTGACATGCTCAAGCATGCCGACGTGAGAATAAGGGCTCATGTCTTGAGGACTGTAGATTGTTGTAAAGCAAATGTAAAGGAAAGCCTCAAGATGTGAAGAAGTGATATCAACTCAGCTGCGAGAGATAAGCAGGGCCAATTGGCCGCATCGAGACCACGAAAAGGTTAAGTGCTAGTCGCTTGCTCGACATCGCCAAACGTGGCACTTGCAACTGCCAGGAGACGAACCATGACATCATGGCCTCTGCAACCCACAGCACATCCGGGCATCTCATGCTTTGCCCGCGAAGCCGCTTGGATGATTCTCCTCCAGTCACGTCCTGCATCCGGAGTTCCTGGATGAGGGACACGGGCACACGTACCCACAAGAAGTAACGCCACGCTCGCCTCGAACGAATCCCATCGCGTGCCTCGCCGAAGTTGCGTCAAAGAGAGGGGTTTCCCTCAGGCGAAGGCTCAATGTCAATCCTCCGCTCCTCTCTTAAATTCTCTCCCCTCCTCCTCGAATCCCGTCCGGTCATCTTGAATAAAGATATTTCGTCAGCCGCCTCGTCCCTTCTCTCCCGCCTCACCAGCCGCTGCCAATCTAGATTCATAACAAAATACTCTCCATCTGCTCCATCGCCCATCATGCCTCAGCCCGTCCCCACCGCCAACAGACTCCTTGATCTCTTCAGCTTGAAGGGCAAGGTCGTCGTCGTCACAGGCGCTTCCGGCCCCCGAGGCATGGGAATCGAAGCTGCCCGTGGCTGCGCCGAAATGGGAGCTGACCTCGCCATCACCTATTCCTCTCGCAAGGAGGGCGCAGAGAAGAACGCCGCCGAGCTGAGCAAGGAATACGGCGTCAAGGTCAAGGTGTACAAGGTCAACCAGAGCGACTACAGCGATGTTGAGCGCTTCGTGAACCAGGTGGTGTCTGACTTTGGCAAAATTGATGCCTTTATCGCAAAGTATGCTCCCTTTCGTCTTGTTCGCCCTTTCTTGTGCCCATCTAGGATCAGTTTCTGCCAGTAGCAGTTAGGTGCTGACATCTCCTCACCAGCGCCGGAGCCACAGCCAATAGCGGAGTTGTCGACGGCAGCGCCAGCGATTGGGATCATGTCATCCAGGTCGACCTCAACGGCACCGCATACTGCGCAAAGGCCGTTGGCGCGCACTTCAAGAAGCAAGGCCACGGCTCCCTCGTTATCACGGCTTCCATGTCCGGCCACGTCGCAAACTACCCCCAAGAGCAAACCTCATACAACGTCGCCAAGGCCGGCTGCATCCATTTGGCGCGGTCTCTGGCCAACGAGTGGCGCGACTTTGCCCGCGTCAACAGCATCTCGCCCGGCTACATCGATACCGGCCTGTCTGACTTTATCGACGAGAAGACGCAAGAGCTGTGGAGAAGCATGATTCCTATGGGACGAAACGGCGATGCCAAGGAGCTCAAGGGCGCGTATGTATACCTTGTCAGCGACGCCAGCTCGTACACGACGGGAGCCGATATCGTGATTGACGGAGGCTACACTACCCGATAGAGTAAAAGTTTGGTGTTGTGCGTGTTAATATAAAGATTCTATAATAATTAGTGCTCTGAACAAAATTTGAGATTCACGACAAAGAACAATTCTTCCCCATGACGACCATATATGGGTGGGAACGAGGAGCTCCACCAAGCAGTGAACCGTCGTGATTTTTCACCCTTGAAGTCTTGCTCTCCATCTCGGCGAGATGCGCCACCCGAGGCTCAGTGATTAATCGTCGTCTGCACCAACGGAGTACGGTGTACAGTAAGCTACAGGTGATGTGACCGGGTCCGGGGTCTCGCATTTAGCCGCTATTCGAATGCCGTTGGCAAATTGCAAGTGACATCCTTTAATCACAGATGCTAGAAGCAGAATACTAGAACGAGGCAGCGCCGCCGTGATACACTGGAGAAATCCAGGGCAAGGCAGAGTACATATCGTCATTTCGTGTCTTGGCTGCCTTAGACCAGCAGTTTCCCAGCTCCAGTCTGGAACCCCGACAACTCCGCAGGAACCACACCCATCCTTTTGACCCTTCCACGCCCTGGTCTCTCCGCATCGGCCCATCACTTCATCCCCGCGATCTGGCCTGTCGCTCCCCCACCGATGGATCTCAATCCCCTGCGCGTTCGCCAACAGAAGTACCCGACAGGAACGGCATCGTATATTCGGCTTTCAACCCGATATTATGGCGTCGGTTCATCGGGATTTAGGACAAGTGCCGCCTTGGCCCTTGACACTGCTTTCGAGATAATAATGCTGCAAGGACGTTTGAAGGGGGTCAAAGAAAGCATTGCCATCAGAGACATAAACGTTCTAGAACAAGGTCGATCAAGACAATGTTAAGGGCAAACAAAACAAGGACGCCGGATGTTGCCGATCAAACATGTACACAGAAGCGAACCATGTCAGTTAAATTTATGCATACAACGTCCCATGCTGGGGCGATTAGCATTCGACCTTCTCCAGAGGCCTTTCCGAATGGTCAGTCCTATTCTTTTCCGTTGCCGTTTCTTTCGAGCTCCAGTTTTCCTCCTCGGATCACCCTTTCGACCTGCTCTTCTCTTTCTGCCCAAGCCCGACGGCTCGATTCGTGACTCCCGTAACTGCAGTGTTGCCGGCGGAATAGATATCATTGCTCGGATATACATACACTACGAATTACAGGCCGCTGTGAAACCTCAATAAATGAGATCGCCCTTGCCAGGCCGAGTCAACCTGTCGAACATTGTTCCTGTTCTGATCCTCGGGACCATGGAAACGCCGCAGGGCCATGTCGGTTGCCATGCTTGCTTTTACTCTCTGGTCCTTGCTTCGTTTCACTCATCCTCGGGCTGGTGAACTTAATGGAAGTGGCGATCGAATGGCTGACCAGATTTTGGATCAAACATATCCGTACCGTCCTAGCTCAAGCATCGCAGTCCACAAATGAGGGGAATCTGCTTCCATGTAACCATCGCCAAGTTCTTACATACACAAAGTCACTGTAACAATTTTTTGGACAGGGGTTCAGTTCCATGGAGCCTAAGCATTGACCAATGACAAAAAACACTGGTTGGACGATGATATCACAGACCTTGTTGCCTTATTACTCCCATGTGGTCAGCTGCCTTTATCCCGGCAACCTGTAGCCAACATCTCCGCCAACCTCATCCCTTGTTGTACATACCTACGAGTATACTGCCGGATCCCCTTTTCCGTCGACAACAATGTCAATTTTTGAGGAAGGTATACCGACGGATATTTGCAGCAGCTCCAACCTACCCGGTCACGGTGACGACGGCATCATCAGGAACCAACAGCCCTGAGCGCCTGCTGCTCGAGGTAACATGGTGTCTTCGGCCTGCAGCCGGCGTTTCCACTTCAAGAAATGATCACTGGCAAAGTCGCATTACCCGGAGCTTCCCCCGCCATCTTCAAGTTTGGTGAGACCATCAAGATGCGGGGGATTGGCAACATGAGATGGATAGTAACCCAGAGGCGGGATGATGCTCTGCGAGATGCCTTTGTCTTGGCATTGTCCAACCAGGTGCCGATGGCGGCCGAGATGCCCCTACAGGAGGAGGTCTCACGATCCTACTTAAATCACGATCTCTGCAGACATGATTCAGTTTAATGTTACTCACAGGGCGAGCCTATTTCACGTGGAGTCTTCCCGGGGTCATACGAGGGCTACCTGCTTCTTTTTCCTAAATCCCTTCAGTCGCGGCTTCTTCTCCTGTAGGTTGCTCGCCGCGGGTTTTGTTGATTGCAAACGAAGCATTCTCACAGAGTCATTCAGGCACATCAATACAGCGAGCGCGGCATGCACTTTCAACAATTGGTGGCCTATTGGCCACTGTTGCTTGGATTGAGCCAAGCAGCAGACCAGCACTCTCAATTTGATGTCCTCAACTACATCGACCCGTTAATCGGAACCGCCAACGGAGGTACGAAAAGCTCCTTATAAAGGAATACAACGATTAGGCTAATGGAAACGCATTGCAGGCCACGTCTTCCCCGGCGCAAGTCTCCCCTGTGAGTCTCGGACCTTGGACGAACTGTTCTATAATAATACGGCGCAGACTAACATCACTTCTAGATGGCATGGCAAAGAGTGTCGCAGATGGCAACAAAGAGATTCAAGGAGGATATGCCTCCAATGATGGGTTGAGTACGTGATCACTATATCGACACAACCTGCTCAGCATTGACCGATTTTGCAGTCACCGGGTTCTCGCACATGCACGACAGTGGCACGGGTGGTGTAAGTCTGGTACAGCTCACTCGCAGACTGAAGAGATTGTAACATATGTGTCAACAGGGTGCGTCTCTGGGCAACTTCCCTCTTTTTGCCCAGACCGGCTGTCTCAACGACGACATTAATCAATGCTACTTTCCTTCGGCTTTGCGAGCGTCCGAAAAGATAAACAGCACAGTTGTGGCAAAGCCAGGCTATTTTGCTCTACAGCTCAACACCTCCGTCAAGGCTGAGATGACCGTCACCAACCACACGGCCCTCTACAGATTCTCCTTCCCCACTGACGGCACCCCGACCAAGCTCCCTGCGGACGGAAAGACGCCCTACAGCCCGCTCATCTTGGCCGACTTGGCCGATCTTTCTGGTTCTCGAAGTGCTGCAGTCATCTCGGTCGATGCCCACACTGGTCGCATCTCGGGCAACGGCACCTTTAGGCCCTCGTTCGGCATCGGCACTTACAACGCCTATTTCTGCACGGATTTCAAGGGAGCAAAACTCCGCAATACGGGCATTTTTGTCAACAACCGAGCAGGCAGCGACCACAAGAGCTTCCGTGCCTACGATGATGGACAAAGCCCGATTCTGCCAGCGGGTGCCTGGGCTCAGTTCCATCCGCCTGCCAACAACCAGATTCTGGCTCGCGTTGGGCTCTCGTTCATCAGCACTGCTCAAGCCTGCCAGAATGCCGAGAAGGAAATCCCCGACTTCGACTTTGAGGCCGTCAGGTCCGATGCAGAGGATGCATGGCGCAAGAAGCTCAGTGTCATTAAGGTTGACAACACGGGTGTGAGCGACTCGCTTCAGCGAACATTCTGGAGTGGCATCTATCGCACTCTGCTTTCCCCTCAGGATTATACCGGTAAGAGAAAATATCTGATGTTGGGCCAAGAGCCACTGCTCATCAATTATAGGCGAGAATCCCCTGTGGAAGAGCGACGAACCTTACTTTGACTCGTACTATTGCATCTGGGACAGCTTTCGAAGCACACATCCCCTGCTCACCCTGGTTGATCCCCATGCTCAGGCTTTAATGGTCCGCAGCCTCATTGACATCTACCGCCATGAGGGCAAGCTTCCAGATTGCCGCATGTCGCTTTGCAAGGGTTTTACTCAGGGCGGCAGCAATGCTGACAATTTATTGGCGGATTCATATCTCAAGGGTTTGAAGGACGGTATTGACTGGGATACGGGTTACAAGGCAGTGGTATCTGATGCTGAAGGTAAGTATTGTTCTCGATCCTTTTTTTAATCACTACTTTCTCACAAGTTCCGCAGAGGAGGGCCAGATTTGGACGGTCGAAGGCCGTGGAGGCTTGCAGAGCTGGAAACAGCTGGGCTACATCCCAACAGACGACTGGGATCCCAATGGCTATGGTCTCTTCACTCGATCTATCTCCAGGACCATCGAATACTCGTACAATGACTTTTGCATTGCCGAGATGGCCCGTGACCTCGGAAAGCACGCCGATGCTGAAAAGTATCTGAAGCGCTCGAGCAACTGGAAGCACATGTTTGATCCGCACTCGAAGTCCAAGCTGAACTTGACTGGAACCCAAGACTATAACCAGTTCACGGACAGTGGATTCACCGGCTTCTTGCAACCTCGGTATCTCAATGGCACCTTTGGCTTCCAGGAGCCGGCAATCTGTACTGATTTGTACAACTTTGAGGGCTGCTACCTCAATCCCGGTGGCCATGAGACGTACGAAGCTGGCTCGTGGCTCTACACCTTCTACGTGCCTCATGATCAGGCAACGCTCATTACTACGCTTGGCGGCCCTGACGAGTTCGTCCGCCGGCTCAGATATATGCACGACACGCCTGGCTTGTTCTACATAGGTGATGAGCAAGCTTATCTTCTTCTATTCATCTTCCACTATGCTGGAAGACCTGGCCTCTCTGCCGAATACGCACACAAATATATTCCAAGTGCCTTTAACGACACGGCAAGTGGACTTCCAGGAAACGATGACTCGGGTGCCATGGGCAGCTTCACGGCCCTCACCATGTTGGGCTTGTACCCCATGAGCGGACAAGACGTCTATATCATCATTCCACCCTTTTTCTCGGAGGTCAAATTCACTGATCCACGGACTGGAAAGACGGCTGTCATTCGAAACATCAACTTTGATGCTGATTACAAAAACATTTACATCCAGAGTGCCAAACTGAATGGCAAGCCGTATACTAAGGGATGGGTGACGCACAGCTTCTTTGCTGACGGTGGAGAGTTGGAACTGACTCTGGGACCTAAGGAAAACACTAAGTTTGGAACCTCTAAGAAGGATTTCCCACCGAGTGCGTCGACGGACTTTTGGAAATGATGTTAAGGTGGGAAAGACAGGAGTTGCTTCGTACGAGTAATGAGTGATGCTGTATACCTTAGCTTGCATATGATATTCTGTAGTCCTTATCTGCATCCTTTCAGCTCTTAGTAGCAATTGTGGCTATCATCTCGTCATGATTCTAATCTCGTCTAAGGCTATGGGGCCGTTCGGCTCTTAATTTCGACCTTACTCTCCACCTGCAGGATCACGAACTTTCGATACATAATCACCGGTCATCAACTCTGGCTTGGTGGTTTATTCTCATCATCACAGTAGATGTAGAGAATAACCGGGCGAAAGCCCACAGCATATAAGCTCAGCGCCCGTACGCCCCAGCGAGCAGCCCGGCTCTGGCGTATGGGTATGGCAGTTCAGGATTGATCGGAGTAGATGTGACAATTTCGATATTAATTTACGCTTCGCTTCTCTAGAGAGCTTCAATACAAATCCATTCCGTCTTTTCTAAGCCTTTGCTTTAAGCAGCGTAAATTGCTCGCTGAACGGGAAATCGTGGAAGCCCTTCTCCAATTTAGGCGTGAAGAAGGTCTCGCGCTGGAATGGCGTCAGAGGGATTCCCTGCTTGTAGCGGAAAGGCAGGTCGGGGTTGGATGTGTAAGGGCGGCCGATGCCAATGATAACATCGTAATCCTTGTACTTTTCGTCAACGGCCTTCTTGCTGGTCTCAGGCTCGTAGCCCCCGGCGACAATGACGGGGCTGGCGTTATTGTAGGCCTTGATGATGGGGGACAAGTCTTTGCCCTCTGAACGCGACTCAACGTAGTGGACGTATGCCAGGTTGAGGGGCTTCAGCTGCTCTGCGAGATACACATACTGGGGGATCACGTCGTAATCAATAACACCCCCGTCCAGGGCTTCTCCAAAGGGACTCAGGCGGATTGCGGTGCGATCTGATCCAATGGCTGCAACAATAGCCTTGGTCACCTCGAGTGGGAAGCGGGCACGGTTCTCAATGCTCCCTCCCCAGGCATCCGTCCGTCTGTTGGAGAGCTGCTGGATGAACTGCTCGAGCAGGTAGCCGTTGGCAGAGTGAATCTCAACGCCATCGAAGCCGGCAGCAATGGCGTTCTTAGCTGCCTGGACGTAGTCCTGTATGTACTCGAGGATCTCGTCCTCCGTGAGAGGCCGCGGCTTATCGCCACCTTCTTTTTGGGGGATGTCGCTGGCGGAAACGAGGTCAGAGTTGCTCTCCTCCCTGAGAACCTTTGCGTTGGCAGTTCGACCCAGCGCCCACAACTGGAGATAGATGAATGAGCCTTGCTCGTGGACGGCGTCGGTAACGGCCTTCCAGGCGTCGATCTGCTCCTGGTTGTAGATTCCGGGCACGTTGGCATAGCCACCAGCTTTCTGAGAGATGAAGGTGGCCTCTGTGATTGCCAGAGAGCCAGGAACAGCTGTCCTCTGGGCGTAATACTCCTTGACGGCGGGCAGAGGCACATGGCTATCGTCGGCTCTGAACCGGGTCATAGGGGCCATGGCAATGCGGTGGGCGAGCTCGACGCGGCCCACCTTGATAGGGGTGAAGAGCTTCGACATGATGATGGTTTGACTTGAGATTCCACGTTTTCCAGCAGCTGTCTCCTTGGGTGACGGATATGAGACCCTGATAGTGTAGCAAATACGAGCTATTTGCTTCTTGATATTCTCTTATATAAGTATCACATACTACTCTAATTCCGCAGTCCGAAAAGATTCCACGGATTGCACCATTCTTCGGATTAGAAATTCGAACCAACCCCCACAGCCATCTTGTAAGTGCTACGCTAGGAGGCCATTAGTCGACTTTCAGGTCTCGATTTCTCCAGGGTCAACTGGAATGGCAAGGTACTTTGAGATCGGTTATGGGGTGTCCTGTTTTACACGGAGGAAAGTGTGCCGTTCGATCAACTTGGGGCGGGATTGGCCTGTTGAGCTGCATGCAAGTCGGAACTTAAATCCTTCGCGCGTGACTCATTTTAATGATGTGTCCACCGTGATGTTGTAATCGCATATGTCTCATTGTGAAGTAAAAAAATAAGATATTGTTTCTTGCTACTCTGTAGACTGGCCACGCAATTCATACACTGAGAATTTGACGCTTATTGTCCCGTCCGCGGATGACAAGATCCGTGCTGAGATCGAGGCTTACGTACATAAACTTATCCTTCTAATTCACCACGTGCCAAATTGCATGGGTTATACAGCGAACTCGTCAATATTATCGCTCTATCTATTGCCAGAATTGATTGAACTTGCGTACTGTAGTCAAACGCCTTTACCCTGTCACCCCATAGCACATTGTATGGAGGGTACGAGGGGGGCAGAGATACACCTTCCTGAGGACGGACATAGACGAAGTGGTTCAAAGTCATTCATACGATGTGACAAGACGAATGTTCGCCAGCCGCTAAGTATCTGGTACGACTTCTGTCACTCAACCGATTTCAGATCAATCCTCATCAGTAGCAACTTGGACGTAACAGGCAAGTTTGAGCGAAGTCCTACTAATGAGCTACAATACTACGAGGCGTCATAAGCGCCTTTTACGAACGAGAGAAGAAATAGAAGAAAGCTAAGAAGGGCAAATATAAAAATTTAAGTTGCGCCATCACTGTTCTGGATAATGCTCAGAAGGAACGGGCCGGAGAGTCATCATTAGGGTTCTGACTCCTGTGGACTCTTTGTTTCCCCGTCTTACAAACGCTTAGGCTAAGCAACCCCGGTCTTATGAATGGGTACAGCAATCGTATCTTCAATCGTAAACGGAACGGCTATCCGTCCTCCAGCTTGCTTACATACTCGTTCTTACAAAATTAGTCCACGCATGATGGTGTCGAACTTCCTGTTCCGCAAAACGACCAACAATGGTGGAGTTTCCAGAACCAGTCTGGAACTTTCTTTTAAGACCGTGCGCGGTAGAACTAACATCCACACCTAGCAAACCGAGGCATGAAATGACCTCTGGAATGTTACGTAACCTCGTCAATGTTGGCTTTCGTCAAGATGAGCTTGACTCCGTCTGTTGTAACGATCAAGAACACGCGTAACATTCTTGGTAAGGATGAGTGCTTAAACATATCGCTTAGAACTTCACGGATAATTCAAGTTGTTGGTTTTACAGGTTCATCATTTGATCGATTCGTCCACAAAGATCCGGCTTCTGTTGTACTCCACACGAGGTAGTTTTCTCTAACTCCGCCGGCCATCTCCGCTCTATTGATACGGAGAAGATTGGTTCGGCCTAGTGAATTGAGCCGAGGCTGCGTTCGAGCGAAACAGGGGGCATCTAAGATAGAATATGGAAGAAAATTTCAGATGCCATCTGTTGTTGATATAAAGACTAATACAAGTTCAAGCCTTAAACAAGCTCTCTATGTTCAGCGTAAAGTACCTCTAAAAAACAGGATTCTAACAACGTCAATCAGTCATCAGTATTAGAGTTAGAGTCAACCACCATGACAATCACTCAACTCAAGCTCCAGGAGCCAATCACGCTCCCATGCGGCCTCACGCTCCCCAATCGGCTGTCCAAAGCCGCCATGGCAGAGAACTGGGCAGACAACGATTATCTCCCCGGAGAAAGATTATTCAACCTGTACGAAACATGGGCTGAGGGCGGATGGGGCGCGATTCTCACAGGCAACGTTCAAGTCGACGTCCGACATCTGGGCAGCCCTCACGACGTGAGCCCCAACGAAAATATCGACAGGGAAAGAATACTTGCCGCGTGGAGGAAATGGGCACAGGCAATCTCCAAGAATGGCACTCCGGCTATCATGCAGATCAACCATCCCGGACGACAAAGCCCAGCCAAAACCGGCACAAGAGGTTTCTTTGAGAAGTCGATTGCTCCCAGCCCAATTCCGCTGCACCTGGGCGACGGCATCATGGCCAAACTTGCTAGCGCGCTTGTCTTCGGAACGCCCAAAGAAATGACAGTGGAAGATATTCAGCGCGTTGTCTCTCAGTTTGCGGAAACCGCCAGGCTGGCTGCGGAAGCAGGCTTCGCCGGCGTCGAGCTCCACGCAGCACACGGCTACCTGCTGTCTCAGTTCCTGAATTCCTCATCGAATCAACGGCAGGACGATTACGGCGGGTCGGCCAAGAAGCGGGCAAAAATTGTTGTTGACACCATTAGGGCCGTGAGAGACGCCGTGCCAAAGGGCTTCTGTGTCGGCATCAAGATAAACAGTGCAGATTATAAGAACAAGGAGCAGCTTGCCGCCTGCATCGAGCAGCTTGAGGACATCGCAGCTGCGGGCGTCGACTTTCTCGAAATTAGCGGAGGATCATACGAAGACCCTCAAGTAAGTGCTTGTACTCTTCAGCTGTTCTGTGCTCCGAGCTCCCGCGCTTGGATCGTATAAAGTCCCCAGTGGCTTGAGCTAACTATGGGCCTCTAGATGATGCAGACATCGAATCCCGCATCCGCAAGCACCATCCCACGCGAGGCATTCTTCCTCGACTTTGCAAAGGCCATCCGTGGTCGATTCAGGCATGTTCCACTCATGGTCACAGGCGGCTTCAGGACGCGCAGAGGCATGGAGAACGCACTTCAAGAGGACGCTTGCGACATTATCGGCGTTGGTCGCCCTGCCGCGCTGAACCCTTCGTTGCCTAAGAACCTCATCTTCAATACAGAGATCAAGGACGAAGATGCAAGGGCGTTCACGCGAAAGGCGCCGGATCTGATGCTTCCAAAGCTGCTCGGTATCAAGGTAGTGGCCGGAGGAGCAGAAACTGTAAGTACTACATGCTGTTTCTTAAGAAGCAATCCGTCCCTATGGTATGCTTTCAGTGTTGGTAATGTCCTTACTAACGCGAGGTGCAGTCCTGGTACGTGAAGCAGATGCAGTCTCTGCCAACAGTGGTATAGAGTCAGATAATCAAGGCAGCGTGCTTTGTCAACGTCGAACAACTTCTTCTAAGATTTACTATATAATATACCCACAACTAATCTTCATTGGAACCTCCAATAAAACAAATAAAAGCAGAACACGAATATAATCCTATATAATGGCGTCATGTAATCTGCAACCTCCTCATGCACTATCGCCTGAATCTAGCTCCCGATGCTACACACCTGCACCACCACCACTCATGCCCCAATTCGAATCGGGGGCTGCCACCGGTCAACAAGACCCAGCACTGGTCCTGAAGATCTGTGCTACCAATGATGTCTCAGTATGTAGAACAATGCCACCATTTTTAGCTTCAATGTTGGAGAACCGTGATGACCACGCCCTGGAGTTTTGTGCATGGTGGCCATTGCGCCATTGGGAGAGTTGGAGGCGTATTGTCGCATTGTTGATTGGGCATGCTTCTACAAGGTTGTTATTATGCTTGTTTACGGAAGAAGCTGAAAAGAGGTCCCAGCGTTTTTTATAAATAACTCCTTTCCGTATCTACACTTAGCAACCTTCCAGTTCACTTCATCGCTCATCGCCTCCCCTTACCATGAAGGCCTCGCTGTTATCAACATGGGCGCTGTGCCTCATCGGCGCGTCCGCAGCACCTGGCATCCAGCAGCGAGATGGAGGATTTCCTGACGGACAGCCCATCAGTCCGGATGGCAAAGGAGGACCCTTTTCAGGTACGCGCGGGCTCCTTCACTTTCCTCAGAAAAGGCAAGAGACAAAAGAAAACCCCTGACAAGATAGCAAGGCGGCACGAACCATGAGCTCGATCTGCAAAATCCCAACAATCTAGGCCAGCAATCGACCGACAACGGCGTAGTGCCAAACCTCAAATGGAGCTTCTCCGATTCAAGAACGCGCATTCTGAAGGGCGGCTGGGTACGGGAGCAGGTCATCACTGACTTGCCTGCCAGTCACGACATTGCCGGTGCTCAAATGCATCTTGAAAAGGGGGCGATTAGAGAGATGCACTGGCATCGAGTGGTGAGCTCATGTTCCCTCACACTTCTTGTCTACTTCATGGCCAGTCTAATATGTTAAATAGGCTGAATGGGGAATCGTCTACGCCGGCCGCATCGTCATGTCGGCCGTCGATGAGAACGGCAACTACGAAGTCGCCGAGCTCGGATACGGCGACGTGTGGTATTTCCCCAAAGGGGTTGCACATACAGTCCAGGGACTTGATGATGAAAATGAGTTCCTCCTGATCTTTGACGATGGCGACTTTGACAAGATTGGGTAGGCAAAGAGTCGCTTCTCTGTGAGTGTTCAGAGAGATAGTCCACTTGAAGCTGACCGATCAAGTACCACTTTCAACGTCGACGACTGGATCGCTCACACTCCCCGCTCCGTCCTTGCAAAGAATTTTGGCGTCGACGAATCTGTCTTCGATTCCCTTCCTGCATCCGACCCGTACATTATCAACGGCACCGTCAGCACGCAAAATATCACAGGCTACGTCCCGGTGCCTACAGAGACCAGCTCCTTTGTTTACCGCACGCTGCAGCATCCGCCGGAGAAGATTGGCGGAACTGGGGGCCAGGTACACAAGATTGACTCGACCAATTTCCCGGTGAGCAAGACGATTGCGGCAACGTTTGTGACGCTGAAGCCGGGTGCTCTGAGGGAGCTTCACTGGCATCCGAACGTGAGTCTCTTCTGACAACACCATACCCTTTGTGCAATAGAGAGGCATTTAATAACTATATACAGGCGGAAGAATGGGTCTACTTCCACAAGGGCACCGCCCAAGCCAGTGTATTTCTCGGCAGCGCCGCCTCCCGGACCTTCAACTTCCGTGCCGGCGACACGGCCGTCTTTCCGGACAACTCAGGCCACTACATCGAGAATACATCTGAGACAGAGGATCTCGTCTGGGTGGAGATTTATAAGTCGGACCGCGTTGTTGACATTCCCTTGACGCAATGGCTCGCATTGACGCCGCCAGACATTGTTGCGCAAACGCTCAAGGTGCCGCTGGAGTTTGTGGAGAAGCTGAAGAAGGAGAAGCAGGTGCTGATTGAGTAAAGCCACATGTGCATAGCCAGATCATCCATATTAGCATTCAGGCTATGGGTACACGTTCTTCCAATCTCTATGCGTCACCAAAGAGCCAACTGGTCTCATTGATACCTCGAGACAGGTATAACACTTCGCAATGTTACAACCCTTCAGCAAGATAGTCGCTTCAAGATCCTGAACAGCAGCCTAAATGTCCTCTGCTGCCGTTAGCTGGGATGACGTTACTCGCACCTTGTCGTCCAAGAAGCGAACGCAAGAGAATGATACCACAAAAACGCCAGATCTCGACTCGGTAACCACTCTTTCCGTCTCTTCCTCCTCTCAATCGTATGGCGAGGAATAAACTTGGTCACGTCTTGCCGTGCTCCTTCTTATGACGCCCGGTATTAGTGCAGCCGTGGATGATAATGAAACTGGCTTTAACGGATCCTTGTTCATTGTTGAGTTTGGCAGTTGCAGTAGGGGTCGTGAGAAGATATAGCTCTAGTTAAATGAGGCATCGTTGTTCGCGGAAATGTGTCGTGGTTCAGCATTTTGGCGGCTCACTTTGCTTGCTAATTTTTCTGCCGTCACCGTCAACATTGGGGGAATTTATCTTTTCATCGCTATGTACATGCATTCCCATCATCGCTATATTCTTCTATTCCATAAGGTCCATATTATTAAACTGCAACACTCCTACTCATGCGCGGAAATCACTGTTTTCTAGGCCTTCAGCAGGACAATCGCCTCGGAATTCTGAACAGTGAACGAAAGGTTTCCGCTGCCGTCAGCCTGGATAATCGTGTTCGACTCCTTCCCGTTCACGCGCTTCGCCAGACCATTGGAGTCAGCGTCATACGAGAATCCGTTGAAGGTAACGCCCGTCTTGTCCGTAGCACCAGCGGCAGTAAGACGCTGCGACGTCCACGAAGAGTTGGGGTCGACCTTGACGGTGTAAGTCTGGGATCCGCGAGTGCCTGAGCCAGCGTTATACTGTCTCAGGTTCAGAACTGCAACGCGTTCCAGGTTTCCGCCAATGTAGGCGCCGTATCCAGAGTCCTTGTCAGCGTCCTTGTTCAGAGCAAGCGTCTTGACCTCAATCGTGCTGGAGTTGGCCAAGAAGGTGCTGGCTGCCAGCTTTCCGTAATAAGGCGCGTTGGTCGCAAGAGTACCCGAGGGAACCCAGGCGGCGTAGGGAGAGCCCACGGATTGGTGGAAGTGAATCCGCTTAATGACGCCGGTAGAGGCAGCATAAAGAGAGAATTCCATAGCCCAGAGAGCAGCTCCAAAGACATCGGAGAGACCCGAAGCGCCACCGCCGTACAAGCTGTTATGCTCACCAATGATGTAGTCAGCGGCGATGGGAGACGTCTTGGCGTAGTTGACGTGGTTGTTGATCGAGCCAACGACGGCATTGTGGCTCATGAGCGTGTTCTGCAGAGTGACGCCCGGAACAGTGGCGCCGTTCATGTAGTTGTGCACAGAGACCTGTGTGATCTTCTGCGTGGCATTGCCCTCGTCGGGGAAGATGTCGGCAATGTGCAGCTTGGCACCAGGCGAGCTCAACGACGGGGCAATGTACTTGACATTGCCCGCCAGATCGGGACAGGCCGTGCGGAGGTAGCTCTCGAAGTGCTCTGTCGTGTTCAGCCACTCGGCCGCGTACTGGGAAGCACTGTATGTGCTGGGCCGACGGCTATTGATGAAGAGATCGGGCTCGTTTCCAACCTCCCAGAATTCGAGTTGGCCTTCAAGCGCCTTGCAGGCGAGAGGCACCGTCTTCACAAGAGTGTTCCATCCGGAGGAGTTGTAAGCGCCGAGGTTGAACTGGTGAGAGTAGCGAGTACCAGCGGGGAACGCGCCGTAGGACTCGAAGAATGTCGTGCCAATGCACTGCCAGGCACCGGGGTCAGCGTTGGGGCATGCGCTGGCTGTGGAAGTGGCCAAGGTCGGATCGTAGATGGCACGATCACTGTTTGACAAGTGTTAGAATTGTGCGCTTTCTGATGCAATCGCCATGACAACTCACCCAGAGTTGCCACCGATTCGAGTAACGATCCCGCTGCCCTGGAGGTCGGCCAAGTTCTGCATCAGGTTGTGCGAAAAGGCGTTCGGGTTGCTCTTGGTTCCTACGCATGCCTGTCAGTTCACGCCGAGACCTTCGGAATAGCATGCAAAAAGCGAGACTTATACTTACCAGCAAACGTAGGAAAACCAATGAGCTCAAATGACAAGCTCACATACGAGTCAAACAGAGCCGCGGCCGCCATCGACTGCGACAGCAGCAGAGACGCTGGAACCAGGTACTTCGCCATTGCAGCTGTTCTCTTCTTTTCACCTATTACCGGAATCAACGAGAATCAAACGAAGAAGAACTTATTCCAAATCACAATGCCTACACCTGGAGATCCAATATCACGAAAAGGCTTCGTCTGGCCCTTATGTATGCTCCCTTTACCAACAAGCATCGGCTCTTCCATGTCGTCATCCGATGCTACGCGATCCAGGCACCCTCACCTCCTGACAAGTCCCTGATCAAATGCAGCCCCCATATCCATGACAAGCAAACGTTTCCCGGGCCCTCATGATCAATTAATCCATCTATAGGAACAATTCTTCCCCCGTCGACCGCCGTCACAAAAATAGCATTTTGCCCGATTCAGAAGGTAAACAGGGGGATCAAGCTGGCCAAGTTCCTGCAGGGATTATCGGTCCTACCCTTGTTCTTTTCTTAGCCTTCCCCCACAATCTGGAAAGGCTGTAATGCCCGTAGTGCTGATGCCGCTTGTTGTCTTGGATAGAATTTCCCGATGATTGGCATCAGCAGAGAGGCACAAGCCAATTTCTCTTGCTACCTATTTTATACGAAGGATCATGCGGGTCAACTTACTGATCTCTGCTGCTGCTGCTGCTGCTGCTGCTGCTGCTACTAAGATTTACTGTATCTGTAGCCTGACCCGTAGTTGTTCCCGGGTCGGAATAGGAGCAAAGGAGTCTGTCTTACTCCGAACAACTCGAAGATTCCTAAGGCTACTAGTAAGACGAGGCGACGATGGATCGACAGCCGGTTATTCGGCTCCGCTACACAGCCTTTCCCCCTTATTCTCGTCGTCTTATACAAGTGCAAGTTGAATCATCATCACCACTTTCTCTATTCCCCCGCATAGCATGCGGACACCTCAGAGAAGCTGAAGATGCTTCACTAAACCAGGTGATATAGTGTTGCATTGTTGCATTCCGGGCCGATTTTTTGCTGTCGCGCTATGTGTTCAATGAATCCAATGATATCACGTCTGTTGCAGCTTCAAGCGTCGATGGAGATCTCGTCAAGAACGGCTCTAGGCCGTGGGACCAATTGCCGCTCTTCTACGTATTCACCCCTAGATAAGTGCGGATATAGAACCATCACATCGTTCGATTGCAAATCCAACTGGGGATTTTGCATCCCGAACTGCTGGTAACAGGCCGCAACTCCACCACAATATCACAATGTCTGAAGTACCCAAACAAGGAGGTGTTTTGTTTTTCGGACCCGTTGAAATGTTCCTTGTCGCAGTCCCCGCCGGGGCTGAAAGCCCAAGAGATCATGAGTAAAGTCAGCGCCTACCGTACTTGCGTAAATCCACTCTAAAAGACGAGCCAGCGTAGCCCATCAAGTATCACACCAAACGCCGTTGACCATATCGTTCAGGTCGTACCATCTAGACCAAATCCTCTTTCCCATGAACATCATAACCACCAAGATGGAGTCATCAGAGCCAATGCGCCAAATCAATCCCACCTCCTGCCTCCAGCAACGGAAACAAGTTCAACGCCGAGTTTGGATCATTATCATTATTTCCCACGATCCCGTCCCAGTAGGCATTCGTATCAGGCGTATGCAGCATCGGCTCTGACAGTCCCAAAAACACGGAATCCATTTCAGCCAGCCGTGGAGATGGCCCGCCGGATGACAAGCCCTGGTGCTGCAGAAGCGTCGGTCGATCCAGGGAGCCGCGGTACCTGGCCATGGTCGTATCTGGCGTGCTGATTCGCAAGTCGACGTCTCTCAGGGCCGCCGGAGACTTATTCAGGGGTGACCTTGCATCGGGAGCTCCCAGGCCAAAGAGCTGGCTGGAGCTTTCGGTGCGTCGCATTCGCTCCTGGAGATCCTGTCGCTCAAGATGCTCCAAGGCTGTCGTGAGTAGCGACTGAGCGATCAAAGAGTATTGTTTGGCATGGGCGTCGTTTTGGGCGAAATGTTCCATGGTCTGTATAGACAGTTGTGTATACTTTTCCAGGATACGGCCGAACCCGCCCAGGAGACCAACACCGAGAACAAGCGAAGCAGCAAAAAGCCATGATCTACTGCTCATTAGTTCTTATATTCTGTCTCTTTGTCGTTCATCAGACAAAAGAGGCGGGCAGAGAAGATCAGGTCACAAGAGGTTGCAATACTTACACAAGCAGGGGGGCCTTCCCTTTCAGTACTCCTCGTTCAACCAAGTCCAAGACCGGATCGACCATCAAACTCGCAGCATCGATACACGCATCCGCCAACTTCGATCTTCCCGAAGCCAGCGCCGGTCTATTCGGCGGAGCAGAGCCCCCTCCTAGCCGCTGACACACCTCGTACATCAGAAAGGGCCGTGAAACAAGCATCACAGCATAGTAATACGACGACAGGACCTGGCAAGCCCCCGTGACCTGGGCTTCGTTGCGGAGGGCAGGCTGTGAGATAACGTCTTTGAGCTGGCTGAGCCATCTTGCGGACCAGTCGCGCAGCTTGAGGGATATACCTTCGGTCAGCTGCATGGAGACCTTTTTCCGCGAGTATATTTCCATAATGATGCATTCCAGTATGAGCAAGATCTGAACAGAGGCATTGAGCAGGTTGAGTACCTCATTTCCATCACTACCTATCGCGCGGTAAGGAACGGTGCAGTCGAGGTCTGAAGTGGAGGGAGGCCGTCCCATGGAGCTGCTTAGGAAAAGATCGAGCACCCGCAAGCTCTTCCATAGTCGATCCCTTTGCTGGTGTATCTCGTGTCCAAATCGGGCATTCACCTCGGTCCGATGAAGGCCAATTGAGTAGGCGGCCCTCGCGGCAATGCCGAAGAAGAGAAAGGCTCCGTTAATCTGACATGAACACAGCATGTAGATGGTAACCAAGATGAAGGCCTGTACTGTCTCCACGCCGAGACTGTCACTCAGATCCGTGTATGCCAAGTCTCGGGCATATTCGAAATACTGCTGAGACAATACATCATCACCCACCTGTAATCCAATAGCCAGAACGAGGAAGTGAATAATCGTCGTCACATTGTCCGGCTTATGGGCCAGATTTGCCCAGAGCATCAAATCGTCCAGCAGCCTCTCACTGTCAAACAAGTCTACCAAGCCCGCCGTTGTCGCCAAGTACGCCGACACCGCAGCCGCAACATGGACAGGCCGGACCTCGGGCATGTCTGCGCTCCTCAGAGACCTCTTCGACTGCCGCGCCGGCGCATTCTCCAGGACTGAAAACCGGCTGGTGTGCGGCGCGAAGGCATTCTGGCCGACCCTATTGGTGACGAGCCTCCGCACTGACTGGAAGAAGGATAAAGGCGCACAGTCGCCGATGAAGGTGAGTTTGCCGTGGGCGTCGCACAGCAGGCGAGCCTCTCGAGGCACCTCAGTCTCGTCCTCGGCCACGGAAGGATGGCGAGGCTGGTTTACGACTGATCCGCGCCCTTCACTTTCCAACCTCGGAGACAAGGCCGAAGCTGAGGCTGCAGCTGAAGCAGACGCGGACGAAACGGCCACTGAGGAAGACAGGCCCCTCGAGCCCGGCGTCTGCATCGGCGACGGCGACCTCACCGAGCGATCTCGCGAGTCCCGGCCCGAGAGAGGCGGCGATCTCGGCAGCTTGTCGTGCGACTGCGACTGCGATTGCGATTGCACCTGTCTCTGCGAGTGTCTCCGCCTCCTCTGCGGCGAATAGTGGCACATCTGCGCCCTCTGTCTCGCAGTGCAGAACCCGCACGGCAGCCTTCCGTCGCACTTGACCTTGCGCGCCTTGCACCCGTCACACGCATTGGTGATGCGGCTGCGAATATATCGAACGGGCGGCAGAGGGTCCGGGTCTGCAGAGCCATGGTGGCCAACGTCCATCAGAAGGAAAAGCTCAAATGGTCGATGGCACCGTAGGTTTTGTCTGGCAGTTGGTTTCTGCGGTCAATGCGACGCTGCGGATGTGCGGCCAACGAATGAACAAATTCTGGGTATCTTGTTGGCTGTAAAAGCGTGTAAAAGGAGCGGCAGGGCGGAAGTGCGGATGTCAGATGTAGGGGACGCGAGTAGTTGAACTCGTACGGGGAGCGGCTAGACGTGGGACAAGGCGGAAGCACTGTGCCGAGGCTCGAAGTCATGCCGCGTCATACAGTGTGAGCAAGACACGTGCGTACGAGTCGAAATACTTGCCCAGGTGAGAGATGATGGGTGAGACGGAAGGAAGAAAAGCTGAATGCTGGCTGTTATATCTCTTCCGCGGAGACCTGTCGAATCATAAAGATATCCATGGCGGTCAGAGTGATACAACATAACGCATTGGTTAGGTAATAGTTTCGTGTCTCTTCAAAGCCATCCATTGTCAGTGCACCTCACCACGCTTCGAAGACAGATGGTAGATGTAAGGATCTCATCACAAGTAGCAAGGATTCACTCCAAGCGCAATGCAACATTGACAGCATCCGCCTCAGTGCCAGAAGGGAAAAGCATGAAGGGGGATCAGATTCAGCCACATCTGTCCTACACGAATATGTATTTCATACAGCAAGTCATACACATATTAACCACGCCAATATGCCAATTCCGTGACCCCAATGTTCTCCTAGACGCCTGTGCTCGTAAGCAGCATCTCATGGCCAAAGTGCCGAGAAGAAAGCAAAAACACTCCTCGATGCGTAACCACCTCTATATGTAGGGAAATAACCCTTGAAGCAAGCCGGAGGACGCTATAGTACAAAACACAAAAACGATATAAGCAAGACCAAAGAAATACGAATGCAGCTGGTCACGAGCCAAGCCTTCACCTAATCGGCAAGCCTCCTCGACTATCCAGTCTCCGGTGTGCAGAGACACCCACAGCTGCACCAGCCGTTCCAACGCTAATCATGACGCGGCGAGGCCCTTCTGGACCAACACCGTCGCGTTGCGTCGCACCGTGATTGTCATGTCGCAGGGGCCCGCCCATGTTCATCCGCCTCGCCTGCCCAGCAGTGAGGTCGTCTGACTTGAGCTCTGGGGGCGAGCACAGCAGCGGCGGGCTCTTTCGACGCTCCAGGCTCCCTCTGCGAAGGCGGGAAATGCCGTTGGTGGCGCTGGCCAGGACGGGCATGTTCGATCGGGACGCTGGCCTCTCGACAGCGGGAGGGGCGATCGAAGATACCCGCCCGGCAACAGGGACCGAGCTCTTGCCCACGAGACTCATTCTCCGCGGCTTCTTGGACGCAATGGCGCTGCGGAGCTTGTTCATGTCGATCGTGCTGGACTCGGAGTCGGATCCAGAGGCGTTTGGGGGGTTGTTCTCGTCCATGACCGCCTGCAGCTGATGGTACGGAGGACTGGGCCGCGGAACTTTGCTATAGGACAGCGGCGACATGTTCTCCGTCTTGGACCCTTGTAGTGATCGCAACGGCGGCGTTCTGGCCACGTCGGGGGAACTGGAAGAGCGCAAGTGCATACTCAAAGCAGGGGGCGACGAAGACACCGGCAGCCCACTACTTCCCGATGACAATCGCGAACCCCTGGACAAGAAGCCGGCTTGGAACCTACCGGGCTTAGCGATGGAAAGGCTCGGCGCGTCTGACATCTCGAGGGAGTCGTCGTTGCTCGCAACATCGCTTTTAGCCACGCTGTTAAATTGCGGCGGAGAGGGAATCTTGCTCTTAGCCACCGGCGACGGCTGCTCGGCCCGTGGGGAGCTGAACAGCTGCTGCGGCGTCTTCTCAAAATCCGCCAGCGTCCCATCCTCCGTCTCGTCGTCCCTCCATCTGACTCCTCTGCCCTTGGTCGCCCGTTTGACGGGCGTAAAGCTGACTCCCTTCTTCGGCATGCCGAGTGCCTTACGCCGTCTCGGTGATGACTTCATGGGACTCGCATACACATGCTCGTTCTGTACGGCTACAATAGCCGGGGGCACAAGAGGTCTGTAAGCTGATAGAGATTTCCTCTTTCTAAGTGTTCGTCTTGGCGTCGGTGCGGGCATGTCGGCAACAGCTGGCAGGGAGCCATCGGGCTTGACCACTTGGGACGCGGCTGTGAGGCCGGCCTGGAGCAAGCGAGAAATGATCTCTTTTGCGTGTGCAATTGCACTATCTTCGTCCATCGACATGACAGTACTGAGGGAGGAAATCATTTCAAACTGGGCTGTGAGAAGCATCTGCATCATGGCAGCATCCCCTGCCTTCTCTTGTTCCAAAACTTCTCGATAGGCTTCCCGGTTGAAATTGGACTTGAGCAATTCGGCCTCGCGTGTCAGGCTTGCAATCTCGCCCGTGTCGTTACCTTCGGCGAGCTCCAGCTGTCGGACACCATGAGCCAAGGTCATGTCCAGGGGGCGCTCCCAGGCCGACTTCTCCAGCTTATGGTGAGCGTGAAGCCTGCTGTTCTCCAGCTCTAGCAGAATTCCCTGGGCAGTTTGTCGAATGGCCGCAAGACTCTGCGGCATTTCCGTTTCGTCCGCCACTTGGTTGGCGACGGTGTCAAAGGCCGCAATCCACGCGGAAAGAAGGCTGATGCGCCGCTCGAAATGCTTCAGTTTCCTCAAGGTAGTGATGCGCTCCTGACGCTCTCCATCAGCGTTATCGTATGCGGCCCGAAGTCTCTGTGCGGCTGCTCGTGCGATGGCGTCTCGTTTTTCGTACTGCTTTCGGAACTTGGCGAAGCTGACCTTTTCCGACTCTCTCTGCTGTGCTCTCAATTCGTTAATGAGGGCCATTTGTTCGTCGATTTTGATCAAAAAGTCCTTGACGTGGCGGTTGACATTGAAAACGTTGCGAGTGACCTTTGTCTGAATGTTCTTGGCTCTGTTGGCATATCGCAGCGTGTTCTGTGTTTCGTCGTAATGGGCGCTCGACGGCGAGACGCAGACAATCATGACGGTCTTGCAGTTGCCGCCGAGCGAAAACTTGAGCAGACGCGTGAGCTTGCTGTTGCGGTATGGGACGTGCGCCTTTCCACGCCGGTCGCAGAGAGCGTTGATGCACCCTCCGAGGGCAAGAAGCGACTTGTTGATGTTGGCACCCTCCGTGAGACGCTCGCCTCGATTCTTTGTGACGGAGGCTCGTTCCGAGCCCGCAAGGTCGATGATGCTGAGGGTCGCCATCGTGTGAGGCTCGTTGACGTCGGCGTTTCTGTCCTTTTGCGAGATATTGATCTGCAGCACGGCGTGAGATCGTGAAGAGGTCGCGTTTGCCTCGGTTGGCGATACGGTCCGGTACTCGTTGCCCTGCACAATCATGTCCATGACCTCCTGGACGTCTCGTGGGCGATGGCTGGTCAAACCGGGTACGGCGACCGCCTGGTTGCTGTCCTCGCGAAGGGCCAGGCCGGCCTTGCTGCCACCGGGCACCAGCAGGTCTCGGATTGTCTCGTTGTAGATCTCCAGGTAGCTCAGCGTCAGCTCCGTGTGCTTCTCTTGGCTGCGCTCCTCTATCTTCTCGAACAGCTCCTGCATGGTCAGGAAGATGATGCCGGGCTGCTGCGCCGTGCCGGTAATCGTATGCGTCTTGCCGCAGCCCGTGGCGCCGTAGGCAAAGACTGTCGCATTGTATCCGTCCAGAACGCTGTCGAGCAGGCCGCGAGTGGTGCCCTCGTAAATCTCGGCCTGCGTTGTGTTGTCATCGAAGACTCGATCAAAGGCAAACACTTGATCTTTCACCTTTTTCGAGGCAGGGACGACGGTTCGCGAGAACTTCTGGACGGGGCTGTCCTCTGGGGGGTCAAAAATCCTGCAGCACAGGCCAAAAGAGTCAGTTGATGCTACTGAAGCTGCCCATCACTGGCATGGACTGAAGTCGGAGTGTATGCATACAGGCAGCGATCATCAATCACTTTGATGACGTTTCGAATGCCTCGCTGGTGAAGCTTGGGTGTTGGTATTGAAGCAAAGGAGCCGTCGCCGAGGAAAATTGTGCCATCGTCGTTTCGCTGCCTGCAAGGCCGGGTCAGCATCCAAGTTCATTCGATTCACGACCAGGGGAGCGGAGCCGCATCGTACAGTTGAGCCGCTTCTCGGATGGTGAACGGCCGTACTCGGACTGAGACATTGTCAGCAAACCCTGGCTTGGCCTTTCTTCCATTTCAATATCTTCCGGCATGAAAGTTCATCCACATACCCGCCACTGTGATGGACGACTGTCCCGGGTCGGCCATGGTTCACCGCTTCCGTCGCTTGGCCTCCTCGATCTGCCAATCCAGCGCTGCTGCTATTCGTTTTGTATCGTGCGAATGCCTCGATAAGGTTCGAATTTCCGATCTCGAAAAGTTGTCAGTGCGCACGATCGGGCGCCTGGTCCAATCTCGGCTCTTGAGCGATCCAGATAATCGATGACCGGGGGAAGAGGGAGGGGGGTTGAGTAGAGCTGATATTATCGAGTTCCCGGCTAAGAAAAGGAAGAAAAAAAACAACGGAAAAGAAGGAAGATAATTAGGCAGAACCAGGCGCTCCGAGATCAAATCAATAGTCGCGGCGGCTCAGCAGACCGTAGAAAATGTCGAATAGTCAAACACAATGGCAAATGCAAATTGGAGAGAGCGAATGAGCCCAGTTGATATCCCGTTCACTCGAGTCGAAGCTGTCCAAAAGTGACGTGCCAATCAATCGGGTTTATTTGTTGACCCTTGTCAGGAGGAAAATGCCCATTGTCCTGACAACGCCTAGCGCTGCGGGGAGCTCCACTGGCTGCACACAGCACACCACGCACTTTCTTGTGAGCAGTGTAAGCTACCCTGTAGTTTTACTGGGATCCCCGAGTCAAGCCAACAAAAATCCAGTGCTCACGAGAAAGGCGGTCTGGTAATTTGATACCAGAAGTAGAGCCAAAAGGAACGTGTATCATTTTCTGTATCATTTTGAGTTTCAATCGGTGGAAACGAAGGTGAGGGTTGGTGGCTTCTGGTGTCGGTGACGAGCAGTATGGAAGTTCATTGGCTGCTGAGCTGACCGCGTATCTCTTCCGCCTTTTTGTATTCTCAAGGTGCTCGCCCGTGTCCTATCGATTCTGACAAGGCCAGCACCCGTGGGGAGCAAATAGATAGCATCGCGCCCTTGATGAAGCGGAAAGTGATTAATAAAGAGAACATTCCGTGACACAGCATCTTCATATGGATGGGAGCACCGAGACCACTGTTCTGAATTCAGGTCTGCTGACGGGGGATTTCCGACCCCGACGCACCATATCAATATTGGTTGAGTAAGTATTCCGGTAGGCATTGTATAACACAAGCGAACACCTCGGAATGTTGAGTGCCTACCTATTCAAAACGAAGTATCACTCCCGCTTGTTCACTCAAGTCAAAGATAGAGCATTCAAAAACATGCAGTATTATCGAGTCAGGGGAAATCATCGTAATTGGCCCCCAGGTCAGATCTCCCGACATCAAAATGCGTAGAAGCAATCTGTAGCAGTGCGAAAATCCTCTGTATTATACATACACAATCCTTGACGCCAACCTTTGTGAAAGTGTCATGCCTTCAGCCACCAATTGTAAACCGAACGTTTGTGCAGTTCGTGTATATGTTGCCCGTCTCAGAACGAGTCGTCCATCTCCGGTCCCCAATGCATCCGATAACTAGAACTTATTGCCGCATCGATAGTTAAGCTCCGACTGGCGGTGTATACGCATAGCGAGGGAGAGCCGCCATCTTCTCCTCGGGACTGAATTCCGCATCATCATACACCATCCGACCCTTCTTGTCCTTTTCTTTCTTGGTCTTGGCTCCCTCGGCCGCCTCCTCGCCTTCGTCTGGCCTCTTCTGTGGCTTGACGCCCGCTTCAGCCATGCGAATCAGTTGGTCAATCTCATCACCGGTAGCCGCAGCTTGAGCCGAGCTACCCCAGAAGCCAGGCTGTGATGGTCGCTGTGGCAGGCCCGGAGCGCCGGCCAGGTTTGATGAAGGCCGCGCCGGAAGAGTGTCGGCGGAATAGCCGTAGGCGGGCTGCTGGCCGGGGAAGCCAGGCTGGTTGAAAGCTTGCTGCGGGAAGGGGGGGTTTGTCTGGACGACGCCATCCATCGCACCGCCGCTTGCCACTCCTGCCTTTCGCTGAGCGCGATACTCGGCAAATCTCTTGAGGAGTTCCTCGGCCGTCTCGATCTTGATCTTCTTTCTTGGATTTTTCGACTGACCAGGTGGGGGGTTGCCGGTCGCGATTCGGCGGTCTTCTTGCGCTTGATAGAAGTTCTGAATGATGCGATTTCGGTGTTGCTCGAGCACTTCTTGTGGAATACCCTCCATGCCGAAGATTTCGACCTCGAGTCCCTGTCTGTTAGGGAGCGCATTCTCGACTTGACTGAGTGTCTCCTTGTGGACCTGGTTCAGATGGACGGAGAGACCTATGAGGGCGCCAGTCATTAGCAACTCTCTTCACTTCGGGCAGACGAAGATGCAGTAATCCTTTCCGCCAAGACCTCTCACGAGCGCAGACGTACCTCCTGCAGTATTCAGCCGCCGGCCACATCGGTCGCATTTGAAGTGCTTGGCTTTTTGGTGGGAGATGAGGAGCTTGAGATCTTCGAAATCACGTTCGCCTAGACAATAAACAGCATTTAGCGACACGAAAAACAAGGCCATGCAGATTGTACAGATGGAAATGCTCGTGTACGTACAGTAATAGCACCACGGGCGCGAGAGGATTTCCTCGACATCGGGATGGCCGCGCTTCTTCTTGCCCATCTTGCTGTCCTGCGCTCGGAGCCGGATAGAAAGGGTCGCTGTGGCGCGTGAGCGTTGTGCTAGAAAATTGATGGCTCGGGTGATGGATGGGAGAAAACGCGACGGCGAAAGGCTGCAATTGAAAGCTGAGTTTGGCGTTGAATGTTCGATGGGTGAAGCTTCACTGGCCGTGAGCTCACTGGCTTGGATTAACTTGGTCGGGTGAAGGCCGGGTAAATCTTTGGGTGACCGAGACTCTGCAGCGATTGCGGTACTTGCGACAGATTTGACAGATCAAGGTGCGTCAGCAGCAGTGCGTTTCCTAGTCGTTCAGACATAGAATCACGTTGGTTATAGGCTGCTTGTGCTGATTGATTTCTCGTTCTGGATTGTGGGAAATTCGTTGCTTGTTATCTGTGGAGTTCTTGCAACACATTGGTGAACTGCCGCCGCTTCCATGCTCACATGTTCCCGCACGTTGCCCTGGAACTTTGGACATATTGGCGTATTAAGTTGTTGTCGTTGATAGGTATCAAGGCGTGTGAACATCTCTATGCATGACTCATCACAGGTGTGATCTGGAGGAGAAACGCAAATGAGGAGGAAGTACAAGAGTCACACAAGTATCTCCTTCATTGGGACCTTTCTCGAGCAGCTCGGTTGGCCGATAGGGAGAAACGCTGGAATCATGGGCAGGCCTCTGATATCTGCCTCTTTGTCGCGGGTGCGCTCTGCGAAGCGTCCAAGTTGATGGCCTTTTGGAATTTGCAGCCCTGATAAAGCGCTATCAGTAAGATCAGCTTCTACGTCTTTTATCACTGGCATTGGCATTGCTCTAGCCACTGTGAGCCATCAACGATTATGTATCTAACGACTCAGATCAATGCCTTCGCAGTCATAACCCACCCGCTCCTGTCACTGAATGAGAGTCAAATTGTGAAAGCTTATCCATTGCTTGATCAGACTCTAATGAAGCATCATTCAGAGTAAATGGCTACTGGCAAGAATCTCATTCGAGAGCGACGACATTGAGACGCAACTCCCACATATTCGAAAACATATTTTGCACGATGGAGACTAAGTGTGTATCGATGACTTTGATATAGTAGTCAGTTTACTCTCTCAGTTTACGTAGGAATTTGCTGATTGACTTGAGGTTAGGCCGCGATGCTGCTTCATATGCAAGGGAGGCACTCGAGCTCGGAAATGTTCAGAGCGTCTCGCTGCCTCAGGAAAGGAGTGGTGGTTCAGTGTGCCTGCCATTGAAAGAGTTTCTCTTCACAGTTACAATTAACCCTGTTGCGTGTTTTATACATTGATTCAATACTGTATGCCCAGTATTGCCATCAGTTAGCATCGCGGCTGTAACACCTTTAGCAGCACTGACATCGTCCAGTGGCTACGATACCTCTCCAGTGACTTCACATGGACTCAACATGCTCATCACGTCTGCAAGAGAGACAAGAAAGATGTAGTCCCATGTTAGTTAAGGCGAGATTGTCATCTCGCAACGGATAGCCTCGTGTCTGTACAGCCTCCATAACTGCGAGCCCAATCAGAATAACATCACCCACGACGAACTTGTATTCCAAGCCCGGGTTGTGCCACGCAAGCTAATGGTCTCGAATACTCCAAAAGAAGCAATCAATTTAGACCATTGCGCCCGGAGACTCAACAACATGCAGGAAGCAGTTCTTCCCTGCAGAAGAGGCAGGCTTGTCATTGGCCAGCTTCATGAGGTAAATTGACCGTCCAGCTCGTAAGGCAATTCCGCCTCCACTTACGATCATTAGCACCCTTCACAAACTTCTGAGAGAAGACGAATAGTCTTCTCCAGATAAAATTTTGTCCTGCACAGGGTTTCCGGGAAGATCCTAGTGTTTCTCTCCGCCTTGGCACAATCATGCCTTGACCGATGCTTGCGAGCACGTCAAGCTGTTTTGTGTGGCTCTACGATCGCTTCTACGGCCTCATCGTGTACCCAGGAGCACGGATCTCGGGCAAGCAGGACGCCTCGTGAATCCCACTGCGAGTGCTCCTTTACATGTGATGGAGGAGCGGTGCCTCGGGCCATTACAATGTGCGGGCCATGACCCAGATGTGTCAATTACACGTAAGGTAGACAACAGACCCTTTTAACGTTGGATAAGAAATCACAGAATGTGATGCTCAGCAATAATTGAGCAGCGTGGAAGTAGTAGGGAAAGAAGAGAGAAGAAGCGAAGCTATATAAGATGTGTTCCAGACCATCTGGTATCCGTCTCTCTATTCGCCATCAGGATTCATCCCTCATCCTGAACTCAAGACTTCATGTACTATCGATATGAAGCATTCAGTCTCATCGCTGGCCGTCTTGGCCCTAGCATTGTCCTCCGCGATTGTTGCTTCTCCGGCACCTCAACTGGTGTCTGGCATCGTAGACCCAGCCACCTGCCTTGCTGTCGATATCATTGTCGGCCTCCTTGTCGGCGATCCCTTGGCTGTGGCCTACTGCGCTGTAGTCACCATTCGACACCCGAAGATGTCGCCAGAATTGCTGACTGATGTGTCTATGCCGTGGTCCCTCTCCCACCGTCATCAAGACAAGAACCACCACGATTGTTGAAGCCAACTGCAATTACAGTCACGAGTGCCAACTCCAACTCTGCTGTCCCGCCCACCATCACAAGCAGCGCTACGACGTATGTTACCACAATCCTCCCCATCTGATATGTATTCTTTCCGATATCCATTACACTAACTGTTCCGAAAAAAGAGGACAACTACCATCAGCTCTTGCACGGCCAGTCCAACCCCATTCAGACGTCACTTCTTCCCTGGTGAGGCTCCAATCCCCGCCCTTGTCACCCGGTACCAAACTCCCAACATTACCAAGGGGTGTTCATGCCTCAGTCTGCCCACCCCAACAGTCACATCCGTCAAGGCTGTCACTATATCTCCTACCATCACGATCACGAGGACCACAGACATTCCCGGAGCCGGCAGCCCCGTCGTCGCGACTTCAACAGTCACGCATACCTCGACGACGACAGCCTGTCCTGCGCTCGCGACTTGCGGAAATCAGGGTGTTGAGTTTGCGTACTATAACAGAACTGCTGGCGGTGATTTAGACGACTCCCAGCCCGAAGTCTACAAAATGAGTTGAAACTAGCCACGCCAATAGCTTGGCAATACTCGATCAAGGTCAGTTCTTACATGAATTGGCCGCGGTAGACAATCCAGCCAGATTGCGAGTCCATCACCACCATTGGCGGCATCAGCTTCCAAGATAGGGCTCCGAAGAGCATCTACGGCTCCCCTCTCCTCTCGGAATTCCGACTTCATTCTCAACCACCGTGATTACATCTACGCCCGTATGACGGGCGCCTGCACCTTCGCCCTCAACCAAGTCGACGACGCTGTCTTCTGTCTTCACCTGGATCGGTCCAGAGGCTTACGCTGGCTGGACTGGCGCGAACGTCGACGCCGGAGTCGTGTATGACAACGGACCGGCGCAAGGCACCTTTACTGCCGACTTGGCAGAAGGCGAGTACTATCCATTCCGCATCATCTACGGCCAGGGCCCTCGCATTGGCGAGTTCGACATCAGGGTCACCTCCCCAGATGGCACCACTTTCCTGTCTTCTGGTACGACGGGGTCCCCGTACCTGGTCAGGTTCTCGTGCGATGGGAGCACGGCACCGCCCTTCAGCTCTTTTGGATTGGAGCCTTAGACGCGTGATACTCTCCCGAGTATTCACCATGGAGCGTGTGAGCATCACTGTGAACTCGGACGTATAACTAGTAAATCTGGGGTGGATATATTAGGTCTGGCTCTGAAACTTTGAGTGTAAATTAGTATTTACTTTCTCTAGTCTGTTTCTTTCCTTCTGCTGCGCATAGCAGCAGAGGGCCTCATCTACCATAGCTGCTGGATATGACAATGAAGCTGATGATGTTGTTCATTTATCCGAATCTTACATGGTGTACCCGCAAAGTGACTATGCGAACAAATCTTCAACGACAACAATGATCCCAAGGTCAACAGGAAGAGGAACATGCCACACGTCCAGCACCGCCTCGACGGGGTGTTGACATCCAGTACGGCGATCCCATGAAATGAAGCTCAAAGTCCTCGTGTTTAGCAACGGTAATGGCCGCTGGTGTCGGGTTCGGGTCACAAAGAAGGAGAAGGGGAGAGTCGCGCGTGCGACGGTATTTTCGTATTTCTCTCCTCTGGAGAGTGGCTGATGCAATCCAAGTGGATGAAGCCGAGTTCAAGGTCACTGCTCATAAAGCGCCTCATCCTCCTGCGGCCACTCAACCTCAAATACAACGTCTCCCCCCTCTAAAGCCTCGATCTCGTCTTCATTTGCAAGCGGGAATGCAAAAGCGACAATGCTATTGTCCTTGAGTCCGCACTTGGTAGGAGTATTTGAGGCATCTTGGCCGACATTCAGTGGCTTCCATCCTTTGGACGGATCAGCGGGTGCACGCAGAACTCCGTAGGTAATGTTTGCGTCAGCTGGCACCGGCGTCTTCTCATCGGGCGCAGAAGTTGACTTGGTGAGGCCATCGGGATATCTTTCTCTAATGACGGCTAGCAGTTCTTGGGTGACGGAGGAGAAGGGGGCTAATGAGTCGATGAAGAGGAAAATAGTGTGAATGCCGTACTTGAAGCGCACGGAGATGTGCGCATCGTCGACGTCGGTGGGCTGTGAGCGAGAGTCAGCCTTCGGCACTGTTGTCTGTGAGAGAAGGATGAACACACCATCGTGACGTGACTGATGATGCTGTCGCGCAAATAAGTATAAGTAACTCTCGGTCAGACTGTAAATCCAATTCGATCGAGTCTTTTCTTCTTTTTCGTGTTCGATGGGAGATGATTGCGTAGGGAGGTATGTCTTCACTCTGTACTGTAGCAGCACTGGCCCCGCGAATTTTTAGGCGCGCGACCACGTGAGCTCGCGTTAAGTGGTTCAGCAGCCGGAAAAACATGCGATACGGAGAAGCAGACGTTGATAAGCTTGCTTTTGGTTTCGGCAACTGGGGATAGCTTCATTGTGTTCACAGACATGCGTTACAACAACACAATGCAGTCACCGTAGCGCATCCAATTCTAGCAGCATCGCGCCATTTGACAGAGAAGGCGACGCTGTTTGAGTGACTAGATTTCCCGTATACGCTCATCGGACGAGATCGTGTTCGCCACAGCTCACAATTCCTCGAAGCCTCCATCCTCCACCATGACGAGGAGCGCACGCAATGGGGAGCTCTTCCTCAGCGCTCGATCGGCTCCCGCCAGCCAACCCGTCTTTCCGGCCGAGACACACCCGCGACTCTCCATCATGACTCCCACCCGGTTGCTGCTCGGATCCGTGGCCTCCAGCATGGTTGGATTCTCGCTCGGAGCACTCCAGGGCGGCCAGATGGCACAGCTGCGGTTCCGGGCAGAGCATGCACACAAGATGCCCGACACGACGGCCGGATGGTACCTCTATCACAAGTCCAAGAATTATCACGCCATGCAGGGCGGCATCCGCGAGGGCTTCCGCATGGGCTTCAAGACGGGCATCTGGAGCCTGGTGGCCCTCTCGCTGGAGAGCACCGTGGACCGTTATCGGGGGAGCAGCGACATGTTTTCGACGGTTATTGCGACGCTTACCGTCGCTGGCGCTTTTTCACTCTGGCGTAAGTTGCCTTTCCAGTCTTACCCGTCTACTCTCTTTTTCTGGCTGGACCCTTGTTTCGCAAAATCTTCATCATTCCACCAGAAGTGAAGTGCACCACAACTAGCCAGGGGTTTCGCCGGCTTTGAGCTTGCTTCCCCACGCTACTGGCAAGTGTCGGGATCACGAAAAGAAGGCAGACCACCCCCAACGCGGGCAGAAGAAAGACGTTGGGCACCATTAGCTAACAGAAAGCCGGTCTTTGGCCGGCACTGGGCGTATTACAGATCGGTTCTCGCTTTCGACCGCTGCGCGCACCGCAAAGTACGGGCTTGTCTTTGGGTTGGCGTACGGAGGCGTCCAGGATTTGGTGGGCTTAGCCCGCGGCAGACCGATTGGCTATGTGGAGATGATCCGACGTCGGTTTAGCTCTGGGTCACGCGAAGGCGATGGCGATGCCAGTGGCCAACAACGAGCGCCGTGAGCAGCCGCTCGTTTGATTGACGACGGTGGAGATGGTGTCATTCATTCTACTCTGAACATGAATCAGCCAACAGAGAGCGCCGATGGCGACACACAAATACCTATCACCACACAGCAACGAGCGCAGTCGGCCCCGGTCCAGCATGGCAACTGTTCAATCTCTAGGGCTCACCGACCAGCAGGGCTCCGGCACGCCATTGACGAATCGCCTCTCTCTCCAGCTGCCTGGGTCGTCTTTATTGACTAGGGGGGAACCCAGCAACCCAGGTGGAAAGCGAGTTGCCCACGACGGAAAATCTGTGGTGTGGTGTCGTTGGGGATTGGAGGGGGCTTCACATCATATCAGTGATGGGAGAGGAAGAGGAGGGCAAGAATCGGCGATTGGCCATGTCTACTGATGCATGTCCGATGGAGACGCGAGTTCACCTGACAATGCCATGCGTGCCATCAATAAACCCCGTATCGGGGTCCCCAAATAAAAAATTCGGCTTCTTCTTGCAATACTACTACGACTACCTAGGTAGCTTCAAGATCCATATACTTCGTACAGATGCACAGACGAAGCAAGCCGGGACAGAACGTGGGGGGCAAGCTATCAGTCAACGACAATTCTCGAACTCTCTCTCCAATCCATCCATCTCCGATGCATCTCCTTTCAATGCTGGTGTCATCGTAATGCATCCCCACCAATCTTAGCCTGCGGCTACTCTCGGCTGCAAGCATCTCCAAAAATCCCCAGCTTTCTCCCCCCAAGAGGGGCCACCACGTGATGGCTTTTATCATCATGGAAATTATCGCCCTCATTGTCAACACACTGCAGCATGACCACGGGCAGCTTATCAAGGTTGAAGTCGGATTTCAGAGAGGTTCGACTCCAGCTCGCTCCTGTCTGCGCGCGGCCTGATACGGAGATTTGCGGGGAAGTCCAAGCAATGCCTCTTAACCTAGTGGAACCATGCACCATGCTAAGGGGAGCTGGTGTATCGCTCTATACTTTTTTGTAGGATTGAGTACCTGCTGAATCTCGCTATCCGCGATGATGCGGCGATACCGGCAACGGAGCTTGCATTTCTACTTGCCCTCTTATCCTAGGCTCTACCCAGTATCCTATCGCATGGCTTCGTCCTATCGTATCCCATCTCTATGTACTATTTGTAGGCACTTGAACTAGATCTCGCCTGTCTTCGGCTGCCCGTAGCTGCCGGGTTTGCTCAGGTCCAGGCTCTTATAGAATAGCGTCGCCGCTTCGTGCCTGTCCTGACGGAACAATCTCGAACTCCTCCTCCTTTACACCCCTATATATCCAACCCAATCCTCTCCACCAACGTTTCCTTATCTCCTCCTCTTTTGCAACCTTATTCCCTGGAAACATATAAGGACGACGCTACGTCATATGTCTCTTGTACTACCTAATTGTCTGATACTCTAATATTAAGTTCGCCTTATACAAGCCAAGCGGGTAGCTACCAGACGCCACTCGGTCTGCTCTCAACAATTTATCTACCTACCTATCCCGAAGCAGGCCTCGTCTTATGAACAAAGCGGCCTGTCAGCTCTGACAAAATTGACCTTAAAAGGCAGACCCAGACAAAAGTTGTCAAGAGAAGCCCTTTGTCCATCGACATTCACTGCCCGTAGTACAGCAAAATCTCAACTGTCTCTGCATATTCTCTCCGTCATGCTTTGCGCCCCAGGTCGACGGGCGATTCGCCTGCCTGGTCGCCGGACGCCCCTTTCTTCTCCTCTACCCATCTCTTCGCTCTCATCATCAAGGCTCCTCCTCCTCAGACACAGCTCTTTCAGCCCAGGCTCCTCGACGTCGAAACAGCAGCACCGCCGCAGCATACACTCTTCTGAGCGACGAACTTCAACCGTCGCAGATCTGCCGGGTTCCATGTCCGCCGTGCCACCGCAAAACATGGAACCCAGTCGCGCACCACTCTCTGTCTTGCCTCTCAGCATGATTCTCCGCTCGCTGGCAACGACGGTGGTCTCTTCTTCACCCATCCTGTTACCGCCCTCGCTGCGCATCATGGTAGCGTTAGCCCACGCCAAATCACCCCTCCTCAACCCGGACAAAAACCCTGTCTTGAGGTTCTTTTTGAAAAAGTCCTTTTATGCCCAGTTTTGCGCTGGAGAGAATGCGGCTGAGGTGCGGGAAACAATTCGCCGGCTAAAGAACATTGGCTTCACTGGCGTCATTCTGGGGTACGCCAAGGAGGTTGTCTTGGAGGGCTCTGACGCCAGAGACATGGGCGCGGCCAAGCTGGGCGAAGAAACAGCACGCGACATCGAGAAGGAAATCAATCCCTGGAGAGACGGCACCCTGGAGACGGTTCGCTTGGCTGAACCTGGTGATTTTGTTGCTTTGAAGTAAGACTTGAACTCTCCTGGGCTGGTCCTTCTTATGCCATGCCAAACCGAGAGTTATTGCTAACTGTCATCGTCTAGGTTCACTGGTGCAGGCAGCCTGGCTCTCAATCAGCTTGAGAACAGACTCCCTCCTTCTCCGCATCTGAGAGAATCCATTGATGCCATCTGCCAGCTCGCTCGTGACCGCGGAGTGCGTCTGCTGTTCGATGCCGAGCAGCACATGCTGCAAGACGGCATCGACGACTGGACCATGCAATTCGCCCGCAAGTATAACGACTCGCCAGACACCGCCACCATCTACGGAACGTACCAGGCGTACAAGAAGGCTTGCCCTGCTGTGGTTTCCAGACACCTGGCCGAGGCGCAAAAAGAGGGCTTCACCCTCGGCATAAAGCTGGTGCGCGGTGCGTATCTGGGCTCGGATCCGCGCGAGTGCTTCCACGACACCAAGGAGGACACGGATGCGTGCTACAACAACATCGCGGCCAGCATCTTGACCAGGCAATGGTCTCCTACCGTACAGGGACAGGGCGAGTTTCCCAACGTTCACATTGTGCTTGCCACACACAACATCGAATCTGTGCGACGTGCCAGGGCCATTTGTGATGCCGGTGGCGCCAAGTCTGACATTGCCTTCGCCCAGCTGCAGGGCATGGCGGATGAGGTGAGCTGCGAGCTTGTCGAGGCCAGTCAGTCAGCACAAAAGGAGAATGCCAACGCTCGGCCGCTGCCTGTTTACAAGTACCTCGTCTGGGGTACCACTGGCGAGTGCATGAAGTACCTCCTACGCCGTGCTCAGGAGAACAAGGACGCCGTTCAGCGAACAAGAAACGGAAGAGATGCCATGTGGGCGGAGCTCGTCAGGCGATGCAAGAGCGCCGTTGGAATGGCCTAAGTGATGAAGTCAAGCAGTCAGAGGGGTGATTGAAGGTTGGATGTGTAATTGCTTGTATACACCTATGGATTCGAAAGGGTTGCTTGCGACTGGTCAAGACTCATTTTTGTTTATGCTGGCTCCGATAGCGCACAGCTTGGAGTTTTGGAAACTTTAGGCCTTTGAGAAATTGTAAATAGAAACACGTCCTAGAGCATCTAGCGAGAAAGAAGGCGTGAATAATTGAGGAGAGAACATGAAATTCTGGATTATCAGTTATACAACTTACCTGTTTGACCAATCAACTTCCGAAAGATAGGCACACTTTTTTCCTTCACCGTGGTATTTCTTCACGTCTCTCCTTCCTTTGGTATGACTCCCTTACGCTGGCTCAGTTCGAGGATGCGGCTCTCATAAAGTGCACCAAGTAGTTCAACCAGCGTATTGCGAGGAGGCCTGCTCCAAAGAATGTAGCCAACGCCTCACAACTCCTGGCAACGATGGGTTCTTTCCTCAGACGCCACGTAGCGCCATACCTCCAAGAATGAGCCTCTCCATCTCTTGACGCTTCACCAACTCATCCTTGATTGCGTCCAACCACGCCAAGCCGTTGAGCTTATAGCTCTTGCGCACGGTGCGAACGTCGGTGATCGTCTGGATAGTCTCGTCGGTGGCGGGGACGGCGTCTCCCTCGACATTATCTTTGAGGTGCTGCGAGACGGAGTCTGCGGACGGAGGTTCGGGGGTGGTGTCGCTGGGGAAGGTGACTTTGACGACGAAGAGGTCGGATGTGGATGGTGATACACCAAAGCGACGATATGCATCGGCAATCTTGAGGTTCGATTTGTCTAATTAGCCTGCTGAAAGGAGAGGAGGAGGGCATCGTCTGCGCGACTCGACACTCACATTGCTCGAGGAACTTAATGACACGACGATTTCAGAGTGGACGTTTGGCGTGCGTAGCGTGCCGTTGACGGAGTTGTTGACTGCCTTGAATACGGCAGAGAGCAAATGGACGCGCGAGACAATCTAACAAACATGCTAGGGTCAATCTCTGGGAACTCCCGGCTTTCTGAGTCACCATACCGTTGACGCATCGATAAAGGCATATTCGAAATCAGCATTGCGCGCGAGCAGCTGCTGGTGCAAGAAGCCGGCGTTCTTCACATTGCGAAATAGCGCGAGGTAGATTCGGTAGGACGACGGCACGTGGTCGAGCTGGACAATTTCGACGGCCATGGCGGGCGAGTCGCGGCCAGAAGATGGGAGTTTGTGGATGATGGCGGAGGAGAGATGGAAGACTGAGGCTTATCATCTATCTTATCGGAATGCGGGATGTTGATAACCCCGCCAAACCCCGCGCTCTCGATACTTGCTCCAGCATCACTCATTGCTGTTGACGATTCTGCACTTTATTTCTATGATTGATATATATAACTAACTGGTGCTACATTCCAGGAGTGGCCTATTTCTGTAGAAGTGAGAGAACGAAACCACGGAGGAGAGGGATGTGCGACATAGAGGAACCCAGGACCAGAAAATTGATCCACAGCTATGGGTTCTGGAAACAGTCAATTGTTCGACTTGAGCATGTTGAGGAAAACTGCCCGTTTGACAATTTCTTGGGAAGAATACCAAACCATGCATTGTTCGAACTGGACCTGAATCCCCTCAACATTCTAGGTATATCCGTGTCTACCTCTGGCACTCTGCGACCCAGCTTACCCGTAAACATTAGGTGTATGAGAACATCACGCACAGAGCAGGTGGCGATGCCACCGGCCAATCGGTACAAAACATTCACAACGACGACCAATTGTGATCTGTTGCTTACTAAATCTAGATAAAATGCATGCGGCTTGTTAAATGATGCCGTGATACTCGTCCGCCAGAGTAAGTTGATAGTACATAGGATAATAGAAGAAACCATGTTCGATACACAAACCAATGCGACCCGAAATACGATAATATGCCGACGGAGACGAGTGAGGGGGGAAGCTCACCGCAAGAAGCCAGGGTGGCAGAATGTTGAATACAAGATTGGATATTTTGCTTTTTAGGAGAGAGAGAGAACCAAGGAAAGAGGAACCAGCCTCATTGGCGGTTAACGTTGATCAAGCTCAGAAACTCGTTGCGCGTCTTTTCCCTCCGCTCAAAGCATCCGAGCATGCAGCTGGTGATGGTGGTGCTGTTGGTCTTTTGCACGCCGCGCATCACCATGCACAGGTGGCTGGACTCTATGACGACGGCCACGCCCTGAGGCCGCAGGACATCGAAGATGGCGTTGGCTATGTCTTTGGTAAGACGCTCCTGGATCTGCAGGCGGCGGGAGAACATGTCCGCGATGCGCGGCAGCTTGGAGATGCCAATGACGGCGTTGTTGGGGATGTAGCCAATGTGCACCTTGCCGGTGAAGGGCACCAGGTGGTGCTCGCAGAGGGAGAAGATGTCGATGTTCTTGACGACGACCATCTCGGAGTGGCCCTCCTGGAAGATGGCGCCGTTGACAATGTCGAAGACGTTCTGCTCGTAGCCCTGCGTGAAGGTCATCATGGCCTTGGCATACCGCTCGGGTGTGGCCAGCAGGCCTTCTCGCTCGGGGTCCTCGCCGACGCACTCGAGCAGCGTCTTGACGGCGCCCTTCATGCGCTCGAGGCGCGCGGCCTTTTCCTCGGCGGACTCCTCCAGGCGCTGGCGCGTGCCCACGCTGGGCCTGCTGAGGCCATCAAAGTCGATGACGGGGCTTTCCTGTCGCGATGCCGATACGGACGTCGTCGCAGCCTCGGCGATGGCGCTGTCGTTGTCCTCGCCCGTCTGGCGCCGCTTCCGCCGCTTGTGCTTGAAGACGGGCTCGTCGCGCTGGTCTCGCCCGGGCTTGCTGATGCTCGAGCGACGCACCACATGGCGCTTCTCTCCGTTGAGCCCCGTGCTGTCGCTGTAGCCGCGCTTCTTGCTGCTGCGCTGCTTCTCGCTGGCAGAAGAGCCGGGCGAGTCTCGAGCTCCGGTGGGCGATGGAGGAGCCATTGCGCAGGATCGAAGCGCTGTCGCAGCTGCGCAGGCGCTTTCTGGTGATGGGAAACGGCCTACGGGAGCCTTGCGACGACAATTGAGAGTCAAGAGTGTGGTGGTGATGGTGGAGGAAAGAAGTGCGAAGGATTGATGGATTGATGCGAAAAAAAAGTCAGCCAACTCCGACTACCTTATCTGAATGAGGCTCGCTCCGGTTGCGCGCCGGGCCTTTTGTATGTCCGCTGACGGTCCTGCTACACAAGCCAACGTAAAAAGAACATGGTACAAAAGTGATAATCCCCCGAAGCGACCGAAAGGATCGGGACATTCATTGCAGTCGCACCCGTGCGGCATCCATTGATGCACAACGGTGACGCGAAGAGAAGAACCGTTGCCGCCTGTCATATTTTGTAAATTGGATGCACGTCGGCCAATGCTGGACCTTGACAATCGACTTATCGCCGAACTTTGTCGTGTAAGTAACTGTAGCTGATGGATGCTTGGCTTATTTATTAAGGTATAAGGTAGCACTACCTAGGTACCCAGTACCTGTAGTCTCTCGGACAAGTTTGACTGTGGATCTTCTGAGCTTGAAGCCTGCCTCGTAGTTAGGCATTCCATGTTCTGATTGACTACATCTTTCTGCCCATGCTATTGCAGCCTTTCTAGATGCATGCCTAACATACAGGTAGGTACTATGAATACAATCTCTGCATGTCTCTCTGCAATTCGTATTGGCATAAGCATGAACGCTCCTTGGTGACGAAATGCTGCCTGCCGGTGTGCCACTGCACCTGAAACCAACAGACGGCTGCATGCACTTTAAATTGAGGCATGGACGACCAATCGCATCGGCCAATTCACGTGCTTCTATGCGATGCACCGGAGCTCATCGGTGAATGCTACCTTGTAGAGTACAAACTGCACGCAACCAGCAGACCCCTCGTAGTTCGCTAGCTACAGCCAGTTACTCTCACCAGGTGCCGTTTCACGCCTCCGGAGGATGTAAGAGAACTGCAGTTATCCTACCCGCGTAGTACCGTGAAGTTATCTGCAGTACAAGCAGTTCCGGGGTGCTTAAGTATAGGTAGTAGACTCAGTAATGGGGACCAAAGGGAGTAAGCGAGCAGCATTGAGCTAGAATTAAGAATAGCCCTTGTATGATGTTCCAATCGATGCGACACACGGATGCCGTCGCTTGCAATGACACGAGAGTCGAGCGCAGAAATACTCGGATCTGTAGCCTTTGTAAAGACGCACACGCTAGGTAGTTCGAAATCTACAACATTTCATATCAGATAGAGACATTCAAGAAGCAGATACCTCTATGTCCTCTCTGTAGATTTGTCTTCATGTTTGAGGTAGTCGGCCAGCTGTTCTAGGTTATGCGACAACCGTCGAGGTGTAAGCCGCCGTGAGCGCCGGGAGCGCTGTGACGCCATCCATGTCATGACAGCTGAAGAGAGGCAGCACATACATGCTACCTATGAAAAAGCCCAGCCGAGTTACTGTTATTACCTGTACATCGTAGCTTCACTCTGGTGTTTTAGGCGATTGGATCCCTAGACATACTCGTATTATTTCTCGGTGCGATTTGTGTGTTTTCTCTTCCCCTGGCATACCTGTGACGTGATCTACTCGCTGACTGTCAGGTGACGACATAATGCCAAGGGCTGAGCGGTAATCAGGGCATGCAGCTCAAACCAGACGTGACTGTCTCATCACTTCAAGGTACTGCAATCACCTGCTTACTCTTCGCCAAAATGCCGTGGAAGGATCAGCTCAACAAGTTCAAACAAGAACTGAATCAGATCATCGCCGAACCGAAGCCTGCATCAGCACCGGCACCGGCATCGCAGCCTCCTCCTGTGCCGCCTCATCCGCCCAACGAGCCGCCATTTCGCGGACAAGTATACTGGAAGCCGCAGTTCTATCCCAATGTTCCCATCAGTCATGAGTGGGAGGCTAAGATAGGCAACGGGCCGGATGGATGGGGAAATCAAGAGCTGGAGTTTTACACAGCAGACTCGCAGAATTCTTTCCAGTAGGTCGAGGCCAAACACATAGAGGCTTGGATGCGTTCACAGAATGAGTATGAACCGTTGGTTCTAAATGGTGTGTATAGTACGCCTGAAGGGATGCTCGTCCTCCGAGCCATTGCAAGAAATTCTGCGCCTTCGCCAGAGCAGCGGTATACGTCAGCCCGTCTTGTCAGCAAGCAGACCCTGGCTCGCGACAGAGGTGTTCTGACAGCCACGATCCTCTCTCCTTGTGCCGAGGGCATCTGGCCTGCGTTTTGGCTTCTACCTCAAGAGCCCTTTTCCTGGCCCACCGACGGTGAGATTGACATCGCAGAGACGTGGAACGGGGATCGAGAGAACCGGACGTGCCTCCACTGGGGTTTCCACCATGAGCCGCAGAAGCACCGAGTTCTGGGCACCCACGTTCCCGATATGCACTGCCGCCCGGTCCGGTATGAGCTTGCCTGGGACCAGCCGAACGGCGTGCCTGGTCAAGGAGGAATGATCTGGTACATTGACGGAAGACCGGTGATGAAGGCCGAGGTTCCCAGTGGCACTCGACCTCTTCGAGACATGACCATACTCTTGAACGTGGCCATGGGAGGAAACGTGTGCGGTGGCAAACGGCCCCACGATGGATACTATGACATGGTCGTCTACAATCTTGCTTTGCTGAGTGAGCTGGAGTATGGAGGATGGGGTAGATTTGAGCAGGATTGGCACCATCCATCAGTGTCCTTGGGGAATACCTACTGAGGTACAAAGTCTCGTATCTTGTGTTCTATCGAGCGTTTTATCGAAGGAGCACACGAAGCTATGTGCAGTAGGATTGCCTCAATGATTCAAGTCACACAAGTCACGGGGTCCGGCCAAGCTCTGCATTTACTTTCATTGGGTTGCTATACATAGGCTATATACAATCAGTTTCTTACGGCTCGTAATTACTTTTGCCTTTAATTGCCCCAGATGAGATACACATCGACCAACTTAAGACTGGCTAGCAATGTTGGCAATCAAGGTCCCCCAAGACCCGCCATATCCATCGTTGCCACCGTTGCCGAACTCGGTACCGCTGGGCAGTCTCATAGTCTCGGCAACGTCGGGTCCGCTGGTGAAGCCGTACAAATGAGCGTTGCTCACGGTGGTCTGGATGTAATTCATCACTCCCTGTGCGACCTTGGTCAGGCCGATGAAGTTCCAGCTACCAGCAGCATAGTGGTAGATGTTGCTGTTGCTGCCAGTGTAGTACTGAGCAAGGCCCATGCGGCAAACCGTGTCACCGCCGCTGCACCACGAGAAGTTGGGGTCGATGGAGGTAGCGTCGAAGGGCGTGCCGGGCAGCACGGCACCGTTGTTACCCTGGTTGTAGTTGGTCTCGCTCTGGAAGAGGGAGATGAAGACGTTGGCGGCATTGTGGAAGGACAGCTGGTACAGCCAGTTGTGCTCGGAGCCGAGACCAGCCAACCAGGTTCCGGCAGTAGCCTCAACGAGGACTCCGCCCTTGACGGCCGTGCGGATGCCGTTGCGGCTGCCGTCCGTCGCGTGGTCGGCAACCCAGGACCAGAAGTTGTCAATGTAGGCGGAAGAACCGGCGGCAAGGTGAAGGCCAATGTAGGCAGCGCGGCAGTTGGACTCGTTGCTGCAGCTGAGGGAGGTGTCACGGGTACCACCGATGGTGTTGAGAGAGTTGAAGACTGCGACGTCACCGGGGTTGTTGCCGGCCATGTTGATTCGGAGGAGAACGGCGCCAGGAAGAGCCTCGTTGACGGTGAATCGAATGTCCTGGACGTGAGCCACGCCCTTCTGGCCGGGAGTTGAGCCAATCTGGACGACGGGGGTCGGGTTGGTCTCGGAGGAGAAAGCACTGCCGGATCCGGAAATGGTAGACCAGGCCTCTCCGTACAGCTCTGTTCCGGGGGGGATGGTGATGGTCGACGTGACGATGTAGATGCCGAAAGGCAGGTAAGCAATCTTGCCCTGGCTGGCGGCGGTGTTGAGAGCACCCTGGAGGGCGGCAGTGTCGTCAGTGAAGCCATCGCCCTGGAGAGTGTGTCCACCGTTCTGGTTGGGGTCCTTCAGGTTAACAACGTCGGCAACGGTCTTGTCGGCATATTGAGGGGCGTTGATGACGGGGTATCGGCCTCCAGGAGCAAGCGCAGCAGGCCTGTTCACGGGCTGGGACGTCGGGTTCGTCTGGTACACGGGATTGGCGCCGCGGGTGTTTCCATAGACGTAGGTGCCAAGGCTGGTAGAGCCACCGACCTTGACGTTGCCGCCGACAATGACCATGTTGGAGTTGGTCGTGTCCTTGGAGATATTCTCGAGCATGAAGTTAGGGAAGCCGACGTTGCTGGTGAAGAAGTCACCAGAGTTGATGCTTGTGCCGTCGATAACGGCAACCCAAGCACCGCCGGAATTGAGGACGATGCAGCGGCCAACGGTGTTGCAGGTCGGGGCGAAGATGGTGATGGTGTTGCCACCGTCAATAACAATGCCGTTGGTGCAGTCGGTGAAGGTCATGCCCTTGATCTGACCCTGCTGGTGACCTAGAGGCAGTTTAGTACTAATAGGCTATCCATGCTGAAATGTAATGGGATACTTACCGTTCCAGTGCAGACCAATGTTGCCGAAGCTGAAGGAGACGTCGGAGATGGAGATGGTAGATCCTGGACTGACGAGCACACCAGTGTGGACACCCTGAGGCATGTTGATTTTGACATTGACCTAGCAAGACATCGGCCATGTCAGCATGATATCGGCTCTTAACTAGTTGGCGCGTAAATTGTCCACATACCAGAGCGCAGTTCTGAGCGACAGCCCAGCTGAGGGCTACGAAGTCAGAGGAGCCAGCATTGGCAGTTGTGTCAAGAATGACGTTCTTGACTGAAGAGACAACGAGTTAGCCATTGCGCACGTATATAGGGCGCTCAGCAAGATGGACTTACCCATGACAGAGAAGTGAGTTTCACCACCAAAGCCGCCGCAAGGTTTGTT